TCGTCTGTCGAAGACCTCGTCGTCGTCTTCCCTTGTGGTCGGAGAACAACCTTGTATATGGCGTAGTGAGGAGGTACATAATCGCGTTCTGCTTCAACAACGCGCGCAGCCAGGTGGGAGTTGTGTGCAGAGATGGGTTTCGCGTCAGACAATCGTGCCCTGTTAGCCGCTTCTCGTATAGTCTTGAGCCAAGAAAACATCTCTTCTGGATCACCGAATTGCAGGGTCATGGATGAGGCGTTGTTCGACTCATCATCCAAATAATATAGTTCCAGCGCAAAGTGTGGTCGGCCGTCGTCTAGATGGTATACCGCGACGATGTGGCAAAGGGGTATGCCATGGTGACGGTCTCCGGACGACTCTGAAGCCATAGACTGAAGTTCGTGCGCAGATCCAAAAGATGGACTGTGGCTGTGACGGTAGTAGCTCATGCGGTTGTTCGGTGACGGTATGCTGTGCTCATTAGCCTTGTCTCTGAAGCTTGCCGACGCTGAGGCGCACCCAGGAAAAGCTTCAATCGCCTTGGAGTGGTTCTTGAACCTGATGAGATGCTTCTCGGTCAGCACCAGGTATTCCCTCTTCTTCCTGAACATGGAACTGCTCGTCTGGACCTCGCCATGCTGCAGCACCTGCCGATCCTGCACGTCCTCCCAGATGTATTCCCCAAAGCCAGTCGATGTTCGCGTCGAGGTCGCAGAGAGAGGTTCCGGGTCGTCGTCGGCGGACAGTTTGTAGCCGCGGAAGGAGCTGAAGACGGAGCTGGCGCGCTTCAGGCTGGCTTTGGAGAGCGCCGGTCGCTGGGGGTCTGGCGGTTCCATGAGGGTGCTGCTCCCCGCTACCGTGCTGCCGTTGTAAGGCGCTGATTCAGGGTGTTGCGACACATCGGAGAGATTCGACATGAAGGACGCGGTGCGCCGCTTGCGCAGCAGGTTGGAGGGTTGCGATTCATCCTTGTTACTGCGCGACGCGAAAGCATTGAGGGAGCTGCTGCCAAAGATGCTTCTCCGCTTGTCTTTGGACATTCCGAGATTCTCGATTGGCGCGCGAAGCCCAGCACGAGCTCGGCGGCACAGCTATCGCATGCAGAGGGGCTCTGGGGAGAGGGAGGCAAGTGTCGCGTCGGAGGATATTCTCGGAAGATATTAACAAGACCTGGGGGGTGGAAATTGGAGCGGGAGAGCAGAGTTGGGCGCAGAATGGCGGTGGAACCAATCAGGGCGTGGGCGCAACGGGAGACAATGCGGAGGACAACGGCGGAACGATTAGACGGTAGCAGTAGCAGTGGCAGTGGCAGTAGCAGTAGCAGGGCCCTGGGTGCAGCAGATCGCGGGCTCGGCCTGTTGCAGGAGGGGGGGTCGGCAGGCGTGCTGTAATCACGACATGTTATTATTCCGTGGCATGGATGAGGGTTTCCAAGCTTCGCCGCCAACAGTGCTGTCGAGCGTTGTGTGAGTCTGTGAGAGGGCGCGGGATGCTTCACCGGGCCGACTATCACAGCGCGTTTGCAAGGAAATGACAGGACGAGATATACGGGTAGGATGCACGAGTGTATGGGTGGATTACAGGGTGGGTCTCTGGTTACTGGTAGCTTTCCGCGCGTCCACTGGCCCTGGCCGCTTGCGCGCGTACGTCACATGGCTGATCCCAATGATCGCCCGGCGTTAACAAACGCCGACACATTTTCTGAGGGCAGTCGCGACCGAGCGTCACTGCCATTGCATATCAAACGCCACCTGCTCGTCTTCCCCACCACGCTCCCTCCAATGCTGCGACGCCAGCTGTCGCCAGCCTCGCTATGGCATAGGACTCCCGTTTGCCTGTTCTGCGCTGCCCGCAGCCAGACTCGACTGCCACAACGCCAATCCATCCGGCACAAATCTGAACGCGCAGTCCCGATCAGGAAGCATGCTGTCAAAGACAAGAAGAAATCGGGAGTGAAACTGGGGGAGGAGGATGAGGACGAGAGTGAAGGACCACGATCTATCAAACGTGTGATGCTTGGTGACAAGAAAAAGAGGGACAAGGGAAAAAATGAAGAACGAGAGGCGATTGCTATCAGCACCTTGTACCCTTCCGACCTCAAATTTGAGGCTGTCGAAGTCGACAAACCACCCGTCCCCATGTTGTCATATGGCCTCGATCGTGTTCTGTTCAACCCTGGTGTATATCGTCTGCAGGACCCACGAACCCAAGTGTATAATTTCGATCCATACCTCGAGAAAATCATGCCGGCGAATGAGTTCGACTTCGATGCCTTGAGCGAATACAAGACTTCGTCCAAGGACGAAGATTTACTGGCTTTGACAAGGCGGATTGGCACAAAGTTCACTGGCTCTACATCGAGTATGTCGAGTATGCTCCAGCACTTTCATTACATCTTATCCAACTTCCGAAAACTCAATCATGGCATGCTCTCACGCCAGTTTCCCGAACCTTCTTCCAAGTTTTCCAGGATCACGCTTGGTCCCAGTGCCGTCTTCCTCCGGTACAAGGATGGTACTTATGCGATAGACGCCGACAAATCCTACGATAGCCCCAATATCATGAGCTGGTTGGGTCACTCATTGGAAAAGCTCCTCACAACTGAGCGCAGCGAATTTGAGAAATTCCGAAGGTCAAGTCCGGAGAAGGCGCCTGCAGAAGAGAACGCTAGTCGTTGCTACCATTACTCAAAACAAGGTAACATTATGATGCGCTCGCAGTTAGACGCCGTTGACCCACGACTACCCGGAACTGGAGTGTTTGACCTGAAGACGCGAGCTGTTGTTTCGATTCGGATGAACCACAAGCATTACGAAGAGGGTTCTGGCTACCAGCTTCGTCACAGTCTAGGCGAGTGGGAGTCGTTCGAGCGTGAATTCTACGACATGACGCGTGCAACCATGTTGAAATACTCTCTACAAGTCCGCATGGGGCGCATGGACGGCATCTTCATCGCCTACCACAACATCGAGCGTATCTTCGGCTTCCAATATCTAAGTCTTTCAGATATGGACGCTGTCTTACACGGCCAACATGACACAATTCTTGGAGACCAGGAGTTCAAACTTTCCTTGAACCTCGTTGATGAGCTTCTTGTCAAAGCCACCGAACAGTTTCCCAATACAGTAAGTTGCCACCCGGGTAATACAACCTCGTTACTGATCACAATAGTCTATCCGATTACACTTCGAGGCTCGCGAAGGCAAGACACCCTTTATGTATATCTTCGCCGAACCCGTCACCGAAGAGCAAGCAGACGAGATTCAGAGTGCTGGAGAGGCCGCTCAGAAAGAGTTTGCACAAAACGTCGTTGGTGTAGGGAAAGGTGATGCCGAGACTCAAGCAGCTTGGCAAGAAGCGCAAGACGACGTCGATGAACAAGTCGATGCTGAAAAGACTTCTGAAGAGGTTGAAGCGCAAGAAGACGAGCATTCAACTACAGTCGAAGACGTTGAACAAGACATTGTTGAAGAGACTGCTGAAGCTGCTGAAGAAGCTACTGAAGACTCAGATGATGTCGCCGAAGATATGTTGGAGAACCCAGCAGCCCCTCAGGGCCCCTTGATGGGTTGGACATTGACTGCCCGCAGTCTGGTCAATGGAGGCTATGTCGACCGACCAGAGCAAATCACTGAATTCGATGACTGGAAGATAGAATATCATGTCAAAGAGATACCTGAAGAGAAACGATGGAAGCTGTACAAGTCGCTCCAAGCGCGAAGGCATTCACTCATTGGACAAGACGAAGAGGCCGTTGACAGGGGCCTTAAGCATTACCGCGATTTAATACAGCGCTACAGCAACCGCGGACGCGCGTGGAGGGAGGAGCAGGACAGGATCAACGCCACAAAGGGCGTACAGCTCTTCCGACCACTTGGCCCTGGCTCAGATGCTGTCGCGTCGCAACATGATATCGTGCAGGGGAACGAACTTTCTGACAATCCCGACGTTGTCGACAATCAGACGCGAGAGGAGGAGCCTTATAGTGAGGAATCGACACCGGAGGAATCACTCTCGAAGGAGAAAAAGGAAGAGGTGTTGGACGGCATGCCCTCTGTACCGTCATAGGCATCACACTTGTAAAAAGGCCATGGCGTTTGATCTTTCTTTGGGGCTGCTCGCATAGAGCATGATTACATGATTGAACGTTCCAAGTAATATATGTAAGAATATGTGTACAATTTAGAAGGAATGAGTAGCATAGATACCAAAATATTGGAAACGAAGATTCATCGGCACAACGTCTTTTTCTGTCCAGACTTCCTCAGCATGTCTGGGTGATAAAGGAGGTCCATGAAATGAAAGGACAAAAGAGTATTGTAGTGTAGTGAGGATAATGTACCCGATCTTCATCTGAGATGAAGCATGCACCCCACATGGCACCCCCACTAAACAAGCTCATGTCCGAGCTCCGACCGAAAATGTACGTTGACATCACCTCATCTACATCTCATCGCGTGTCCAACGTTCAAACATCTTTATCGACCAACTGCGATTCCGATACAGTGTTTCTTTAATTAGACACGCGACACCAATGATAGCTCAATCATGGTGAGACAACATGGCAGCTTGGAAAAGGACGCGGAGACCAATGAGGCGGCTTGGGAAGCTGCAAGGGGTGCGTTGATTGGGGGTACGAAGGTATGCATACGTCTTTTTCCACATCCTTCTTGTGATACTGCCTTTCAGTCTACTTTTTGGATGTACCGTAATTTATCGGCAAATGTGGCAGCATGACGAGAAAGAGAAGGAAGATTGTGTGCGTCCGATTACTATGTGCACCCGCGGATATCATTGGCCAAGATGTGCGTCTGCCTACATATGAAGGTTGCGCGATCGATTGTGGATGAATCAAGAGAATGCAAGACTTCTGGTTTACTAGTACGATGGCTGACTTAGGGTTACAGTGGGGCGCTTTCTTCGCCGTGGCAGGTGGTGTCGCATACGCCTTCTCCCCCGTATACAAGGGACTTACCGTTCAATTCAAGACGTATGTGCTTTCCAATATTTGCGTACTACTCTTCCCTGACACAAACTAGTTACATCCAAATGTCGGGAATGATACTGGGTGGTATGCTCGAAGCAGATAAGCGCATGGTCGCCTACCAGCACCGCGTCCGACATCACAAGAGAGTAGCCAGAGACATGGAAATATGGAGAAGATATGAAGACTCTTATGAGGAACGGGGGACGCCTGGTGTGGGGGGTGAGAGTGAGGTTCATGGAACTCAAGACAAGAATAACTAAGACTTTGCACGACCGTTTTGTATATGGTATGAAACACAGTCTCAGGCTTTCATGCCAAGTGTTTGTGGAGTGGAGACAACAAAACGGATTGTCTTTGCTTTCACCTTGTATAAAGATGGCTTTATCCATTTCACTACTTCACTTGCGTTCTTTATCCCACTTACCTCACCACGCACAGCCCCTGTACTCGTCCCACCGCTTGCATCCATATTCACAGACACAATGAGAACACCCTCCCCCGATAAAAGAGAGCGCGAGCCCTCTTCCTCTATCGAGATGACACCCTCACCCGGCTCTACCACCACCGAATCCACGACTAGCCAACCTTCGCATACCGGGTCTACAACCGAGGGTTCTATAATCCACTCCTCTCCAACTAGCAACATTTCATCCACGGGATCGACAGTTGTCGAATCTACACCTTCTGAATCCACAGACAACGAAGCCTCAGACAGCCAGTATTCCGAATCCGAATCCGAATCCACAATGACTGAAGGAGGCCGCACAGATGCACAATGGTGGGAACTTCGCGAGGGTTGGATCTTGCATCGCTACAAAGAGAAGACGGCGTTTACGTGCCATCAGTGTAACAAGAAAAAAACGGATATTCTCGTGGCGATGAAGCCGGAGAAGAATTGGAATAACATGTGTTGCAATGCGTGTTTTTGCATGAAAATTGGGCAGGACTCAGATGAATGGAACTTAGTTCATGTAGATGGTGTTGATCATATTTGGTAGAGGGAGAGCCGATGATTACTGCTGAGGACCTAAGTATCATGATGTTCGTGTAGCTTCAGAATGTTCCAGTGTGTGCAAGTGAGTAATGAAGCTCCGGTAGCCAATGACGTGATTCGGCGCGAAGCAGTTTAGCGGCAGCCCCCACCCGCGCCGCGGGCTTTTAAGCCACCTTGCGAATTCGCTTGCTCCTCTTTCTCCAGGCAGCACTCGCTGGTCCTCATTCACGACACCTTCACGCGTACAATTGCTATAGCTTCACGTAACGATGGATGTCTTCTGGACACTCCCGCCGGTCTCTAGGTAAGCGAGTCTCTTCCTCATCGAGCTCTGCAACACTCGAAGCTTGGAGCTTGCAGCTTGTCTCAAGCTCTCAAGCTACTGCGCAAACACCTGCGAACAATTGCTAACCCTTCCCCACAGGACCATCACAGCTGCAGCAGTCGTTGTATCAGCTGCTGGCTATGGCGGCATCATTAGCCTCTACCATTACATCTTCGCGAGCCACTATGTCTTCACGACGAAGGTGTTCCCTCAGCTCTGGCGAATCTTCACGGCGTTTCTGATCACGAAACCGAAGTTCGGCATTCTGCTTGATCCATACTTTCTATACCAATACGGCAGCTCCATCGAGCGGGAGTCGTCTCGCTTCTCGCAGCCCGGCGACTTCTTCGTATACACCATGTTTCTCGCGAGCGTCATTGCCGTAAGTACTTATCTGCAAACACTCCGCGGCCACGCGTACATAGAAACTCCCCATGTCGCATCGACACAACTGTCTGCGACGACTTCGGTCACCAAATCACCTCCGATTATCTGCCCGCCCAGCCTACTATTTCTAGCTGAAGCGGTTCCTGGAACGGAGGAAGAATACCCTTGCACATCATGCGGTTCCGTCATTCGCAATCAATCAAAGGGACTTGTGTGGTGTGTAGGCATGGTGGGATTGTCACTTGAGAAAGCTTTGCGAATGCTCTCCATTTCGCAAGGCGGTGTTGGCTCCCTACATACTTTTGCGACTTCTCGCGCCTTTGTTACCTTGTTCGCCTTGTCGCTTTGATACAAACGTGCTGTGGAATGGACTTGTGCTAACAGTCCCCGTAAAGGCAACAGCAGGTGGCATTCTGAACCAGTACACTTTCCTCCCCGCGCTGTCCCTCGCATACGCCTACACGTTCGCCCAAGATAATCCCACGCGTTCCGTATCCTTCTTCATCATCACCTTCGAAAGTAAATACCTCCCCTTCGCCATGCTCTTCATGACCTTCATCATCGACGGTCCCGATGCAGCTGCCGGCCAACTCACCGGTCTCATCGCCGCTCACTTGTACGATTTCCTGACACGCATCTGGCCTACGTTTGGTGGTGGAACAAACTATATCCGCACGCCACAGATGGTCAAGGGCTGGTTCAGTGCGAGGCCGGGCAGTGTGCAGGACAGGGGATTCGGTCATGTTGTCGAGGGAAGGGGCAGGACGGCTGGTGCGGCTGGAAGTGGTGCACCGCCTAGTGCAGCGAGGGCTACGGGGAATGCTTGGGGTGGCATGGGTCCGGGGAGGAGACTGGGAGAGTAGATGTGCTGACTGAAAATGTCGCGCATCCTTGACTCTTCAGAGCCTTGGTACTATTGCGGGTTTAGTGGCATATCCGCACCTTGGCCTTTGGCTGAGGGTAGGCTTGAATAAACAATACGTACTTATTTATTCTGTTGCATGTGCAACCAACTGGAGTAATTGTGTACATTCAGGGTCTGAAGTCGTACTGCGTCCTTGAGGAGTGACGCGCCTCGGTGTCAGAGAAATGATGGGTTCTATAAGTTCGAGCGCACCCAGTCCTAGTCTTGTGTATCTACCATTGTTCTATTTCGGCCATGGTGGTTAGTCTTTCTGCAGTAGGCTTGCAATGTAGACTAGCTCAGGCATCTGTCAGGACATAGAGATTATTTGACTTTCCCATGATAGCGCCGCCACTCCAGTCGACACATCCTATCTATTCATACTAAATATAAGTACGGCTGACATCGTACGGCAGAAGCGTGTAATATGGGTTAGAGCATGGGTTCGTGTATGAGATAAGGGGCCTGGGCTACGATCATGCCGAAGCAATCATATATGCGATTCTCCAGGCTTGCATACATCTCACTAATACCTCGCACACCCACCCGATACACCACAAATAAATACATCATCGACATTCTCCTCATTTGATAGCTACATAACCCTCCGTGCTACTCCAATATCCTTCTCCATTCTAAAGTCACCCACCATTGTATCGTTCACTTTTGAACAACTTGCTTTACCGCCACAACAGCACCATTCCAGAACAAGATGTGTCAGAACCATACCATCGACTGGTACTGCGGTTCCGGGAACTGCGGCATATGGTTCAAGGCAACTACAGAGCTGTATCCGTGTAAGCGCCCTGGCCGGTTGAGTTGTCCCCGGTACACGGGTGGGAAACTGCGCGATCCACCGAGGAACAGACATTCGGCTACAATGCCGCCGGGGTGGGCAGATAGTCATTGTGCTACCTGAGGGGTGTAAGCGTGAGGGAGAGGATTCTAAACATGTAGGTGTGGTTGAATAGGGTGGAATGAAGTTTGAGTTACTCGGGTATCTATCATCTGTATGTCGGTAGCTTAATACTCAGCAGTAGCAGTGATTTCAGGACTAGAAATAATAACAATATATGCAAACATATGGTAACAACAGTTGTGGCAATTATGCTTCTTATATTGAGTGCCTCTTGGCTATAATACAGGTTCCTACGTCTTTACTAAAGTAGAACTTTACTTTGAGCTTCCAGCAGGGTTACTTGGTCCATCGACAGCCCTCTCGACGTGTCCAGCGATACCATTCTTGCTCGCATCAAACTGGCTTCCAATAACGCCGTCCTTGCTGAATGGTCCTCCGACCTTCTCGCCAATCTGGCCAATTGCGCCGTCGGGGTTGACTGTATGAATTGATTAGCATCTGTACATTGAGGAAGACATGTGGCTGAAGATGTCAAGACATACACTGCTTGCCAATTGCACCCGCTGAGCTAATCACGCTAGGGTTCTGGCTAGGGATAGCATTGGTGTCCTTGTTTGCGCCGAGCTTGTCAGCCATTCCGGTGGTGTTGTCGGTCATGTTGTTTGGTGTGGATTGGTTGGCAGTGCCGAGGCCGAGTTGTTCTTGGAGGGGACCGGTAGATTTGGGCATTTGGTTTTATTTGAAGTGTTTTTGGATGGACTTACTTGGGGCGAAAGGATAGTTATCTTATATGCGGAGATGAGGTGGTGGTGGTGCTGATGGGGTTATGCGCAAATGGTACGTCACGATTGTGGTGATGTCATGATGAGGGTGCACACACATGCGGAACTTGGGATACGCATACGGATTCAGACAAGTCGATGATGTATCTAGTGAATAGCTTCCGTGGATCTCGATTCTACGTGGGGTCGGGATCTGGTTTAGGCGGTCTTGATTTGTTGGATGGGTGGCCATGGCGTGATACAGCTGTCATGCTGTGAGATGGTCTCCACGCGTGATCTACAAAAAGGTACCCGCACGGCTGAAATGGACATGTTGGACTACTGCGAATGGAAAAGTGACTTCATAGGTGTAACTGCTGGTATCATTGCTGGTGCCTTGTGGTCTTTAGGCCGTAATTACGTGCGCATCACGGCTAAGCACGTCTCTTCGCTCGTGCTCCGCCGACCCTGGGGAATGACAATGGCAACTTGAGCTTGGCGATGAAGTGGTTGGCGCTTTCGGCCTTGGTAAGCTTCATGCGTGTGAGGTCGGTCTGTGTTGGTGCGGTGAGCTTGCATCCGAGCTCGGCGAAGTATTGCTTGATCCTGTGCAGCGTTAGCATAGGTGACATAGGCAAGTCCTTATGTGATGACCTACTCCTTGTTCTCGAGCTTGAGGTCGTCTCGGAGGTCGTTCACATCGACTTCGAAATCGTCAACAATGAGTGCTGCCGCCGCAATGTGTGTCATGAGGTTATCGATGTTCCAACGCGGCATCTCACCGTTACTGAAGAGGTCAGAAATATTCAATGACAGAAAGCGGTTGCAACTCACCCTGCCTCGGGAGCAAACTTCCTCCTGATAGCCATGATTTGACCAGCAGGCGTATCCTCACCCATCGCCGTTTCCAACTTTCCTTTCATGGGTATCTTCTTCGGACGCGGTCCACCTCCTCCAAACAATGCAGAATTGAAGTTGATACAAAGCAGTATGAAGCGTAGTACCTTCAACTTCTGTATCTGCTTGTTCTTTGCGAGCTTGACGATACGTTTTGCAACATATTTACTGGTGACGTTGACACCCTGACCAGCTGATGAGGCCTGGACCCAGTCCTTGACATCCAGAATAGTCATCAGCTCGCTTCCAACCACGACGTCTGTGGGGTAAACATCGGCGGGGTATTCGGCTGTGAGGTTGGGTATCGGGCGAGGTTTGGAGCTGTCCACGGCTGCTGCGAGATCGTCCTTGTTTGGCATAACGGCCGTCGCAGAAGACATCTGCTGCAGAACGTTCTCGGCGATCGCATCGGTTCTCGCGGCATCTTCGGCGCCAGTTCCGCTCTTGATGGCGTTGAGTGTCCGGTCTTCAAGCGCCTTCCTTGACTTCTTAGATCCGAATTCTGCTGCGAGGGCAGCTCTCTTTGCTGTGACGGTGTTCACGGCCGCGTCCAACCTCTCCTGCTCGTCGCGCATTTCTTGTGCCTCGCTTCGCAGTGTGGTTCGTACAACGACTCTCTTGACGGGAACAACTTGCAACTTGCTTGTCGCAGGGTCGAATACGCCGATGTAGTCTTGTAGTTGGCTCTCGGCGCTGCCATCTTGCTCTTCTGAGGCGGTGTAGTCTAGGCGGGGATGATCGGAGGACTGGAACAGTAGTTCGCTGCTTTCGCCTTGTGGTAGGATCTTGGTGCGCTTATATGGCTTGAAGGATAGCTTCGATGGCATGGAGAGACCGGGTGTGACAGCTTGATTGTGTTAGAAACGACTCATAGAAGCGCCCGATACCCTCTTGTCTATTCCGATGGCTTCGAAAGCTATGCGACAGTGTCCAGAGTAGCTATCATACCTAGAAGTGGACCCAGAGTCTCTTTGTTCTCTACCATCTGAACGCGCACATTTCCTTGCGGCGCGCCGGATGTCTTCTTCTTGGGCCGCTCGCCATTCTGCTCCTGCCTCTTTCTCTTCTTTTCACTCATGTCGTCGTTGCGGTTGCGATATGGCAGCATTGGTCGCGAAATGTCAAAAAAGTTCAAAAGTTCAATCGCGAATTGGCAGAACTTTCGGGCGGTGAACTAGCAGGCATAGCCGAGCAACAGGGATGCTGCACGGACTAGTGCATTAGTGCAGGCGCGATGACGTTCACGCGACAGACGCGTTCCAGACTGCCGCACTCCCGCATAACCAAGTGCGATCACGGCACACACGGGTCTTTCTGGTTTCCGTCTGTTGTACCTAGTCAATGCAGCTGCCCCAAAGCAGTAAACAATTCAATCCCTATCCCCATCCTTCATCTTCCACTCACATCATCTCCATCATCCATCGTTTCATTGACCACTGAACTTGCTTCCAATCCCACCTATCCCCACAACCTCCACCATGCCTACCGTTCTCCAGACAGCGGGCGACATGGTCGACAATATAGGCAACAAGATTCACTACACCACGAGAAGAGTGGGTGATCAGATCGAGACCACCACCAACCAGGTGCTGCCGCCCAAGCAGCGCGAGCACATGCTCGAGAGGGCCCGAGAATACGCTCGCCAGAACCCGAAAGCAGCAGTATGCTATTATGCGTCCTCTGAGAGATACTTCTAACACCCATATGCAGGCCTTTCTAACTACCCAGACCGCATTGACTGGTCTCCCACTCGTCCTCTTCCTCGCCTTCGCAGCAACCACCCTCCTCGTTTCCCTTTCAACCTGCCTCTTCCTTGGCATCCTTGTCTCAATCGCCATTACCTTCTTCCTAGTCGGCTTCGCCCTCCTCTTTGTTGTCCCCACCGTCATCATCGCCAGCTGTTCGGCTACCATCATCTTCATCTGGGGCTTCGTGGGCTACATCATCCTACGCAGGTTCAATGAGGGTGAGGAGCCAGCTAAGCTTGGCACGCGCGTTGGTGACAAGTTGCACAAGTTGACAGGCGGTAGATCGGGATATTTCCAAGGCGATCAAACATCTGAGGAGAGCAGTCGCGACCGAGACGTGGTGGGTGGTGGAAAATCTACAAAGGGCCATGATGGTGGTGCTGGGCACGCATATGGTGGTGTATCGTCGAGTGCGCGCGACGGCGGGCCTGTAAATGGCGTAAATGGCACGCAGGGTACTGTTGAGTGGGAGAGGAAATGGGATGGTGTCAAGTCTGAGCCTGTTGTCTTGGATACGGAGAACGTCTTTGAGGCTCTGAAAGCGGTAAGTACACATACAGATTGCGCGCAATACACAGCTAACGATAAGTAACAGGAGACTCCAGTCGCCTAGAAGCGTGCCTGGAACAAAAGGTCCTGAAGTATTACTATTCCTATAGCACCTCTCTCTGCTATTGCACTCCTCTATCATGAATGATTTCAGCTTACTACGAAATTGGAATTGAACGTCATGCGTGCATGCTGCCGTATTTTGGTGTTTCCTCACAGTATGTTCTCCACAGTCTAAATCACGTGCTTCTTTGCTCTCCTCTAAACACCTATATAAAGCTTCTCTTGTAGCTGCTTCTCTATCCCTCTATCGACCTCAGTACCTTTCTATTCCCCAAAATACCCCCTTCAACAAACCATGTTCTGCGGCGGAGCTTTCCAAAAATCTACACCATGGTTTACAGGGACCTTTTGTTCAAAACCACTCGACGACATATAACCTGCACACCATTTTGTTCCTTGCCATAGCCTTCCAAAAGTCTGCGATCCAAATGCTTCAAGGAAAAAGCGATGTGCGGCATCGAAAATGTCGAACACGCCTATTGTGATCGGTTCGAAGAAGTGACGTGAATTGTCATGATCAAAAGCATGAGGCAAATCTTCCAGTTGCGCAGAATCGGAGCACAAACATCTCCAGCATGTTGCGGTCGGCGAGCTTGGCCTAGACTCTGTACACAGTCTCCACAAATTCGAAAAGGACGTCAAAACTCATCATAGTGTTGCCGGTCCAGAAGAGCATTATGGTATATTTGATTTCTGAGATGAAGTCGATATTCGGCATACGAGTGCCCTAAATACTTCAACACAACGATCATGTGTGGCGGGCGCATTTTGATCTACAATGCTATTTACACGAAATACCATGGAACAAGAATATCGGTTTTGTTTAGGAACTCAGAGTCATCCACCATTACCACTATATAAGCCCTTCCTTCCACCGTCATCGTCTTCTATCCTCATCATTACCTCTTTTCCCAAAAATGCAAGTCATGCCATACATGTTCTGTGCCTGCTGTCGGCTAAAATACAGTGTCAACCTTCCGATGTCCTGCAGCAATTTCACAATCCAATTTTGTACCTGGGGATGGAAGGCCCGGAGTACTCAAATTCGGGAAAGATCATCTGGATGCTTTTGTCTACTCTTGACAACTAAACCGTCAAAATCTACTCTCATAAGAGTATATTTCCAAATCGGCCTACCAGAATGCGATGGCAGTGCGAGCGTCTAGATCAAACTAGAGAAGGGGGGACGTTCCCGCTTTGAGACTCCGAAATTGATCTAGCTCGTAGCCATGTCCCTGTCGTTGTGTTGTTTCGCCCCATGCACAAGAAAAGAGATGGCGAGCACGACCATGGGCAGCTGTCCCTTCCAAATTTATTCCCTGAATTTCCAGAACAATCTCCCGAATGCCGAGAAAGTACAAAACATGGGAGACACCAAAACAGATCGCCAGAAATGGCATGTCGCCTGGTATACAAGACCCGCAGCTACTTTACGATGCCTGTTAGAGAGCTCTCTTCTCGGTGACCAAACGGTCGAGACAAGCGACTATGCTGCTGTTTGCACCGCTAGAGTCGCTATATAAGTCCCCTTTCTTGCAGCTGAGAGTCTACCATCTTTTACACCATTCGAGACTATACAACTAAAAATGATGTCGAGGAAAACCCATGTTTGCTGCTCTCGGCACCAGAGTGTCGTCTCATAGGACTGTGGGTAGACGCTTTTGTGCGGACTCCAGAAAAAACAAACTGCATTCGTGATCACACCATGATGTCGCTCTTCTGCACCGGCCCACGAAAATATAAAGTCCCTTCTATTACCTTTTTGTCTCCATCCAAACAACATACTATCTTGTAGGACATTATAAAAAATACGAGGAAAAAGTCGATGGTTTCTGGAAACACACCAAAAAAGGCCGGACGGCCCTGTTTCTGCGAGTACCTAGGTAGACTTTGGCAGTGTGCAAAACACGCGCTTCTACTGTCCATGTCTCCTACTCATAAGAATCTCTTTTTCGATCCCTGGGCTATCACCCGAACATAGTGGCATCAGTAACGGATTTTGCCTTCTTTGTGTTCACAAAGATATGTGGTAACAGCCAGATAGAGGGGGTTGTTGGATGACGTCAGTGAACTAAGAGCCGGGTAGCCGATACAACAGTCGCTTTACCGGAAGACGGAGTCTTCAACAACTATGAGAAGCAAAATATATCATTTCTCAGTCGCTGGAGGGTACATGCTAGAGCCGTCCGCTTTTCTGGACATAGCGCCTGAAGAAACCTAGGCTAAGTACTTGGCTGCTGCCTAAATCAGCAACCATGGCAGCGCCATCACAACATTCACGCATCAAGCTTCCACACACATCTAGATTCTGGGATAGCTTTTTCAAAATCAGTACTCAACATGTCTGTGGTTTCATCACGAGACCTGGCTCACACCAGAAGGCGTCTGCAAAAAGAACTGCAAAACCTCACGAACGATCCTATAGAAGGCCTTTCCGCCGCACCCACTGATCCATCGAATCTATTCTCATGGAAAGCAACAATCAGAGGACCTCCTGACACTCCATACGAATCCGGTACTTTCCACCTTACCATGGACTTCCCAGAGGTCTACCCACGCGCCCCGCCAATAGTCAAGTTCGTGACCAAGGTCTATCATCCAAACATCGATAGCGAAAACGGATGGATTTGTCTGAACATATTGACCATGGAATGGAGCCCTGTATTGAACACTTCGACGGTCTTGTTGAGCATACGAGCGTTTCTGGATAGCCCGGATACGGATGATCCAGCTGAATGGGAGATTGCAAACGAGTATATGTACAGGAGGGAGGTTTTCGATCAAACTGCTAGGAGTTGGACGGAGGAATTCGCGAATCCTAGAAGGATAGTTGAGGACACGACCGAGGAAACGGCACCGAGTCAAGGGGTGGCTGAGAATACGATTGAGGACTGGGAGCTTGTATGAGGTGGTCACTGGATTGGGATACAATCAGGCTCACGTATAAAGCAAATCTTGACATTTCATTGTTGTATGAGGCCCATTCGTATCTAGACCAAGTTGCTTATATCGCAAGACGGGAAGGCATCGCACGATCGAATTTCACTGAAGGTCTCGAAAAGGAGCATTCGAGGAAGTCATAGCTCAGACCGTACATGTCGCTTCCATCAAGCGACAGTGCCATCCACATCTGCCACATCAGTCACGATGGATCTAGTGAATAATGTTGAAGCCTTATCCCTTCAGGCGTTAGGGTAGAATGGATACATAGCCCGAATGGTAGCCGCGTCGCCAGCAGAGATATCGAAGTGCGGATAATGCCTACCACCTTTGAGAGGCAAAAAGTGAGCTTCATCCCCCGCCACATTGAACGCATACATCGGAAACAATAAAGGATTCGTGAGATCTGGTCCCCATATTGCAGAATTAGCTCCATGCCGACAATCGTAGTGCATGATAGAGTGGAAATCATATGGTGAAACGATATCCGTGGCTGAAGGTGCAAACCTGACGAACTCTGCGCCAGCCCATCCGTACATCTGGGCGACCCCTAGCTGAGTGCACAGCTGATCCTCAGTGTAGCCATCAGCTCAAGCCTTTGCTAGTGCGCCATCGAATCCGATAACATTCCTACAGTTGTAATTGATGTAGAAATCTCGGTCGGCGCGCTGATGTTCATGCAAAAGGCCAAAGACATGACCTAGTTCATGTGCAGCAACATGTTCGGGATTTCGGATCATCGCGTCATGCGAAAAGACCATCCAGTGTCGACCCGGTGTGTTATCGGTCGCTTTGTAACCAACTGTAGGTCGTGCCTGAACACCTGGTAGGTAGTGGTAGTTGAAAGATATACAGACAGTTTGCGGAGGTATCTGATGGTTCCATTGGCCGTTCGCGTCATAGCAGTAAGGGTAGCTATCTCCGCTTGCTGACAACCAGCGGCTGAAATATAAGTTGTGGCCGTTTTGAAGCGAAGCTACACCGAGTGTGCGGGTCCAGGTTTCCCATGCGCGATCGATGATATGTGCGCCAATAGCTTGCTCGGAGGCAAAATCTTTGAAGCACCATGGGATTAGAACCTGGTAGTTTGGGAGACGAGGCCACCGCATTTGTGAATTGATGAGAAATCTGTAGGAGTGAGTAGGCGCAAGTGCATGATTTGTTCATGTAAACAGTGACTCACCCGGCATGGCCACCTGTGTCAAGCTCCTCTGTAGCGTTGATGACCCCTCGGCGTGCCAAAGTGTTGTTACTGAGAGGGTATGCTACAGGAGACGTATAGACGAGCTCAACAAGAGTAAAAAGAAGAAAGAAAAGCTGCATGCTTGAAAGTTGTGTCACGTTCTAGCCCACGGTGGCTGAGGTTGATGCAGTTGTGTACTCTCTGGTGTATGGAGAAGGGCAGGAACTACGTTCACAAGCCAGATGCTAGGACTAAGTAACGGAGATGAGCGAGGTCATTGCGTCAGCACGTTGATCTAAGTGAAGGTAATAGACAGTGTGGAGTGAGGAGATCGCGAGCCACAGTATGTCCGTGAAATGAGTCCACTGACGTGGCGATAATCGACGTAGTCGCAGAATTGCTGTCTCTAACACTCAATACGTGATTAGAGTCCTGCTACTGCGGGAAAACAGCGGGCAGCACCCACGAAACACGATTTAACTATTGTTTATTAAGTGAGAGCGACTCGGGTACGCGACACTGATGCACAGTGTGGCGATCCGATACGTGTCGAGAACTGTAGTTTACAAGATTCTTTCGGCATTAAAATCGTCGCCGTCGCGATATGTCGTGTAAGAGCAGGAGTACAGAGGTTGGCCTCCGTGTCAGCTTCGCGTGGACATGACATGCTAAGAGGACGAAAGGGTACTAGCGTCATGCGCTGCTGGCTCTAGCGGTCAGATTAAGGAGGAGTCCTGGAGTGGCAAGCGCTAAAGCTTCTGAGCCTCCGTAACGTACCCTTTTTTGTGCCTCCATATAAACTTCAACAGCTACAATTAGAGTGCGACATCGCTCTCAGGTCTTTCACTCAGGGCGCTGCGATACCCTCAGAGTGCACCAGCCTTTTCCCACCGTGCGGCCTTACAATCCAGTTGTTATCCGACACTGAGAACGATGATCTGCGCTCAGCCACACCTAAGTGCAAATGATAGAGTGCATGCATGCTACTCGCGGCAGGCTGGGATTGATTGTGCATGGCGCTAACCTTGCAAGTCGTCTGCATGCGATCACTCAAGGCTGTGTTGCGCGTGAGGGGCGCAGCTGAAGCAGGCGGGCGTTCTCACCATGACACTTAGGCATGCATTTGAACTGCCACTCAGTTTTTGTGCACGAACCAATTTCCTCAAATTTAACTCGTGATAGTGTCCTGGATTCTGTTCAGACTTCACAAACACTTTCACATTAACACTTACCTTTGCAGGGTCGCCTCCCGCAGCACCGGACGAATTAAGAGCCCCACCTTCTGCCTTGGTGAAGCCTAGACACAGCACAGCTAGATCACAGTCTCGATGAGATTGCTGAACGCCAGTACATACGAGTTTCACGTCGTTCTTGGTCCGAGAAAACCGAAGTACGCAATACTATCGCATACGTGGGAAAACGATGAGGTGCTGTACGAGGATATGCGGGATACACCAAAGTCTGACTGGAGTGCAAAGAAAGGTTACTTCAAGATCAAGAAAGCATGTGCGCAAGCCTTGCAAGACGGATGCGATTTTGTATGGATTGATACTTGCAATATCAACAAAGACAGTAGTGCCGAGCTCTCAGAGGCCATCAACTCTATGTTCAGATGGTACAGAGACGCCACTATCTGCTACGCCTACATCTCTGACAGCGTAACTGGAGACGACGAGTCTTTTTCCCAATGTCGATGGCTCACTCGAGGCTGGACACTCCAGGAGATGATTGCCCCTGATCGTGTGCATTTTTATGACATGAACTGGAGTTTTCTAGGCAGCCGCATTTCTCTTGCGACACACCTTCTTTCACCAGCTACTGGAATCCACACAGCTGTACTGTTACGGAGACATCGGCCTCGTATACCCCAATTACATCCGCCCTCGGATCTAATGCCAAGTGGACTTTTGGTGGTGAAAAAAACAGCAAAAGAGGATGAGATTCCACTCTTCAGGACGACAGAATATGATTGTCAATGTTGTCCAAGCACTGGAGAGGCAGATGTGGAATCAATGCTTGAGAAGTTCAGCGTAGCGCAAAAGATGAAGTGGGCTTCGAAACGAACTACCACACGTGAGGAAGATATAGCTTACTGCCTCATGGGGCTGTTCGACGTGAACATGCCTTTGTTGTATGGCGAAGGTAGTAAAGCTTTCTATCGACTACAGCAGGCTATCCTTGCAATATCGTCAGATCAATCGATCTTGGCTTTTCGATCGAATCTGGAATCATCAGTCTTTCTTGGCGATTCACCGTTACTTGCACCAAATCCAAGGTCATTCCTCGACGAGGTCCACAACATGCATATGCCAGCTCGTGGCACGCATGCAATTCTGACTGGAACCACATTATCTATCGAGATGCTTATAAGTCCAGTACAAGGGGTCGAAAATCGAGATAAGTATCTTGGCATCTTGGATTGCTCGTTAGATGGAGACCCTTCTATGAGGCCTGCTATATTATTATCACCCGTACATAAAGGAAAACTGATTTTTCGTCGAAGTCCTGGAGATGTCAAACTGTTTCGACTGCGACCAAGTCATCCCGGCGAAGCGGTTCCAATGGAAGCTCGTACACTGGAACCCGAACCGCGTACGCTTGACCTGAGTGACAAAACTCTCCAGTTAGTTGACTGATCAATGTAGTGTTTGGTTCGAAAATTAGCATACGCTACGACGCCCATGACATCGAACGCTCTCGCATTACAATCATTGGTGAGAAGCCGGATAATCACAACCAACGCCCTGTGGCAGTGCCTATACGAGTCAACATATCTTCAGTCTGCCTCGATCACTGCTCTATATTGTCACCGTCGCATATGGTTAACGGACAATTGCCAGATACTGTAGCCCCGGGATGGGTAGAGTTTTCTACTGGATTTGGTGAAAACTTCTCTGTCAATTGGATTCGACACTGGTCTTCTCTACATGCTGGCATTCGAGTGTCTTTGCTACCGGATGGCGAGGAAATGATACGGAGCGGAGCCGCGGCAGTCAGTGAGCTTATGTCTTACATGCCTATGGTCGACCTTGAGCTCGAGTCATTAGACGATTGCATGACTACTCCTCTTAGAGAGTTGCATAGGTCGAAACCTATTACACTTAGACATAGAGATCAAACCCGTCTCCAGGTTTGGATCTCAATATCTAGAGAGACCTTTATTGGCAGGAGTCGCTATGAATTGGGGATTCATGGGGAGATTGTGGATGACCCTGACATGCCGAAGAACGCCAGTCACAAGCTGATTGCGCTAGGATCGCAATTTGATGATCTTGACTTGCTGGATTACCTTGGGGCGATTGATGGCTGACAGTGAACTCTATATCTTCAACGATCGCAATACGAATTCAACCAATCTTCTCACCGAGCCAAAACCTCGATCCCATCTTACTGAGCCTCCACTTCACCCTCTTGCACACTGGTCACCACACCCTTAAGCATCCTCTCCCAGATCCTCCTCACAACCCTAAACCCCTCAGCCCACTCATCGTAATCTTCCACCGTACCAAAATTCAACCACTTCCCATCTCTCGCTCCAACATACTCCATCAACTCCGCATCCGGCTCTTCGCCCTGATCCTCGATTCCCACCTCCTCCGTCCCCTTGCTTCGAGAACATTCTGTATCCGCCTCCTCAAGTGCCTTCTTGGCCGCATCATCCAATGTCCTCGCCTCATCAATACTACTCGCGTCATAAACCCAGTGCACTAATCCCCAGCGCACCAGATCCTCTGTGTCGCAAGGAGTGAAGAGTAGTTGTACAACGTTCTCAGCCTCCAGTCTCATCGATTTGTCTCGACCAGGCGCTATGTCGTAGTAACCCACAGCATGCCTGCCATCTTTGTAGAACTCCGGTAAGAAGAGGACAGTCATGAGCTGCTCATCTTTCTTCTTCTCATACGGTAGATCGTCCGTGAACACAGCCTTCTCCTTGCCTTTCCACTTTCGGTTGGGAGCGTTGTTGAATGGAAGAATTGGTAGAGAAGCGTTTACGGGTCGGTTGGGCAGATGTGTAATGGCGGAATCGAAGTTTATGAACGGGAGATTCTTTTCTGCGATGCGTATAATGGCGAGGAAGACGGAAGGATTGGTAGTTGTGGCGCGGTAGATTGGCCAGTCATAATCGAGACGGTTGAACTTGGGTTTAGGAAGGCGGGCTTTGCCGTCCCAGATCTTATGCTCAACATGCTCCATGTCTCCGTCATCATTCTCTTTTTCGTTCTCGTTGTCAGAGGATAGTGGAGATGAAGAACAGGGCACAGGTAGCGCGTCTCTAGGAACGAGCTTCTCCATGTCCTCTGCAAAGTCTGTGGTGATGTGCTCATACGTCTTCCGCAAAGTGAGTTGGTGTCGATAATGGTCGATCCCCAACTTGCGGCCTGCTGTATTGAGCTCGGTACTATTGACGACAATATCGTCTTGGTGCGAGTCCCAGGGGTATTCCTTCTCCTTTGGGATCTTCAGAGGCTGCTTAAATGATAGCGGCTCGTTGAGTTGTAGTGGAAGGACTGTTGTAGGCCCGCGCATATACGGCGGTGCTTCTGGTATGTGAGTATGTCTTGCCATCAAGATAGTCGAACGTCCGACTATCGATATCGCACGTATGGCACTGAGCGCTGCTGTTAGAAGTCGCGAAATTGGTCTTGTCGGTGTAGGCACTAGCAATCACAGGGTCAAAGAAAACCGTTGTTTGGTGGGAGAATGAGATATATGTCCGTGCACAGGCTGCGTTTGCAATTACCACTTCACTGCCTTTCAGCAAGCTACAATAACTATACAATTACTGCTACTGCACAAACCCCTAATCTGACTCATCGTCCGTGTCTTGACCAAGTACCAGGGATATCTTGTCGTCGTCACTGTCATCGTCATCGCCTCCTTCACCTGGCTCCGGAAGTTCAGGCACAACTGAAGCAGTGCTGGTAGCGGCGAAATCTGAGGTAGCGGGTACAGTAGTATCAGAAGCTGCGCCACTTGATGAAATCGCAAATGCCGAAACAGGAGGAATTGGGTGTGCTGTGCGCTGTTCGTCTTCGTCGGTCCTCGGTCGCTTGGATGGTGAAAGAGGCCCATCCTCGCCTATCGGTCGCTTCGTCTCGGTGAAAGCAGTAGGTTCAGAGATGTTAGGGCGTTGCGCAAGTGTACCTTTACGAACCGATCGTGGGGTAGATTCGATAAGCTTGCTGGGTGTTGGCGCATCCTTCATAGCAAAGTCCTTTGCGACTGTATCTGGCTGGCTAGCTGTCTCCAGTAGGTCGTCCAACTCCTGTCCAGCAAAGTGATCATCCGCCTGTTCCGACGATTGCGTCTCTTCTTCCTCCGCCTGCTCTTCTTCAACTTCCATCTCTTCGTCGTCATCGTTCTCATTTTCCACCTCCAAGTCTTTACCGCCCAAACGGATCACCGGCATTCTTGGTCGGAGCATGCCTTCGACATCCTTCTCGGCCGAGAAAGACCGGGCCATAAGTGGTAGGATGCTTGCGGCAGGCTTTCCAAACTTCTTGCTTGGTGGTGGATTCAGCACGCTAGCTACCATGGCGTCTTTGTGTTGCGTAAGGATAGCGGTGCGATCTAGCCGGCCTCGCATCGAGTCGGAGAGGTATTGAGCCGGAATGTTCGAAACCAAAACGGGAAGCAGATTGTGAGCGGCTTGTTTCAGACCATCAAATCCAAGGTTGGGTCCGCTAATGTTTTTCGTAGTACCGAGGAAGCTATCGGCATTAGCGGTAGTTTGAGGTTGACTGTTGCCATTCGCCTTGGCTTGGCCGGGAGTCTGTTGGGTCGAAGGTGCCGCGATCTCGGATGGTAGCAGATCATCGCAGCAAGTACGGATGAGCGGTACGAGAGAGTCGATAGTAGCCTTGTGTAGAGCGACACCGGATCTCTTTAGTAGAGCAGCAATGGCGGTGTAACACACCGTTCGGATCTGGCTAGTCTCCTTCTCTGCGCCAAATACCCATACGAGTTGGTCGATGATGATAGGGTCCAATGCCAATGTGCTAGTCTGAGATCGGTGTGCTAACGCGAGAAGCACCTCGATAGCTGCAACGTGCACGTCTGGTAGTAGCAACCAGAGACTTTCACGCTCTTCTTTACTAACTTGCGCATTCAGGCGCACAGTGTTCTGGAAGTTCTTGCTCGCAGACGCTGTAACTGTAAGAGAAAGCATCCTTGAGACCAAGTCTACTATCATGCCAACATTGAGATACACTGTGTTTACTGTAGGGCTTTCAATGTATTCCTTGATGACGTAGAGAAGTCCCGCCAAACGCTCACCACCAGCAAAGATTCCTGACCATGGTGAAAGATCGGAGCCAGGCTCTAGATCTTGGACTTCATCGTCTAGTGTATGTCCGTTCGAGAGGGGTGCTTCCCGCGCTGAAGATTGCCAGTCCTCTACCACAGCACGGAACACGCGGTCCGAAGTCAGATGAGTGAGGTTTGTGATATTCTTCACAGCCTTCGTCCACTCTTCGCTCGAAGCGCCCTTCGGCGCACAGCAGGGCAGTTGCACATAAAGCTGGCGCGCCGCGTTGGTAAGTTCGGAGCAAGTCCCAAATCTAGCTCCGGTTTGCTGCTCTTGACTGGTCTTATCAGATGGTGTGGGTGCGATGAGGCGTCCCAGAAGCGGGTAAAGTTGCTTGAGGTAAGACCTGAAGATAGTAGGATGTCGGGGCAGTAGCTCATTAAAGCTCTCCAGGATGATCTGCAGCAGACTGACGGGAGTCGCTTTGGCGTTCGCTAGCTGCAAGCAGGTCTGGAGAAATGGTGGCAAGGACGGAGTGGTAATTTCGCGAATCAACGTCGGGTATTCCCTGGTTAGGAGGAAGATCCGTGTCAAGGTGATGATGCACAGCTTCTTGGACGATGGCGAATCTGGCTTGTTTAGGAATCCCAGAAGACCGCGCACCCACGGCAAACTCTTTTGTAGAGTCTCCCAACCTCCAACTTCAATAGTGGCTTTGATCAGCACTATGGCACACCATCTTCCATGGGGAGTCCGATCTTGGAGCAAGGTGGAGAGGAGAGTCCTGAATTTGTGTATGGCGACAGATGCTTCAGAGGATGTCGCCTTGGTACCTGAGGCCTGAGCCGAGGAGAGTAGAGTTCTGCAATTGGCTAGTGATGCAGCTATGGCAGGCACGTGTTGGGGAAGCTGAGATGTTGGCGTGGACGAGATGCGGAAACTAAGTGCGCGCAGTGTTGCCAACTCGGATGCGACGGGCGCCATGATGATAGCGATCCCTTCTCTTTCTTCTCTTCTTCCCAGCTGGATTCTGATCAGCGGACTTGTTGTCGCGGAAAGATGATAGGAAAAAAGTTCGAGCCTCGGAGTTAGCGTCGGACCGCATGGCGCTAAGACTGCAGGGATGTGCGGGCCAACTGGGAAGAGTGGGACTGGCATAGCAGTCGGTCTGTGACATGTGTACAGCCATGGCAGGCGGCGTCGCATTCAGTATTGCTCGTCGAACATGATTCTACAAGTATCGCGACTTTGTCTAGTGCCAAAGGCATATTCTTAACATCATGGTGGTATGTCGTCATGACTCTTCTTCTTCGCCAGGACCCCTAGCAACGTCATGCTCGACAACGGTAGCTTACTGGACATACAGAACGCCCCCGAAAACGAGAAGGCCAAGCGCTACATACAGCAATTGGATGAAGCAAGATGCGCCGGGCGATGGCCTGACGTCCCTGAGCTATGTCGCAAGGTCGAGAAGCATGCGCCGCACCGACGATGTCAGCAAACCTCTCTATTTGGTCGTTCTGAGGACTAACGGCAATCAAAGGCCTCACCCTCACCGCGCGATCCGACGCCCAAATAGCCACCCATAGTTCCCAAAGGCCCTCGACGGCCTCCTCTACCGCGTCTACCGGCGACCTGTCAAATATCATACCCACACTACTCGCTACAATCGAAGAAGATGGCACACAGGGCCAAGATATCTTCCAGGCCAACGTCTGCCTGGCTTGGGCTCACTACGTACTGGGCGAGCCAGGACAGGCAGTTGCGCGGCTACCGCAAGACTTTGGGGCAATGGCGACCCAGCTGTCCGGGGAGTCAGGCACATTAAGTGGCTGGTCAAAGGTCTGTCTAGTCAAGGGCACATATCTGAAGGGTACGAGTATATGGAAGCACTCGGCGGCGGCTCGGAAAACTAACACAACACAGGCTCTGGGCTCGAGAAGACAGGCGCCACAGACGAGGCAGTCACGACCTACTCGTCCATGATACCTTGGCTATCCTCCAACACCACCCCAAACACTGAATCAGCCCAGTTCAAAATGTGGGGCGAACAGTCTCTCGTCCGCCTCTGCCGGCTCTCTGATCAGTCCGCGGGCACCAGCGAGAAGATCAACGCGTCCGATGCTCTCCGTACCTACCGCTACTGGGCGAAGTTCTGGGACGCAACCTCCAAGAATGCTGCGTCAGACACCGGCAGTTCAGCATTATATCGACGATTAGCATGGAAGGCATACTACGATTCGCTGTCCACGATCCTCCGTTACGACCTAGCCTACGAACCTGATTCGACACCCATCATCCAAGAGAAGCCAACACCAACCGCCCAGTCCGACGCACGTCTACGGCAAAGAGCAGAACTGAAACGAGTAGAGGCTGTCTACGAGAACTTGTTGATAAGGGAGACCAAGTTCCCTAAAGCTAGTGAGACTAACCATGAAGTTGAAGCGTGGGTGGACTCTGTCATGGACAACTGGCGCCTTCTATGTGGTCCCAGCTGGAGTGACGATGATCTGGGCGAAGGTGGAAAGGAGGGTGTCGCACGAGGTGTTCTTGATGTAAGACACCTGTATTTCATGACAACCTTAGACTGACAACATCTAGATACTCTACCGAGCGGCCACCAAGACATACCATTCTACGCAGATCTTGCGCAACCTTTTCGTTGTCCATGCGTCCCTCGCCGAGCCTGAATTGGCATACAAAGCTTACGATTCGTATGTCGAGATTATCACACGCAACAAGGATCGATCAGAAAAGTCAGGCGAAGTGGAGGCGGGCATTGACGACGATAGTACCGTCATGAGGACCTCCGCCGAGGCCATCAGGATGCTCTGTCGTTGGGGGTCTAGGCACGATGCTGAGCGGGCTCTTGAGATCAGCCACAGTATCGAGCACTGGCTTGAACAGGCGGATCACCTCAGGTCAATGTCCGATGCCGGCTCTGTCGTCTTTTCCGAGTCCGTGGTCGAACCTACAGCTTTAGCTGCCGCTTACTGTGCCATCGGTGTCAGTCAGGCGCACTGGGCACGATTGACATACGAAGTTGAGGCGCGTGCGAAGATCCAGGCCAAAGCTATACAATACCTAAGGAAGTCATTGTCACCGAGTCTCGGCGACGAACACAACGTGGAAGCCCTATACGCACTGGCTTTGGTTCTAGCAGAGACACGAGATATCCCTGGGGCCATCAAGGTTGCCAAACGTGCACTTTCTCCAGCGACAAAGGGTACGACTATTAGTACAGATGGAGTCATTTCTGGTGGCATTCCGACTGAGTTTGGACGCGAACGAAAGCTAATACCCGTATGGCACCTTCTCGGTCTACTTCTCACATCGCGATCCGAGTTTGCCGCTGCTGAGAAGGCATGCGAGGCAGCTTTCGAGCAGTTCGGTGATCCCGCTATCCTTTTCGGTCGTGATTCGGGCGCTTTCCGAAGCGAACACCTCAACCAAGCTGCTGGGCAAGACACGCTCGAATCAGGTGTTGTAGATCGCATGGAACGCTTCGAGAAGAGCAACATACTGCAGATTAAGATGACGCAGCTGTCTTTGCTCGAAATCACTGATGGCGCCACCGCCGCAGTAGACGGGTGTGACGAACTTCTTGCGTTATATGGCAGACTGTTCGGTGACCCGGCAGCTGACAAAGTCAAGCCCGCACCTGAGCCTGCAGCACTGGCGCCCCCAAAAAGTGCTGTGGGAGCTGGTCGAGGAAGTATTTTCCGCGGACGAGGATCAGTCAGGACAACTCAGCAAGAAACCGTCCCTCGGAATACATCGGCGGTCAGCGGGAACACGGCTACGACGAACCCAGAAGTGCCTCCGGCGATTCAAGTTACCGACGACAAAGGTGCAGATCATGCTAACGGTCACCACCGTCACCATCTATTCCATCACCACAAACAGAATGATGGTCACGCAAGTAAAGATCCTACATCAGAGGTACCACCGCTTCCAGAAATTCCTACAAATGGCACGCCCTCAAAGTCTCCTCACCCAACTTCCGTTTCTAGCCCCCAGAGAAAATCTGTAGAAAGTGGTGAACGACCGTTGCGAGATATTCCTCATAACCTTGATCATGCCGCCCCACCACTGGGTCACGAAGAACATCCTCCTAGACAAGACACCCGCCTACCTTCTCGCCTCCCGCATGCAAATTATATCCCTGCGGACCCTTACTTCTCCAAAATCCAAGAGCGTCGCCAGAAAGTTTCCTTATTGGTCAGCATATGGATCTTTATCTCTGGGCTGTATGCAAGGGCGCACATGTTTCAGGATGGCCGGGAGGCTGTCGCTGAGGCATTGAAGCTGGTGGAGGCGTTTGAGGCAGAGGTATCATTGGAATCCTCAACAGCCAAGGCGCTCGCTGAAAAAGGATGGGGTGGTGGTAAGAGTGTTGAAGAGCTGTGGGCTGACGTGTTCGCTGCTGTAAGTGTTCATAAGACGTTCGTACCGCTCTTTACTAACATATTTCATAGCGTGCAGAACAGCTCGTAGCCCAGTCGCTGAAGCATGAAGCTCGTGTAGACTTTGAGCGCGCTCTACAACATTTTCCCGACCACCCTGAGGCCATTGTCGGCCTGTCGAACATTCTCTTGGACATCTACACCGAGGCGATACCACTGGAGCCTGCCAATGCCGACGGTGTCGTGCATCCTTTACCACCATCGGCATCTCCCGACCAACCAAGCATAACCAAATCGAAGACACAATACCTGACTTCGCACACGCCATCAGTAGAGAACCAGCTCTCCTCCCCAGAGCTTACCCGTCTTGCCGCGCGAGACCGTGCATACGGTCTACTGTCCACACTCACCAAGCTTGGTGCTGGTTGGGACTACTCTGAGGCATGGTATGCGATGGCTAGGGCATACGAGGAAAGTGGGCAGATCGAAAAGACGAAGGATGTGCTCTGGTGGTGTGTTGAACTTGAGGATACGCATCCGGTGCGAAGCTGGAAGGTGGTTACTACGGGTGGGTTTGTGCTGTGATTAGTTTGAGATGGTTGTACGTAGTTGGGTCGAGAGTATAGTCTAATACTTGATACGTGTATCTCCTTACTAAGTCTTGAATGATATTGCAGCATGTTGGGCATTAACCGAGTGGCTACCCTCATCATGTCGTACAGACGTTTCCATATCCATGTACGTGATCAAATGCTCTCAGCAGACCAAACAGGTGGGCAATGCCAGCACAGACAACGAGGCAATGCATAATCTGGTGGCTTGAGCCCCAGATATCAAATCGATAGGGATACCATTTCTCTGGGATCTACGCATGATCAGCCTTCCCTATGTATTGACGAGATCAACGTGGTCAGAGGGCTCTTAAACTTACTCTCATAGCGTACAACGCGCCGCCGGTAAGGTTGAATGCCGTCATCAACGCCATCCAGTCCAGACTCATCCTCCACATTTGCGTCTCCCAGCCAAACTTCAACAAGCCATGAACGATGGGGATGATGAACGAGAGGCCAAGCCCAGAATACATGGCTGCGCGGTATGGACGATACTTTGGACGACGGAAAGCTGGGTGAAGCGTCGCGTAGACACAGCCTGCTGCTAAGACCGAGACGAGGGTGTAATATGTAGTTTGTAGTCGTTGTGTACAATAGAAGCCATAGTGAACGCACGGGATGGTGGAGCCCCACATGAGTATCACGATGCCAAGCTAGAGCAGTCAGTAGCTGAATGATACTGTCATGTCGTTGCAGGCAAAAATCGAGCGCCCTTGGGTAGCTGACTAGTGGGAGGCGCTCGGTTATTCTCTACAACGACGTGCTGCGACGTGGAGTTTGCTTACGTAGTCGAGCTGATTACCGAAGACGTGAATGCTTTCGCTGTGGTTGTTGAAGACGTGAAAACTGCCACTCATGTCAGCTTTTGGATGCCAGAGAAACAGAGACGCGGAGCGTGGTACGTTGCAGATAGCGCAAAGCAAATTGCGACACCGAAAAAGAAGGTAGAGAATACGACAACGTCTGCTGTGGTTGCCGTGCCGTATCTCGGCTGCAAGGAATAGTATACCGGTATTGGAAGTGCAAAGAATAGTACTGATCCTATGAGATGCGAGAATATGTTTACTAGAGAGAAGTTAGCTCACCCACTATGGGCGCTGCATACAATCTTACCGGTTTCGTTATGGATACTGATGATGCTCCTGAAGCATTTTCTGTAGGATCCTGAGACTGCTCTGTGTTTCTTCGCGTTCAGAAGACAACCACGATACAAGATTGTCGATGACCTTACCTATAGCCAGACAAGATATACTCATTATCTCTAAGCCTTGTGAGCGCACGTTCGTGCAAGTACCTATCAAAGGGTGAATGTACTGGTACCAATTGGCTGCAACATCGATTAGCTATAGAGACATGATTCAGTGAGTTGCCTTACGAATCTCATTCCACATAAGCAAGAAACGCGGTTGCCTTTCCCTTATCTGGTTGCGAGACACATCCTGGCGACCATCAACTTTGAAATTCGTATGTGCGGGGGACATGTACGTACCCGGTGCGCCGCTGCTGATCCTGCCCGTCCTCCAGGTCTTCGAGATCGAACACTCATCCTCGATAGACGTATCTTTGGGCATATAAAGTTGAAGTGGGATGTTTTCGGAGACTACAAGCAGTACATCCTTTGTTCATGTAATCTAGTGCAAGAAAGGAAAGGCCGATGCACGGATCAATGTATAAATACGGCGTAAGACGCCTGATCTCCACACCGGTTCCTTCTCGTTCGGCTATGCTCGAATCAACACCCCAGCCCTGATCTGCCAGTATCCAGGTCAAACCTCTTCATTGATCCCATTCTGCACTAGACCCCCGTAATACAGTAGTCCTTTCCCCGTGCTCCGCGCTGCTCTAACTCCCTTGATCATCTGCACATGAAGCTGGTCTTCCGAGAAAAGATGCCAAGACGGCTGTCTAATCTCCGCTTCGTCAGGACCCAAGAACCTTAAACGCACGTTGAAAGAGACGTCTTGGCGGTTGTGACCAGCTATACAATCGTGATAAGCCAATCGATGGAGCAACCAGGGTAGATCACCATAGCCGCTAAATACTCGTCGTGGTGTGGGGCTATGGGGACACATTATCTTGAAGGCCAATCTCTTTGCTCTGGAGGTCGTCGTGACAACAGGCAGCCCAATGAAGCCATCTGGGACCTCGACGACGACTGTGATAGGGGGATATGTGTACATGGGTTTTGGTTTTGTGCCTGCGTATTTGATCGTTCGTAGGAGGAAGTTAATCAGAGCCTCCAACATCTTTGCATCGATATGTTTCCGAGTGAAGCCTTTTGTGTAAAGTTGTTTAAGTAATTTTGCGCTCGATATTGTGCCATCGCGGTAACGGCGGATATCTTTCACGCAGCTGGACAGTCGGTGTTTCAAGAGACAGGTCAACCAACTCCAGAATATGCGTGAGATGGCGAAAGAGTTGTTGAGGTTTACGAGACCAAGAAGGTGGTTTGCTCTGATAGTGACTGTCGGTGGTGTTGCTAAGATCTTCTTGAGGAGCGGGCTCAGTATGTACCCTGCTTCTTCATAGATCTGTCGGTTGGCTGCTAGGATTGATACACCTGGTATCGTTGTACAGACTAGTGTCATATGATCTTGGCCCTCTTGCAGGTGCAACTTATGACGCTGTGTAGTTGGGCGTAGCTCTCCATAGATCATCTGACGTATTTCCTTTGGTAGATCCAAGAACCTGAAGGGTTTCGTATCATCGATACGTAGCGGTGAGAGCGCACATGATTTCGGCAGTGATGTTGTCGCCACTGCTTCAGGTAGCGAGAGATGAACTGGCGCTGCGCGACCCATGGATGTATTATTGCAAGAATTGAAGAAGTAGCAACACGGCTGTTGTTGGGTAGGGTTGAACTATAAGGTTATCAGTCTCGACCTTCACAGAGGGAATATTTTTCCAGATACACATGTGATAGCGCGTGACTGCAGATGAGGACTAGCTTTCACCGTGATGGGTGGATACTGCTTCCCCTGTGAAGAAGTGGAGACCATCACCAGTCTTCCCTAGGTTATTGTCCTTCGGGTGGAGATGACACTGAGCCGACGAGCCAATCACAACTTGTACGGAATTGTAAATTGCAACAAATACCATCGCAAACTGGAGGAAGCCTCACACTTGCCGTGCATTTATGAACTTGCCTCTATACTAAGCGGCCTCTAGTGTTGAGTCCAGTTCGTCTTCTGCTTCAAGCCTACCTACGGTTTCTCGAATGCGAGCTTCCAGCCAGGGTATGCGTTCTTCAGCCGAAAGCTTGTAATAACTCAGCCAATCGATTTCTTGGCAAACAGCATCAATACAGGTCCTAATGGGTTGCTGAATATCACACTCTGCAATATCACAATGCGCGTCGTCCATGTCCTCCGCAGAAGCAATGCGCCAACTTGCTCCTGCCTCCACAAAGCGTGTAAGATATTCTGCTTTCTCGAGGAACCAAAGTTCGGCCGGATATCCGAACTGTTCAAGCGTGAAGTCCGCGATATATTCTTCGCGACTCGCAGTGGTGATTGCGAGTACCGAATGACGGCCATTCCTCGTTACGGGTTCTTCGTCAGAATAGTGAAGTATGGAAAGAGGTCGGACAGAAACGATCATTAGCCAATCTACTGTAGCACCAGTTGGCCGAAGCGCATCGCGAATCCAACACAAGAGACTGAGAACGCTCAGGTCACACTGGTTGAACTTCAAGATCGCTGTTTGCATATCGTAAGGAACGCTCGGCGGAAAGGCTGCTCGACCCTTTGCGCTAACGCTAAAATCATTTCCATTGGCAGGGTGAAGAGTGATAATTGCGGGGCTGTAAGTCCGGTCTATTGTGAAATGACTTACGCAATCGTTCTCTGCGTTCTCTAGTATAGTCATGAAGATCTGTCGGAACGGCTCTAGAACCCTCTTGATCTGATCATGTTCGGACGCATTAGCTGTTGCGAGGTCTTTGGTGCTCAATATGAATCCCATCGTCGCTGGTTCCGCTCTTTATCCAGAGATTCCCAGTTTCATTCTTTCGGTGGTCACTGTTTACGAAACTTCATTTCGATTCATGGTCGATAGTGAAGAATAAGAACTCAAGAAACGAAAGTAGAGTAAAGGTGCGCTGTGTAGTCATACTGGGTGAGTTGAACAACCACTGTCTCTTCTGCTTCAAGTTGGAGTTCGTTCGCTCGTTGTTGAGCTGCTTCGCCAGTACAGCCCGCATTGTACAATCTGCTGTTCGAGGCGGAGTTGTTCGGCGAAGTTAAAGTGACTAAGTGAGAGTTATTTCCTAACACTGGCGAAGGATAATGAGCAGTGGTCAAATCGCCACTTAGTTGCCAGGAAGATACGGTGAAAGACGTCGAGTTCATCGTGGCATCGCGGGGTGGAGAAGGCACGGCCCGTGCGATATTTAGCGTGATCTTAGCGTGTACCCTGCATTTCCCTGTTAGCTGTCCCCCTCCTTCCTCCTCACCACCACACCTCGTACCTCTGCCAAGGAGGAACCTTCCAAATCGCGGTTTCGTTGATACCGAGGGATTTAGTCCGCAAAAGAGATGCTCTGCACCAACTGCACAGCCACGATTGTGCTTGCATGGCGTGAATTGCAAACGATGCACGAGACCCACTCATGATGCACGTTACGGTCAGGCCACTGCTGTAAAGCCACTCACACTCAGCCACGGGGCGCAAATTGGGGCGCTCGTGCATGGCCATACGCAACCCCGGCTCTTGGCAGCCGTTTACGCAGCTGCTCATAGACATTGTGTAGGACGGGGAATTGCGTGGTTCGCCTGTTATGGCAATTTTGTGTAAACAACCACCACTTCCAAGCCGGCACTCGGCACAGTGTCATGAAAGAGTCAGCGGTAGACGGTAAGATGCAGGAGTGGAGATGGCTCTCAGTGATGCTGAGGCGTAGTACAAGCGGTGGATCTGGCCTACGTTGTGTTTGTCGGCTGGGCATATGGGTCACTCTTACTTCTATTCTGGCCGTGCGGTGACCCGTATTCGGCCTATGCTCTTTCCATAAAGCTCCTAGCTTTCTCCTCATACTGTGGACCTCTCATCGACCTCTTTCCTCACCTCGCTCAACTTTAAACTGTCCAGCTCCATACTACACTCTACATCAACTCTATCACCACTCAAAACCCTTCCAATATGACCTTCTACCACACTGCTGAAGACATCCGCATCGATGACGGCCACATCCTGAGGGCTCGTCTCCAGACCGCCGACGGCGAGTGGAACGATGCCGAGATCGACCTCAACAACCACATTGGTAACGACAACGGTATGAGAAACGTACAAAGTCTACACGACTCTTGCTGATCTGTAGGAGGTCATTTCTTCTGGGACGGTGAAAACTTCTCCCATTCGGCAGAGGATATCGAGTTCGCGCTTGAGGGAGACGGTGACGTCCCTGTCCTCCGCGCTACCCTCAGGGATGAGGAGGGCAACGGTGAGACTCGCGACATCAACTTGGGCGAACGCATCATCAACAACGATGGCAACTTCCATTACGGTACGTCATTATGAGCAGACTCTTCGCGAGCTTGTTGCTAACACATCTTACAGAGTAGGCATCTTCCTGCGATGAGCCTAGTACAAGTTCCTCGTGCCTCAATCAGATCCTATGACGGGTGTCAGTCTTACGATATGAGCTTCAGGTATCTTCGTGTACTCCCCAAATGAAATGAAATGAAATAATACGATGATTCCCCATGAACACTGCCATAGCCTACCTGCTATACTACCGTCACGGTATCCGACTGTCGCTCCGATACCTCGTGCTGTTTCTTATCTGGAGAGATCTCATTTTGTCTCGTTCATTCACTAGTTAAGCCTTTCATGCACTCCTCTCTCTACTAGCAATGTCCAACTGTTTCGAAAAATATCTCTACACAAGCTGTGCCCCTGCGCTGCACTGCTCATCAACTCCGAAGGCCGATTTGACTATTAACGTTTCTCAAAGTTGAGGCCACCAGATAATCAGCTAATCCCTCACACTAAACACCTCGCAATCAGCCACCGTCCAATACTTACTTCATTATTCCAAGACAACAATGGCTGATGAATCTACGACACCGTCTCTTGCACCCTGGCAGATTCACGACAGATTTGTCGATATCGTCCGCAGCGACGCCTGTCCAATTCTTGATCTGATTCCATCATACGATCGTTTTCGGTTTGACTTGAACCAGTCCGAAAACAACGTCGTCATGTATGTGGGCGAGTATGGCGATGGCGAGATCATAGCGCATCCCGACGGCTCGGTGACGAAGCGCATCATCCGAGACTCCAACATTCGCAAAGCAGGAACCATCATAAAAGTCATCAAGCCCATGGGCGGGCAGTTTAGAGCTGTCGCGCCGTTCAGCTGGAGCGACAGTTCACGACAGGGTATCGGTACGCCGATGAGCGCACCAACACATGCTCTGGTATTGATGTATATGCACATCTGGGTTCTGAAAACTGGGAAGAACAATGTTGATCTACCCATGCCGGGGTATCAAGGGTTGTATGACGCATTGGTTTTGGTCCGGAATGCGATAGAAACAGAGAACCTGTTGCCGGTTAGGCAGTGCAGAATTCTAGCGGAGGTACTAAGTGCTCATCAACCTGGTGGTGTCGTCGACAAGGATAAGTCAATTAAAGAGGGTGTGGAGATGGAGGAGGCTTGAGCTAACACGTTCATAGTGACTCAACAGATACGCCATATTTCGAGACTGTTGCGCAGGCAGAACAATTTGTAAGATGATCGATCTGAATTTGGAGAACAGGAGCTTTGAAGATTGTAATGATGTGTCGATGTCGAACCTTAAGTTCCTGACGGTCTTCACATTGCGCTTTTACACACTGGGAGTAGCGACAGCAGCCAACGAACACACTTGCTGATAGTCTTATCACTACCATTTTGTATTCCAGCAGACGCTACTTCTAAATTTTGATATTATGAAAGTTGTTCTCTCCGAATACAAAAGCGATTAGAACACTGTGAAAGCTCATCTGATGCACTGAGGGTAGTTCAAGGCGAAGAAAATGATTATAGGGATTGAAACATGCTACTAGACATATGAAACTGACTACCAGCACACATCACTCTGCCCTCTTGTATTGTCAACTTCGAAAAGCTTGTCACCATCTATAACCATTCGTCTTTCCAAATCCCTTGCCGTCGCTGCCCTTCGAGATCCTGTCTAGCTTGCGCTTCTTGCTTGTTGTTCGACAATGCGTCGTCCGGTCGTTGTAGCAAGCGTCGTCACTGACATCTCCAATGACACTGTCCACATCGTCTCCAATCACGCTGTGAGCACTGTCTCCAAGCACGCTGTCGCAAAAGCTGGCGACAGCTTCCATGGGTTTATCCTGGTTCTCAGAAAAATCGAAAGTTTGACTGATACCGGTTATGTTAACAAGAGCTTGTCGCTTCAGCTTGAGTCTGACAACGAGTGACTCGTTGTACCGGTGATCTCTGTTCGCAAAGTTCGTTGGTAGAGCGGCGCGATCTCCATCCTCCGGAATTGGGTTCATCACTAAAGCGGCGCTCGGAACCTTCCTCTTCGATGCCGTATCACATAATGCCATTGGAAGTTTGGATTGAGGAGCCTCCGTGGTCTCCAAAGTTCTGTCATGCTGGACTGCTTGCTTCGCCACCGGCACTCCAACGGTGGTGCTGATGTAGTCCAGGGCAGCCATAAGACACGCATCGAATCGCGGCCATCGTATAGCACAATCGCTTGATTCCGAGATGAGCCCATAGTAGAAGACAACTGCGCATAGCATACCGCGCCCGTCTTTGGCGCCCTCATCAAGTTCCTGCTGCAGAAAGCAGAACGGCGGTCGAAGTTGACAAGCTTTTCGTAGGAGCGATGATGCAGCGCGTGGATATAGCTGGGTCGTCATAGCACCTTTGGAATTGATCGGTACCTCATCGCGGAACACAATTGGTGGCTCGCCCCCGGTATGATCGTCGTAGATGTACGCCCATACAGTAACTGTTTTCCCATCACTCTGGTTCCGATATCCGAGAAAGACTCTCGATGCCCAACGACCGGAGAGAATCGAGTGATGAAATTCGAAAGTAGCATGTGAGAGAGCTTCATCCATGGCAACCAAGAGATCGCGCCGCTTCAGCAAAGCCCTCAATCTCTTGATATGACGCTGCGACCCGCGCGGCAGTGTACTCTGAGCTTCGTTTAAACTAGACATCAGTCCTTATCTGAGATGCCTTGTGGTGCTTTGATGATATTAAGGTTGTAGGTAGAGGCGATAGAATGGAGAATTGTATGAGTCAGTTCGATGTTGGCTGGTATAGGTGACGCAGAGATCAATTGTCCATTACACGCCCGAAGTTACGACGACAATCGTGTCATTCTTGATATTCGCAACATTCATTTCACCATTCTTACATTACATAAGCTTACATAGCCTCTTCAAGCGACTCTAGCGACCAAACTCCAAATGGCAGTCAGGTTCCTCATGCTCCTGAGAGAAAAGAGGACTTGTAGTGTGCTATAGAAAGTGAACCCCTCCAGCTTTTAGGGAAGGTTCGCCAACTATGCCCCATAGCTTCCATTCGATGGCAATACGTCGAACATGTATGGTTGTACAAAGGGAGTGACTGCTGCGACGCTTCTCGTACTGGTTGGCCGTAGCCACTCGTTTTCACACGCTCCTTGTACCCAATCGATTCGCTAGTGAGGTCTTGATGAAACAACACGAACGGTTTTAAGCTGAGATGATCGGTATGGAACTTCTCGTTATCATCGTTTGTGGATATTTGACTCGTAGGTGCCCGTTATCACTTGGCATCACCAGGGCGAACCATAGTCTACATCTATTGGTCATGAGCTAGGCTATCATAGTCAATCCTGAAAAGCAGTGTGTACGTCCGGGAAAATTCTCAGCTACGCTATCCCACTTGATTCACCCGCCCTCTTCTGTAAAGCGCGCTAGTGTCACGCTAGTCGCGACCCCATCCACAAAGTGCAAACAATATGATCAACACACAACAAGACGCGACTTGTCAATTTGGAAGACTTTGAGATCGCCTGCGGAAAACTCATCGCCACTATGAGTAACAACGATGCTGCTCTTGAGGCGATTCGGGCTGCCTTGGGCGCCAGTGCCCCACTCCTCCAACATCTCCCGAGCGACAAGGTCAGGATTAAGTCCTTCGATGCCAAAAAGGGAGATCGCCCTAATACTATGCCAATTCGTATGCTCTTCGGCCAGATCAAAGAGGGACAAGACAAGGACAGCACTGTGTGGATATTGCTACAGCACAACCACTCTGCTGACCGCTCGCCCTGTCACTTCTTCAACATTTTCGATCGCTTCGACTCAATCGTGGGTCAGATCAATGTGGAGGATGCTGTACGGCGCACGAATCCAACGGCTCCTTTCAAATGTCTCAAGAAATCAGGCGACATAGATGGAGAGCAGCTGCGGGCAGTAACCAAATACTACTTCATCTCGAAAGAAGTGAATACTTCTTCTCCATGGACAGTTGGACCACAGTTCATGAAGTCGCTCAGGGCAGCATGTATATTGGCGAGAGAGTATGGAGTAAAGGTGGCTGCGAACCAGGAGAGGGAAAAGAGTCGAGAGGCAGCTGCCCAGAAAGAATGCGGGATCAAACTGAAGCTCGAGCCTCCGGCATCCAAGGCCTGTGTAGGAGAAGATAACGGTGTCTCGGTCAAGCTGGGTGAAGGATCAGCGAGTGTCACTTCATCCGTCACTAGAGTTGCTACTCCTCTCATCACCAAGGCTAGGAGGACTCCGCAGCCTCCGAAACCGCAACGCGCTCCCATAGCCTCCATGATACCCTCAACTCAAGAATCATCTGATTCATCTGACTTGTTCATTCCAGAGAATGACCATGTTCAGGCTGCTTTCGAGCCCCCCGTCAATAACACCCGAGTCAGAATTCCGGACATCTCCACAGTTCCAAAAGCCATGATAGGTCCATCATATCATATGCCTCCGCTTAATGCAACGGCCAATGTCTCTGATGCTCCAAATTTCAACAGATACTGCGATTTTCTCATCCGCTCAGATTTAGACGGGACGAATGATGACAGCGCAACCATGGACACTTCAAGGTCAACACCTGCGCACACAGAATCTGGAGAGGTACTTGCAAGTCTGATCAGGATACTTCGGGTGAAGGCGCATATACTAACAAGATAATAGACCGAGAAAAGCCCCAATTCCCAGTCGCCCGACAACTTCGTATCCGCTTACCGAAAGAATACTAAGGACAGAGACGCTATAAAGAACGAGATCAAGGCTGTTACGAGAGAGCAGAAGGCCGTACAGGAGGCAATGGAAGCTGAGTTGGCCGGTCTTGAGGATAGGAAACGAAAGCTGAAGGAAGTGCTTCGCTCGACCGGAGTGGCAAAGAAGCGTCTTCGGGAGTCACTCTCGGAGAAGGAACGCGGGCTGCTTGTTCTCGGAATGGAACTCGCAGAGAAAAGGTTGAAGCGGTTAAAGACAAATGCACAGTCAGAGGAAGGCACCAGTGGAGACGAGGACTAGGTTGCTTTGGAATTGTTCGAGCGTAAGATATTGAGATGCACTGTGCTAGTAGCCCTATCTTTGGACGTGCTTTATTGAAGGTCTTCCAGAATTTCGTGTAGTAGGAATTATGAACCAAAATGCTCAGTCCTATTAGGATCTAAATCACATAACAACAAACTCCTCAAAGCATCTGATGTGCTTTGTACAGTGGAACGACAATATAACCACGATGGAGTACTACGATTGGTATCATCCTTGTTGGGATGTCACTGCATCGCTCTTCTCCGCATTGTTTCCTATCGTTGTCCGCTTTCTCTCCACCGTGTCAGCAGCCCATCTGTCGAACCATTATAGCAAGACCTTTACTGGTATACATTCGCGCAAGTCCTCCACTGAAATACTATCGCGCATGCGCTCCAGATTAAGGGTATTCCGCGCTTCGAGTTTCGTAGTCATTTGCTCTCTCAACGCTTGCCTCTTTTTCTCAAACTTATCTTCGTGCCTTTTATTTAGTGCTGCTATAGCATGCTCTTGGTTGTCGAGCTCTGGGTGGAGCTCTGATTCGTACTTGATGTCTTGTTCCTCGATAATCGTTGTAAGCTCCTCAATCTTGCGATTGAGCACAAGCAGCTCTTGTTCAAGTTTCACTGCCTTAGCTTTCGATTCGAGATAGTGATCAATATTCAGTTTCGATAGAATATGAGGGACGGTCTGAAGTGAAGCCTGTTGAGAGGCTTCCGTGGGAGGTACTTGGGGCACCATGGCGGCACTACCTGCGACAGGGAGTTGGGAAATGGATACGGTGCGGCTAGCGGGCTGGACTCCATGATCGGGAAAGGTCTCGTTTTGCTCCAAGCTAGCTTCCATCGGTTCCCTTCTCATTAGCTAGATTGAAATCAGTCTGGGGATCGCCCTGAAGAGCTGGAAGCTCACTTACAGTGGTGGGCTGGGATTTGATACGATTGCGAGCAAGTACGTTACAAGGCTCTTTATCAGCCATGGGGAATGGTTAGTACCAGTTCTCTTCACAGCCGGATGACTGTGAACTGTATTCCAAAACCTGAGCGCGACGTGGAGATAGGTTGGAGGAAATCGTAGAATCGAGATGGTTTCAAACCTTTATATTAGTAGCCCCAGGTAGCGACTACCAGTAACTGTCGTGAGACATCGCTTGCATTGTCTCGTGGATGCGGGCGCCCGTCTTGGCAACATAGATGGTGTGTCCGAGACATGTAATGCAACTGCAGTAGAAGTATTGTAATGCTATGAGGTCGGTCTTGAGAACTCGGATAGCATATGTAAGCTATGTTTGAGGTCAGGACTAAGAGGGCATTAGTTGTGATATCAGTATCGATCAGGACACATGCAGGCGCGAGTAGGGTACGCACAATCACGTGAGTTCAGTGGTCCTGGGTACGGACAACGTACGGTGTAATCATGGTATCGGACCCTTGAGAAATTGGCATCCTGGATCTAGGAGAAGTAGCATCAGAAAATAGTGGCCACTGCGTCATGTGGCGTGGGGCTTACGGCAAGATTTCGCAGTGACGTGTCGCACTCGTCTCCCCGGAACAGAGTTTCATGTGCTGCTCACTACTTGGCCGACTCACTGTATCACATCGATGTCTTAGTAGAAGACACGTTGACTGGTTTGTCGTCCCGCCACAAATGAGAAGTGCTGTCGACATGCTATCATTAGAACCTAGCTGTCTTATAGTAGCTCCCCTACTCGTACATTTCCAAGTAACTCTGCATGCTCAGATTTGCCTAGCCCGACTTATTATTCTTAGTCTCGTACATGTTGGACCGAAAAAGCGTCTGTCTGACAGTACCGTTCGTAAGCGTTGTACCGTATACGTACATCTTTCAGAACTTATTCCATCCTCTGGCGCTTGGCCTCCATTCTTCGTCCTGCTTCGAAGCCGAAGTCAAGATGCTCGTCTTCGTCCAACTTAATCTGTAGCTTCCTCTTCTCCGCTCGCACGCGAGCCTTCTCTTCTTCCAGGTCTCCTTTGCGGTCATCGATCGCGTTCATATCCGCTTGAAGCTCTGCGACCTGATCAGCAATATTAGCACGCTTCATCTCCATGTCACCAATCCTTCCGTCGAGCTCTTCTTCCTGAGCCTTAAGTGCAATGTACTGATCCATCATGGTGTTTCGATCGATGTCGCCCAGATGGCCTTCACCTACTGATTGTTCAGACTCGAGATTGCTCTCATTGACTTGAGCTTCTTCCATATTCTCCTCAAGGGTATGCTCGGGAAGAGGAGGCGGAGCAGTCACAAGGAATGGCGAAGGTGGCTGTGAGTAGGAAGAAAAGCCGCCGGCCTTGTCCTCGATCGCGTTGCTTTGCCCTGGCTGTGTATGAGACTCTCGGTGCTTGGAGAACTGGGGTTGGTCAGGACTTGCGCTATGCCGGCGCTTACGACCCTCGACGCCACTCAGGCTCATAGCCCGAGACGAGCCGCGCGACAGCGCTCTTGATGACAGGCGTGACTGGACTGGAGAAAGCATCGAAGAAGCTGACGAAGAATGACCTGGGAAGGGAGCCTCTGAAGCTGCGCGCGAGGGCTCTTGAAAGCCGTGGGGTCGCGCAGGATCCATCCCATGATTACCGCCAGTAGTCATGATCGATGAACGCCGGCTTCCTGAATCTTGGCTCTTCAACTCATCGAACACTTCCTTGTAATGTTGGCATACGCGTACAAGACTATCTCGAAAAGGTGCGGACGATACTGGAAATTGGAGTTGCTTGTCGATACCTTTTTGAATGAAGAAATATTTGGCGACTGCCTCGACTGCTTGGTAACCTTGTGCATGCTTGAATACCTTTGATGCTTGTGCGACTTTCTGGATTGTACCTGGACGCACGCTCGCCTCGTGATTTGCAGCACCTTTGATAGTTTGAAAGGTCAACATACTCGCATAGTTGCTCCTTTGCTTATGATGAGAATTGAGGGTAAAATAGATCCAGAGCTGATCCTTGTTCTCGAGCATGTCGCCATACAGGAGTCGCTCGGGCGCTGCTTCGGGGATCTCATACTGGTGCTCAAAGGTGGCGCACCTATAAGGTAGGTATCTCAGGAGAGCCGCATCTTCTTCAAGGTCGCGCCAGAGCTTGTCGAGGGAAGGGTTGCTAGCGGGTCGAGGAGGCAGAGCTTCCATGGTCGTGAAGATTGAGCTAGATGTTCTTCGAGTCTCTATGCGGGGCAGAGTAGTTGAGAGTGTGGGTCGAGGAGAACGCAGGCGGTAGTGATCAGTTTTGAGATACTGCCACGTACCTGGCGATATACGCTAACCGTGATTTTGTTGCAGTGCGTACAGGTAAGAATTCACGTGACGAGAGGCTTCAATAGCTCCAGACATGGATGCCCTTGCACACCAAAAATGCTGCGGGTTAACGCTGGTATGCTCCAACAAGATCCATGATCATACTACAACAGTCGTGTATGGATACTACACCGCCATGTCAATCCGTATCTCTTTATCCGTTTCGTATCATATCGCTAATATGCGTTATCCCTTTCCGCCCACTGCTCCACCGGCGCCAGCTGAATTTCACCATACCCACTCTGCACCGGCATACCAGCCACCAACTCTATGCTGGTAGGTTTCACGGCCCCAGCCTCAAGTCCCCAAATACTTACAGCAATGTAGTTATCGCCGCGATAGTTCAATATACCCTCGGGTACCGGAAATCGTCGCTGTGGTCCGATACCGTTTGCGAACTTACCGAATTGATATCCGTTAACCCAGAGCTGGGCGCGCCACCCTCGACCTTGGCCATTGAACGCGTCGCCATTAAAGATGAAAGACAGGGGTATGTCCCAGCCGCCGGGTATATCGAGGCGAAGGGTAGTACTGTAAAAGCCGACGCCAGCGTGTGACAAACCAGTACCTGGACCGGCGCTATCGACCCAACTTGAAGTGGGTGCGGAGGGGAGATGGTAACCTTTTCGTTCGACCCAAAGAGCGCCTTCGTTGAGCGGGCCGCGCGACTTGTCCAAGTAGTCTTCACCCCCAAGATTACCTGTTATCTTCCACCTGATACCGTCATCAAGTCGCGACGCATTGGAAAGAGATGGGGTGTGGCCTGGGAAGCTGTATCCAATGATGCCACGCGGTGTCTTCATCTCGTTGTATCCAGCAAACCAGTTGCCATACTGCCCCATATGGTCGCTCAACACTGTCAATACATAGTGCTCGCCGCGATGCAATACGGGCATGTTTAGTGTCATGTTTGCGATGGCCGCATCCTTAGTTCCCGGCCACGATCCGATAAAGGTCTGGTTTACCCAGGCTGAGAAAGCGAACGCTGGTCCTCCGGAGACATTGAGATGAATCACATCCTCATTGCCTGTCGCGATGAAGTGGCCGCGAGTTATCAATGAGCCCGTATTGTACCCATATTCAGAGCCCCAGAGTACTGTTGGGGTGGTCAATGGCCAATACGTATTGTTGGTATCAGTGTGATCGGCAGCCGTCCACGTTGAATCGTCGTACGATGAGTCGAGTTCAGGTAGCGCATCCGTGTATCTCCAATCGAGAGCACTCAAGCTTGGCAGCTGGAGAGCAGGAGCTTGAAAATCTACAGTAGCCTTCAGGAAGCCATTTCTATCGAGCTTCGACTGGATCGAAACTCCGTTGAAGATGAGCCCCCCACTATGTGCATGGGCACCCCCAAGTACCTCAACGTCTGTTGTTGCATTGACGTCGCCAGAAAGATGAATATCTGCATCTGTCATCGTAGCATTACGAACAAGGTAGCCAGAACGAACGATAAGATCGCTGGATGGTGTCGCAACATGGGAGTAGCTACCTTCCGGTGACGTACTCACGGTCCAGTAATCGTATGCAGAATTGCGGTCAAGTATGACGATGTACAAATTCGAACCGACGCGTACCGTGCGACGTTTTTCACTAGTGGTCCAGTGCAAGATGGTGTTGCCGTTGCGATTCGAGAACTTGACACCTGAGCCCTCCACTGCTGTTGCTCCACTGGTCTCAGCGACGGCCAACTCATGGGTTTCACCCATGCCTCCATACACAATAAGAACTGTTCTTTCTTGGTAGGTCTTCCATGTAAAGACTTCGGCGCTGGAGTAATGCAAGTTGAAGTCGCCTATGTTGTAGTCTGCGACATGGATCTTTGAGTCACGACCGTTGATAGACAGCTCCCCTCCAAGCTGCGGTACTGTAATGTTGCCCTGGCTGGTTTGAACTGTAAGCTTGTATGTCTCTGATGCGAGGGAATTGTATTTCGTTTGGCGTGCGACGTAAAACCTGGTCTTTTCGCCAATGAGCGGCGTCACCGTGATGGCCTCATTGGTCGCGTAGACTCCTGTCGTATTGTATCCAGGTACTGCTGAAGCTAGCGCGGGCGACGCTTGCACAAAGTGTGCAATCAGCTTGGCCTCGCTGTATTTCTCACGATGTACCTGACGTTCTTCCGTAATGACTGCACCGTAATCGTACGACATGTAGTTGCCAGCACCCGCCAAGTTGCCCCAGTTGGTGCCACCGAATGTCTACCAATGGTTAGTACGAAGAGATATCAAGAAGATGAAGAAGTCTTACCATGTACACGTTCGATATTGTAAGCCCTGCAGCGATGTTGTTCTTGTAAAATACGCGCTCAAACTCTTTTCCTGTGAAGAGGGCACAACGATCAAAACCGTCCTGTCCCCAGCCTTGATACGCCCCGCCTTGAAACTCTGGAATTGTGTATGGTGTATTTGCGCTCTGATTGAGATGTGTCTCCCTCCAGTTCGTGGGCAAAGCATCGTCGATCCAGTAAGTAGGATCAGTACAGTTCATGCCTAATGGATACGAGTCATGGCCGTAGATGTCAACCGGGGCATCTGTGCCAGGCGCGTTAACGCCATTAGGCCAAGCAACATTGTTGATGAAAGGTACCACAATGCCAAGGTCCCGAAATTGGCGCATCAGTGTGTTCATATAATCCGCGTCAGGAAATGTTACGTTGTTCGCACCCATGGAATACTCGTTCTCGGGCTGGAACAATATGACTGGGCCACCGTTGGTTATCTGTGCTTTCGCGATGATGGGTGTTATCGATTCGATATAGTTCTTGGAGGCTGCCTGATAGTCCTCATCTGACGTCCGAAGATTACCGGAGATGCGCTGCAGCCATCCCGGAAAGCCACCTCCCGATACTTCGGCGTTGATGTATGGGCCGGGTCGCTGCCGAGTCAGTAGGATACACTCACAATGGAAGTGCTTGTCTTACAGCAATGAGATAGATTCCGGTTTTTTTCGCAGCCTCAAAGAAGGGAACCCAGTCAAAGATACCCTCAGCACGGAAGTCTCCCGGCTTGCCTTCATGAATAACCCACGCAGAGTAGAAAGAAATACCATTGTATCCCATGGCCTTGATTTTCTGGAAGACATCCAGCCAAAGGCTCGGAACAGGAAGGCTACCTACGTTAGGACCAATTCATAACGAACAATACTTGACTTACCGGAAGGGATGAAATTCGCCGCCCCAGAAAATGACACGCTCGCCGTGAACGAAGAGCGAATGCTCGTCCCACGTTACCTAGAGCTGCTATCAGATACATGAAAGCATGCCAGGATTTATAGAACCCACGATATCTTGCAGCGGTGCCCGCTCCTCCACGATCAGACTGCGTAAGTCTCCGTTTATTGCTCGTGCTGCCGCATAATGCACATAAACGGACGCGAGCGCAAGGCTCATGAGCCCGCGCAACATCTTCATTGTACTTGATCAAGCTCAAATGCAACGAAGAAAGAATCTAGATCTTGGATCAGGGAAGATTGGTCGTTGTAACCATGCCTACTGAATACTATAAGGTCGATCCTGAGATCGTCAAACGGCCGCTTGCCGTCTTTGGCGTGGCCGTTGTCCGTTTCCAATGGGGTTTAAGTCCATTTTCTTGCATACCTACGTCCCGCCATGTGCACGTTGACGCGACGACATCAGATGTTGGAGATGCAACTTAACGACGGAGAAATAGGTTCCAGTGCGGGGTAAGACAAATATTATTCCGGCAGCATCATAAACCAACTACAGCGAACTGTTTTACGATGTAATTGATGTGGTCTAAGCAGAAGATTGTTCAGGATGGGGAGAGATCAGGCACGAACGGGAAGAAGTGAAGGTGGCCAAGTCGCTTCTAGTTGATGCCGACGCGTTGAGAACGCGTGACGTCAGCGGAACGCGCTGCACCAATCTCGGGTCTAGCTTCCAAAATACCGAAGTCTACCCTAAAACCATTGCTCGTGGAATATTACTAATTGAACAAGACAGTGATCTCATGTAGTCAAAGGTATGTTGTCCATGATGGGTGTTGTTCTAACACATACGGGATCCTCCGTCTGCCTAGTAAAGTGAAACAACCTACGAAAGATTTCGTATTCTGCGGATCCTGCTCCCCCAATTCTTGGGCGAACCAATCTTAATATATACATGGTACTCTACAGCTTCCTTGAGTACTGTACGGAGCATGCGATGATTCCCTGACCAGCATCTCAAATCTTTCTCATCGCGTAGTTTCCCAAAACCTCATCGAACTTTCAGCGCTTCTTCATCATCTCCCCGCCCAGCTTGTACGCTTCCATGGCACTCATGCCCTCCAATAACTGTTCTCGGCGAGCAGCAATCTTGATTAGCTTCTCTTCAATCACTCGATTCTTCTCTTCATCCTCCTGAAGTGTCTCGCCTATCTCTTGTAGGGCAAGCTTCGTCTCCGCTATCTCTGCTACTATCTTACTCTGGGAATCTCGGAGTTCAACTTCTTCGTCTTGGAGTTTGGTGCGATCTTCGACCAACTGAGAAGCTGAAGCGCTGTAGGTCTGCTGAGGTGAGCTCCATCGTACGAGAATGTCAGCGTGCTTACTTACAGAAGCAGGTACCGTTGCAGGAGTGATCGGCTGGGCGGGCTCAAACGGATCCTCTGGAGCGTCACTGAGAACGCTATCCTCATCATCATCCACAAGCGTTGCTGATTGGGATCGCGACTGCGTGTCCGAGAGATTGGCTTTTGCCTCCGCCTCAAATTCGCGGCAAGCGGTCTTCAGCGCGTCGATAAGACTACGCGTGATGGGTATTGGTATTGCTAGGTCATATTGGCGTTCCTGTTCCGTCCACCTTGATATGATAATATTAAGGAAGTAGTACTTTGCCAGTGCTATATACTTGTTCTTCGAACCTCTCTTTGGTGTTTTGAAGGCACCGGCAATCGTGGTGATCGTAGCGCTGATGTTACTGTCGTCATGCCTGGTCTCAGGATCTAATGAGTGAAACTGCACCTCCGCATTTCCACCTTCTTTGTTTGGTGGGTATAGCAATATTCAGACATGTAGTAATTTCTTGGTGTACTTGTCGGTGATCTGACCAAACAGAAGCTTGAAAGGGACAGCGCGCTGGTCATGTGTCTGAGGTGCATATCTGATCTTTGAGTGCGGCGCGTAGTCAAGCAGGGCTTGGCCTTCGACGCCTAGCTCTTTGCGTAGCTGAGCCAGGTTTGCGATAGTGACAGTCATGGTGGAGGTCTCTGGCTGAGTGGTTGTGCGTCAGGATGTTGGTGTGATACTGTTTAAGATACTAATGATAAAGACCTGTGCGAGGGAACTATGATGAGATTGCGTCTAACTTCTGGCTGGTCGCGGTTGTGTTCTTATACTGCATGTGCTTTGTTTACGCGGCAGGAGTTGCGTGTGGACTTAGCCCCAAGAGTAGCAAGCGCTTGACTCAAACGCGCTAAGGATAGCGGTGGTGAAGAAGGAATGACGGATAAGTGCGCGCAAGACTTGAACACCATCAGCACACAATCTGTCGCGCATTTGTTGCAGGTATGGCAGAAATGCAGTTATGATATGATTTTCGAGAGGCTACGAATTCTAAATCTCGCACACATGATTGACTTGTCTTCAGCATGATTCTGTTGTCACATTCACTTGCAACATCCCTCCTCGCGAAGACGCCCTAGCCGCTACGCAGATCCACCTAGTGAAGGAGGCTCGCCAACGTCTTCAGTGTCATCCTTGTTGTTTTCACGGCGCTTCTTCTCTGCATGCTCCGCACCGATACTGGCATCCAAGAGGTATAATCGTCTAAGTCGGGCCTTGCTACTCTTGACGGCTTGAATTGCCTTCTCAATACGACCATTCATAACCCTCCTTTGCTCTCGAAGCAGAGAGGGCGATATGAAATCATTGTACGTCGAGCTTGGACGGCGATCGACAAACGAATTGGGAAATTGCAACGTTGACTTTGATATAGAACGCTCGTTGCGCTCCTTGGCAGCTCGTGGAGAAGATGACATTGAAGCTTGGAGTCTTTCCCAGTGTACTGGACGGTTGTATTTGACGGGCATTGGCTCGGATATTGCATAGCACGGCATTTTCGTGTGACTCCGATCCGTCTCTAACGAGTGTCGATCTAGGGAAGAAAGGCCGGCGTCGCTTGAATGTCGGGGGAAGCATTGTAGGCCATATGTGGCGACGAAATCTGTGTTTTTCTTCTCGAGATCGTGACGCATAAATCCATTAGAAGGTCGATTGATTTCATCGATCGTAAACTGGTGAGTTCCACTCGATCTATGTCGATCTGTCGATCTGGATTTGTCTGACATATTATTGCTTTGCAATTCTATCTCTTCAGATATTGCTTCCAAACCTGATGGCGCATTATCCCGCTGATTGAATGATTCACGAACAGTACCTCGATGGCGCCAGTTGTACGGTGGTGTTGGGGACAAAGTACCGCGTGTGTGGGATCTGGACGCTGTCTGGACATAGCCATCTCCCTCGTCATCGTTCCTTCGATAGTCCGGATTGTCAGCATCGTGGTAAGCAGTAGATGGCTCAAATTTTGGCGATCTATTCTCATCTTCTCCAAGCGGGTAGAGTCCCAGTACACTAGTTCCGTTATCACTCTTGGCTGGGTTGAGATTTGATGTGTCATCACTGTCTTCCCGATTTGGTCCAACCCTTGCTACGCCGGGTCGTTGCGCATAGCCTGGCGGACGCCGGCGGTCACGTTCCTTTCGACGCTTCGGAGGTGCTTTCGAATCATCGCTATACTCCGAAAACGAAGACTCCGGTGTGAGCAGATCTGGATCATAATGCTGGCACAAGCTGGTCAGATGCTGTACAAACGACTCGTTTACTGGGATGAAATCATGTTGAAAGCCCTCCACTCTTGCCTCTACTGCCAGTAGGAAGTAGTATTTCACTACAGCATACAGTTCACCGTGTGTCATGGCTTGTTTGAAGGGAGGTTTCAGTGTAACCTCCTTCCTAAGTGAGCCCTCATCCCAGCTAACGTTCACGATGTTATGCCCACGTCCGTACTCTTCATCGCCCTCCATGGTGAACATGGGTCCTATGGAGCGATTTTTGTTTGGGCGCAGATATGCATATACAGGGTTTCCCCATCTCGTCAGAGATTTATCCGCAAAGGTACCGAGCAACAAGCGTATGTTCGCTATAGCCACTGGCTTACTGTGTTTTGAGAACTTCAGCTCACTTAGAAAGGGTAGCTTGGCAAGTAGACGTGCTGGAATGTGCTTTCGAAGAGCGGAAATTGCATGAGGGCCCGCCGAGATGCTTTCGATGTGAATGATAGGGTTAGTTTCTGGGGCAAACGAGTCGTCCGACCAAACTCCACTATCCGACTGTTGGTCATTTCCTCGGGTGGTCTGCGGTGTAGGAGTTTCCATCCGATCTTTGACAGCTGCTTGCATACCTGCACGGGTGACTGGGCCAGGTCCTACGTCTCGTGGTGGGATATCGATGTTGTCAAAATCTAGATCCCTGACGTCCGCTTGGAGATCAGAATCGTGGTAATCAGGCTCTTCATTCTGACGACTGTGGCGACGGGAGCCAGCTGCCATGTTCTCTGTAGAACTGGTAACGTGATATTGTCGTTCAGACATTTACCGATGGGTGTGTTCCGGATGGGAGTCTTTGGCGCTCGATGGTTACTTGAAGCCTTCCTTTTCGGTCAGCAGGATAAGCTACAATGATGATGATGGCTTGACAGTTTCGGATTTGGGTATTCCAGCAACTATTCAAGGTATCCAGGCAGGTCAGTTGTGTGTTCCGTGAAAGGTTGAAATAACAACTTAGAAAAGCAAGAGTTTATACAAGAAGTGGAGATTCTTAAAAAGACCCGTGGAAGCCCTCTTCGGGTTCATTGTGCTGGAAGTGGCGAGAATCCTCATATACAAGGTCCGTTCTTTCCACTGGATAGGTCGTGCTTCGAGTTGCCTACAGATACGACCAGATCTGCAAGGTCCGCGTTACGCGCACGAGCCCGAGTTCCGGAATTGCCTAGGATCCACGCTGAGTTGCGAAACTCGCGGAAACTTGCTGAATTCTCTTGGCACGCCTCTTGGGGGTAACGCTGCCATCAATGGCAACCCATTTAGCAGCTTCAGCAAAGCGATCATTCGATGGATGACGAAGCTAACGAAAGTGGCAAAAGATCAGGACTCCAGGATTCGATGAGCGTATGGCCTTACTGCGGGAAACTTCTCTAGGATGTAGCGCGGCACCTTCTGCCTGATAGACACCCCTTCATGGTCGACAAACGAAAGACTTGAACCCTCATTAGGGCGGTTTGAGGGTGCGCTCTGGTATCTGTCTGGCAATATCGTGGAGCTTTCTTTGAATCCGCTGCGCCGGCCGGCATCCATACCATGGGGTCGCTAGGCGCTTCTACTGTAGATGTTCATGGTTCTGCTTCGAAAAACTGCCACGCTTCACGTGTTGAGATCGGTTTGGTACACCAGCATGCGGTTTCGACTACAAGGTAAACTCTTTCAGATATGAATGAGCATCGAAAAGCAATCGATAGCTTGAATCGTGACTAGAAACCCCATCTAGGGTGAAGAGAAGAACTGAGTAGATTGGCCTGTTCTCGCGGGCGTCCCTGGATGTTAAGCAGAGCCTTTCCATTTCAGGCACTAGCGCGATTCGGTAAGATCGCGACATCATTGATTCCGAGATTCGGCTTCGTCGCGTTCTCCTGCATACCTTGCGACATTCTCACCACGATGCGCGGAATATCATCTCCGCCTCCCGCCACCAATATCACCATCATGCACAAAAAGCCCGCAAATGGTTTTGATGATTCTGTTCGACGTGCCCCCTTCACGCAACTGAGCTGTCTCATCTCTCTAACATAGGAAATATAATCCGTATCGCAATGGACGAACACTGTAATTCCAGTTTGTATGTAGCATCTTCGATCGCCCAGAAGGCATTCACTGACTTACCGAAGGACATGTGATTATAGATAGACCGTGTCCATGCAGGTACAATCATTAAAGACATAAGCTACCCCCTACAACCTTCATTTGTACGATCCAACGCACCATGCCACACCGTAACGCGCCGAAGCGCACCGAACCAAACCGAATCACAATCAAGCTACTTCTGCGTGTAGTTTCTCCTCCTTTTCCATAGCCGCCGATGCCGCTGCGGGATCTTGCAGTGCATGCAGCACCAGCTGATCACCGAAGAGTTCGTCCATCTGTTCCAGAGTCTTGCCTTTAGTCTCCGGGTAGAAGAACCAATAGCAAAGGAAGGCGATAATGTTGAAGCAGAAGAAGACGTAGAAATACTTGAACTCTATGGAGCTTAATGCTTGCGGAGAGAACTGGGCGAAGATGAGGTTCACAACCCAGTTTGTGAATGTCGTAATGGCATTACCAAGGGCGCGGCACTCGATAGGGAAGATCTCTGCGGGGTAAACCCAGGATATAATACCGAGAGGTGTGTAGAAGAACGAAAAGAGGAAGTTCATGGCGACCATACTGCGCAGTTGTGGGCCGTTGTTGGGATCGAAGTACTGTCCCTGTACCGCGTTGATGAGCAGGGCTGTCGCTAGGCCAGCAGCTGATATGAGAAGGGGCTTTACACGTCCAACCTTGTCGACTAGCGCAAGCCCAATGGTACACCAGACGATCGAAAGCGCACCGCTGATACCAATGATCATGAGCGATTCTTGTGTCGATATTCCAAGGATCTCGTAGATACGTGGGCCGTAGTAGTTGATAACGTTGATTCCGGATAGAGGTCCAAAAGCTTGCACACCGCAACCGAGCAAGAGACGCTTACGCCATGAGGTCTTAGTGATGATCGAGGTCCAGCTAATGTTGCCCAGAGCCCGGTCCGCGATGATGACATCCCGAATCTCTCGGAATTCGAGGTCGATAGTCTCCGCGTCGTGGCCCCTACGGAGCTTGTTCAGCGAGGCCATAGCATCTTCATGGCGATCTTTCTCCATGAGCCATCGAGGTGATTCCTGGAGGAAGAAGATGCCAGCCAGCAAGACGAGGCCGGGGACGTTCTGGAACGCAAGCGGAAAGCGCCCTTACATGTATTAGGCCAAGCAGCACGTCGTGTACAAAGCGACTTACATGAAAATTGGGTGCTGTTGAAGGAGCAGCCATATCCGAGCCATTGGGCGACAAAGAAGCCCCAACTCAACATCCACTGTAGTAGACCCGAAAGGGTGCCACGATATTTTGCCTCCGAAAGCTCACCAGCATACATAGGAATGGTCGAAGTGAGCTGACCGACTGCGACTCCACCGATAAAGCGACCGACGATAAGCATGGCCATATTGACAGCGCCTGCTTGAAGGGAACTGCCCAATATAGAAATGACAGCCCCGACGAAAATAGTCCAGCGACGGCCTAGCATGTCCGCGAACAGCATATTGAAAATGGTTCCTGCAATCGCGCCACCCTGAAAGGCAGACACAATGCCACCAACGACATCGTCCGAAGGATCGCTGAAGTACTCTTTGAAGGTGTCGAGAGCGATGGTCGAGGTAATGATACCAGAGTCGTAACCGAAGAGGAAACCTGGGTACAAGTTAGTTACTGATCTCAGTAGCCTGCGACCTGCCACATGGATATCTTACCCCCGGTCGCTAGAAAGATAGCGGAGAAGACAGTGACTGCGAGACCCATCTTGAGTAACGATGTCAGATGCTGTGGAAAAGTGGATCTATCGCCATGCGAGACTACGCTTTATGTATCAAAGACAAGCATCGTCGCATGTTGTCTCCAATGCTATCCCGGGCTCTACTACTCCGAAGCCAGCATTGGCTGACACGTGCATGTCTCTAGCCGCGTATCAGGGAGACTCTTTGTCAGGGGCTGAAAAGCTTGTCATGCGCATCTTTAGTCAATTTTGCACGAAGAGATAGCGATGAACAGCAAGGGTTTGCTCTAAAAGTCCGGGGTCGGGATCGAGGTGCAGGCCAAGCGGCGATGCCTCTTGGTGGGGTCCCCGCGTTCGCCTCGGCAGCCTCTTCGGCACACATTTTACAGGTTGGATGCGCGATCTCCACTTCGGGACCACTTCGGAGCCAGATCTAGCTCAACGGTCGCGTTAGATCTGCCAGACAGCGTTTGGTAGACGTCGCAGCGAATTCACCCGAGCCTCGCGACGATCTTATCACGAATAGTATTTTGACTGATGAACTGAAGCTGTAAATGACCGGTTGAGCCCTTCCACCATGAAAGCCACCAAATCTCCGCCTTCCCGATATCCCTATCCGCACTCGATTGTGTTTCGCTCACGGGGAGCAGTCTGAGTCCGCACGAAGCTGTTACCTCTTTACGATCAACCAACATGGTTCTGGAAATCACACGATGCGGCATACATGCTTTTCACGAAGTCCTTGGCATTGACACGGACATGATACGCTTCTTCTGGGTCCTGCATTCGGACCGCGGGGATAGTCAGCAAAAGGCGTATCGCATCGACGTTTCAATCCAGCAGTCATTTGAGACCCTGCTATGGGACTCTGGTAAAGTGGAAGGCGATAGGCAACGGAATGTGCTATGTGCACCCGAAGGAGGTTTTCACTCGGCGACTTTTCATTACTGGAGAGTCACGGTGTGGGATTCAGATGACCGGGCGACGACAAGCACAGTGAACGAATTCTTCACTGCATATCCAAGATCATCTGGGTTACTACCACCTTACAGCATGAACCAGACCTACATGCCACATACCAGCCTCATCTTTCGTACATGGTTTGAAGATGAACCAAACCGATGGAAAGGCGTTTGGATTGGCGACAACGGGGACAAGCCGCTGTACGTGCGCAAAGCGCTACGTCTTGATCGAGAACCGTCTCGTGCAATCGCCTTTGCCTCAGGTCTTGGTCATTGCAACTTCGTTTGCAATGGCAATCCCGCAGCGGCCAATGGCCACGTGCTGGATCCGGGCTGGACTAACTACCACCGCACCGTACAGTTCGTTGCATACGACTTGTCAAACATACTGACACAAGGGGAGAACGTAGTTGGCGCACACATCGGCAATGGCTTCTACGCTGGTGACCAAGGCGACGACCGTTTCTTCTGGCCGTGCTACGAAGATAACACATATGTCCGCTATGGGAATGAACTCTGCTTCTTCATGGAACTGCACCTCTTCTACGACGATGGCAGCCGGGAGACAATCACTACTGGACCAGACTGGAATATCCGGAAGAGCGCGACCACGCTGGCGAACATTTACTCTTCAGAAACCAAGGACTTACGTAACTACCCGGCAGGGTGGGATGCGCCAGGCTTTCAAGAAGACGAACAATGGAAGTCTGCGACGCCTGTGACAGGTCCAAGAGGAAAACTGAAGTATCAGAGTCAGCCACCCGTGGTGCTCCACGAGACATTCGAGCCACGATCGAAGAAGACTCTTGAGCCTGGCGTCGTCATGTTCGACTTCGGACAGAACATGACGACGATGGTGAAGATCCAGGTCAGCGGACCAGCTGGCTCAGAAGTCATTATCCGTTTCTCCGAGACCATTGGCGAGGATGGCAAGGTTCTCATGCCAGATCCACTGTTCAAGCAGTTTGAGACAGGCGTTTTCTGCAAATTTACTTTGGCTGGTACTGGGGTGGAGACCTGGGAGCCTGACTTCTGCTTCACAAGTGCACGATACATCCAAGTCGAAGGCGTATCACTCGAAGAAGCACAGGGACTACCGGTCGTACATCGGTTGGTTAGCAGACACGTATCGTCCGCTGCACGTCGTCTAGGCTACGTTAAGACGGATAAAGAAGATGTCAATCAGCTCATCGATATGTGTTGTTGGTCTTTCGTTAGTAACCTCTTCAGCTACCACACTGATTGTCCCCAGCTAGAGAAATTTGGATGGCTCGAAGTAACGCACCTTCTTGCGCCGGCCACCCAATATATTCGGGACATGGAGTCGCTCTACTCCAAGATCCTCGATGATATCTTCGATGCGCAGGAACCAAACGGTCTTTGCCCTACCATGGCACCCGAAATCAGATACATGTGTGGCCCTCTACACGACACAATCACCTGGGGAGGCGCCGTCGCATTACTTCCTGAGGTATTGCGCTTCTACTACGACTCCACGCACGTGTTCGAGAAACTGTTCGACCCCTGTGTACGCTACATGGAGTATATCAAGACCAAAGAGCGGGACGGTGGGCTCATTGAACACGGCCTGGGTGACTGGGGACGCGACATAGCCTTTGGCAACAACCAGGCCAACATCGAAACTGCTGTATACTATCGCTGCCTCCGGAACATTCAACGCATGGCCCACGAGCTGAACAAGCCGGAAGCTGAAACGCGGTTCCGCGAATGGGCAGATCGCATATATCGCGTATACAACGAGCGACTTCTCATCACCGATAAGAAAGAGTATCCCTACGCCTTCTACACGTCTCGCGACGACCCCTCAAAACATGACCGCAACATGGTGGCCCAAGCCTTTGCACTTCAGTTCGACCTCGTGCCTACCTCCCACATCGCAGACGTACAGGCTGCCTTCCTAGCGGATTGCGCTTCCGCTGGCAACCGGATTCAAGCTGGCGAGATCGGTTTGAAGTACCTCTTTAATACACTCTCTGACCTGAACCGCCCAGACATCATCCTAGAGATGGCGCGACAAGAAGAGCATCCAAGTTACATGCGCTTTATCCGGAGGGGAGAAACGACACTGAATGAATTCTGGCAAGATAATTGTAGGAGTAAGTGCCATGACATGCTGGGAACGATATACGAGTGGTTCTACGAGGGTGTGTTGGGTGTCCAAGCGGAGACGGAGGCGTATAAAACGTGGAGGGTTAAGCCGCCGTTCGGAAGCGAGTTCGGGATGGTGGAGGGGAGTGTGGAGTGTCCGTATGGTAAGATCAAGGTCAAGTACGAGAAGACAAGTGGAGGTGGCAGCGAGGAAGCGAAGATGTGGCTTAATGTACCCACAAGCACAACAGCCTATCTGCTACTTCCCAGTGCGGACAGTAGCGCTGATCTAAGAAGACTCGGTCAAGGCGGGTACGAGGTACGGAAGAAGGGAACAAGGGTAACCCTAAAGCCGGGCAGTTATGAGTTGATGTTACATGCCTGAGCTTAAATTACTGAACCGTGGTAATGCTATAGATGGTACGAGATTGAATACTACAAATCTTATCAAACAGTAATTCATGGCAAATTGTAGAGACATGATAGCAAACACCCACTAGTGCAACACTAGAAATCCATCAACTACCAGAGCTGGCAAGTAGGTTCCTTAACCTTGCACTGGAAGCTCTCCCTGAACTCCCTTGAGTTCGCCATGGTGCCCAGAATGCGGGCCCACTTAGGTGCATGCGGGTCGGTGTAGATGCGGTTAATTGCGGTATCCTTGCGAGTCTTGCCACACCACCAGTTGCTGTAGCTGACGAAGAACATCTGCTCTTGAGAAAAGTGGTCCAAGCCAGGCAGGTTCTTGTTTGGTGTCTCAGCTGAGCGGCGCTTCCAAGCCTGGAAAGATGCTGACAGACCACCAGCGTCAGCAATGTTCTCACCAAGAGTAAGACGGCCGTTGACGTGCAGAGGCTTGTCGTCTGGTCCGGGGATGGTGAAGTTCGAGTACTGGTCGACAAAGCATTCGACCTTGTGCTTGAAGGCATCCACGGTTTCCTTGGACCACCAATCAGTGTAGTTGCCATTCTGGTCGTAATGGCGCCCGGTGCTATCGAAAGCGTGGCTAAGCTCGTGGCCAGCAACAGCACCGAAAGCGCCGTATGACATATAGGCGGGTACGTTGACATCGAAGACCGGGAATTGCATGATACCAGCAGGGAAGACGATCTCATTACCAGGAGGGTTGTAGTATGCGTTTACTGTTGGAACAGTCATGTCCCACTGGTCGCGATCGACGGGCTTTCCGAGTGCAGACCACTCTTCCTTGACAGCGAAGCGGCGCATCGCAAGGGCATTGGCAAAGAATGCATCTGATGATACATTGACAGTCTCGTAGTACTCCTCGAGTGTAGGCGGGTCCATAATGTCTGGGCTCTTCGTAGGGTATCCAATTTTCTGGACGATGTTGTGCACTTTCTCGACAGCCTTCTTTGTGGTATCCTTGTCCATCCAGTCTGCAGCATTCAGCTTCTTGGCGAACTCGGTCTTAATGTCTGTGATGATAGTGTCACCGAACTTCTTTGCGTCAGCCGAGAAGGCCTTCTCTACGAAAAATCGGCTCAGAATCCATCCTAGCCCATTGTCTACGTGGCTTACGCATGTGCGCCAGCGTTCAGGAGCGGAGTCCGGGTCCTTGCCTGAGAGGACGTTGACAAAGCGACGGTAGGGCTTGACAGCTTCCGCATCGACGTAAGAAGAGAAAGATTGAACCGCCTTCCATACAAAATAGCTTTGGAGAACATCTTTGGGCGTAGCTGCGAGTATTGCTGATAGATCCTTCAGGTAATGCGGGGTCATAACAATGATACGTTTGATGTCCGTACCGTGAGGCGCCTGGTCCGCGAGAAGCGCTTTCAGCTCGATTTCGGGAGCGATCGCAGCCGCTTCATCGATAGACATCGGATTGTAGTACTTCGTAACGTCTTCACGATCTTCTTCGCTAGGGGACGCAGCCGCAAGCTTCTTCTCAAGATCGATGATACCTTCAAACACGGCCTTGTCTTGCTCTGGGTACAGAGCGCTCAGTACTTCAACAGTCACACCACGGTACTTCTCGACAAGCTTGTCGTCTTCGTAACGCTCTTTGGAAGGTAGTCCGAAGTTCCAGGGCGCGCTAACAGACACGACGACGGTGTCTGGGTTGGTTTCGTCCGCACCAGTGCCAGCTGAGACGAGTCCAGTGACACCGTACTTGGCGAGAAGAAGGATGGCGTCCTTAATTGAGTGTGAGTCTGAAGTCACAGCAGGGTACACCTTTTTGATCTCCTCGAGAACATGCTTGAGAGGCTCGGCGCCAATACTCTTGATCTGATCTTCGTTAAGACAGGCATCGTATGCAGCCTTCATCTTGTCAAAGTTGACCTCATCCGCAGACTTGGCAACCGACATGAGCTGCATAGGCGAGAAGTAGGAATGCTATGAGGTATTAGTCCTGTTTCGTACATCAAGCAAGGATAGACTCACCTCAGAATCCTTTGGGTACGGTGCTTCAAGAATATGACGAAGCAGCATTTGTGAGTTTTCTGACATTATAGTCCCGGTAAAGGCATCACCCTGGTCGGCTCGCAGATCATGACGTTCTCTCCATCCGCCGCACACAAGTTCTTCGAAGTCATAGCACGGGTCAAGCTCTTTGTATTGAGGCGAGAGGTTGTAAAGAACCTCGGAAGCCGCATGGACACAGGCAGGAGTCATGCATAGTTCGCTCTCCTCTGGGTAGTTGCCGAGAGGCTCATCATCCACTTCACATCGGTTAGCTGCGACTTATGATTGAGAGAGCAATGTACATACATTGCGGGAGACCATAGAGTATGATCGAAGCCGTCGCAGCGATAGCGAACACCCTTCCCAACGCGTGACGTTTGGAGTAGCGTTGCACGTGGCCTGGCTGTCCGGTGGCGGACGCGTCGGATGCGAGCAGTGGCGCCTTTTCAGCCATGATGGAAAGCTGAAAACACTTGATCAGGAAGGACGCGGTGGGGAAACGATGAGATTCTGTGTGATGCCAGCCAGCTGAACACCGAGATGGACTGGTGATGGAGGAGAGTTGAGGGAGGAAGCGGCGATGTAGGCAGCAGGTGGCTAGAAGTGGAGATCCGGGGTGCAGCTGACGCATGTTGACGCGGAAACGCTAAGCACGGGACCTTGCAGCTGTATGACTCGCGTATCTCTCTCCAACGTCATCTCGAATCACTCCATACTGCCCATCACAACACCAGAAGTCCATCACTTGCCATCTTGTATGCGCATCCAGCAGTACGTCTTTACCTTCATACCGTACAATCGCGTTGCTATATCATCTCAGATTTTCTAGGTGCAGCGCTGTGCACTTCTCGGCAACCACCGAATCGGTGGCCTATGCACTTGCGGCTCCGGTCCGGATTGCCTATCGGTGCGCCCCCAATTATCTAGCTCCGACTGCTGACTCTCATGCACAGTGTGAACCTGCTCTTAAAAGCAATGTCGGCGTGTGGACGCCTCAGTCAGCTTACGTTCATGAGAAGCTCATATCACCAGCATCAACAATCACCTGTTCGAAACAACTGCTAGTACGATTTATCATTCTGCAGCACCTATGAGCTCAACACCAATCGTAAAGCGATTAGCCCAAGCTAGGCAGAAGCTGCGCGGACACTATTCCGGTCCGCGCAGATATATGTACAAGAAGATTTGGGTCTGATCGATCAGCTACCTATGACTACCAACGAGCTTACTCGCCTGAAGGTCCGGCAATCGTGGTACCCGGCTTCACTGGGGTTCCAAAGTTGGGAGTGCCGTCAGAGTTCCAGTTGACCTTTTGCGCCATTGTGTACCTGTTACCATCACAAGCTCCGGTTGTGATAGCAGTAGCGTGGTAAACGTTCCAGATTTCCTTACCATCAGGGCTGACAAAGAATCTGTATATTTGTTAGCATCTGACAGTTTGCGATGTTGGTTATTCAGCATACCCATTGTGACCAGGACCATAGTTGCCATTAGCATTGGTGAAAACCGGTCCGCTGCTCTTCTTCCAGCTGGCGGCGAGCGCTGGGTCACCAGATCCGTTCCAGGTGAGTAGACCCAAGCTGTAGTTCGGTGTCCAGCAGAAACTGGCCGAGTAAGCGATGAATGTTTTGCCGCCGTGGTACATAGCAACAGGGCCTTCCTGAACAGGGCTGCCGTTCCTTTCCCAAGACTCGGTAGGTGTAGAAAGAATCTTAGTAGCGCCGATCTTTCCAGGTGAGGTCATGGGTGCGATGCAGAGTGATTGGAGGTTGCCAGACATGCAAGACCAGGTGAAATAGTTGCCCCATTTGTCGAAACGAACGATAGAGCCATCGATACCCCATACGTTCGTGAGCTGGGAAAGGTAGGTGTACGTGCCGAAGGGGTCCGCACCACCTGTGGCTTTGTCAGATTACGCTCCATGTCGTCGCCAAACTGTCTTACCCTTGAGCACGTAAGGACGCTGAAGATCCAGGTTGTCGACACCATTGCGGCCGGCGGTGTAGTAGATGTACCAAGCACCATCGATGTAGTGCAGCTCAGGTGCCCACATGTTGCAGCATCTGTCTGGATTGCTATCCGTCCAGACTACTTTGGTCTCCCCTGTCTTCAATCCTCCCAGCGTCTTCGCCCTAGTGATTGACAAGTTCGTCCATGTCGTGGTCATCATGTAGTAGTAACCTCCGCTCCACGCAATGTGAGGGTCTGAGCCATCTTTCTGCTTGAGTGGGTTACTGAAGCTTGCTGCGCTGACGAGGGAAGAGAGGGCGAGCACGCAAGTGCCAATGGACTGAAGGAACTTCATCGTTGCGGAGAGTGAAGAAACAAACTGCAACTGGTTGGAAGATACAATGCATGATCATGGAAGTTCATCTTATAGAGTTCGTTGACATCGTGATCTCGTTGCACAATGAGATTAAGGCTTGCGCCACAAAACCGGTCCTTCCGCCCAATGCTTGGAATGTCATGTACACCCAGCTTTCCACGAATAAATAGAAAGACTAGGAAGCTGCCAAGATACGTATAGTAACAATCCGGGGTAATGGGCGGAATTGAGAATAGACTGAGGAGCGGACCACTGGGTGTTTCAATCTTGGCTGCTGTGAAATGCTCCGATTGGTGCAAATTGCTGTAGCATGCCCGCATCCGGCACTTTTCCGCCCCACACAAAAAGTCCTTTCCATGCGCCGGTCATGGTAGTTTCTAAGACAGCTGTCAAGCGTCGGGAAGGGCTGGGGGGCGCTCTCAATGAGCGTGCGGAGGATTCTAAATCCTGGGGCTGAAACGTAAGGCTGCTGCACAAACCGAAAATCGCTCGCCCGAGAAGTGCCGATCGACCGAGGTTTCCACGCTTCTCAGCACTCTTCATCATCCTCTACCCGCCACCTAGTCGCATGTGCTTACGCCCTAACCGTTGACACTGGCACTCTTTGGCATACCAATACCCACCGCAGCTGTTGCACCAGCGTCAACAGGCAGTACCGCACCTGTCATCCATCTCGCATGGTCAGAAGCGAGGAATGTTACGGCGCAGGCTGCATCCCATCCATTGCCCTCTGTGCCGAGTAAGCTCCTCTTCTTCCGAGCTTCGCGAGCTTCTTCGCTCATACCGCCTGCATACATCATGGGTGTGTAAAGCATCTACATGGTGTCAGTCCGCTGTCGTACGGTAGTCATAGGGTTCATACGCCAGGACAAACACAATTTACCCTGATGCCATCAGGTGCATGATGCGCAGCCATTGCCCTTGTCATGTTTACCACTGCACCTTTGCTGGTCGGATACAACAGGTGTGGTGTTCCTCCTTTGAGCCCGGCGACTGAGCCCATGTTGATGATGCTGCCTTTCGTTTCGCCATCATTTCGTTGCATAGCCGGTATGCAGTACTTCGCCATCTGTACCATGCTGGTCACATTGATCTCAAGTCCCTTCGCCCAAGTTTCCATGTCAACATCGACCGCGGTTCCTGTTGCACCAGCGATCCCGACGTTATTGACCAGAATATCCAGCTTCCCAAACTCTTCCAGTGCTTTAGTCACTGCTGCTTCGCAATCACCAGCTTTGGTGACATCTGCTTCCATTGCGATAGCTCTTCCCCGGTGTGGTTTCGACGCTGCCATCTCTGCGGTCTTCTCCGCCCAAGGCATCTTCAGGTCCAAACACAGGACATGGCAACCCTCATCGGCAAGCATGATCGATATCGCACGCCCATTACCAATGCCGTCACCGTCGCATCCAGCCCCAGTCACAATCGCGACTTTGTCTTTGAGACCGCGTGGGGGAGGTTCTGATGGAACTGCCGCCATTATGTCGGTCCAGCTCAGGCGGGGATATGACGTTATCTCCAGGAAAGTGTCGCAGATGCCGTCCAAGGTCGTTATCTGCAAGAAACAACCTCTAGGTCGAAGATGTCGTGGTCAATGCACAAGCTTATCACCGTGAACTAGCAACGTTGAGAACTTACAACAGCCAATAGTGGTGTTGGTGGCATGTAGGTGTCAACCTCGGTACATGCGGGGTGACGCTAACAACAGGGCGCATATGTCGCAGCTACCTAGGTAGACGTGACGCGTTCATGCGAGGCTCGTACGAAGTCAAATCACTTATTGACATCGTCTCGCTGGAGCATACCCTCTCAACCTCATCATTCTTCTCACATCGAAAATGGCTTTGGATTTCTCGCAGTATGGTGGGCCCTCCGAGGAGTGGCTGGCAGTGGAAAAGACATTGCCCGCGCGAACCTACGACGTTACAATGGATCCGCATGTGCTCAAAGAAGCTGTCAATGCCGAAAGAGAAACCCGAGCCGCAGAGGTGATGCCGCTGTTAGCACCACATGTTCAGGTCAAAGACTATACCATCCCAACTCGCGATGGCTCAACTATCGAAGCTAGATCGTATAGGTCGGTCAAGACAGACGCGTCAGAAAAGCTTCCCGTGTACCTCTACTTCCACGGCGGAGGCTTCATATTTGGTAATGTCTTTTCGTGTGTAAAGTGCAAGATGGTGTAACTAATGATTATATAGGCACACTCAGCAGTGAGGATCCTCTATGTGCGCAAACTGCCATTAAGACAGGGGCGATAGTGCTGAACGTCAACTACCGCCATACGCCAGAACACACCTTCCCAACCGCTTGGTACGATTCTCAAGATGCATTCGCCTGGCTGCACAAGAACATAGACGAAATTGGAGGAGATCCATCCAAAGTCGTCACGGGTGGCATCTCAGCAGGTGGCACATTAGCAGCATCCCTCACACTCGAGCAACATCTTGGAAAAAGTGAAGTGATTGCAGGTCTGCCCACTCTAGCTGGACAGATCTTGATCATCCCCATGGTTGCCCATCCAGCCACATACGACCAAGGGCCTGGCAAGCTGCTCAAAACCTCGTCGTATGTCGAGAATGAAAACGCACCAATATTGCCGAAGAAGATCGTCGACTTCTTCACAAAGCTGCTGGATACTGCTAAGACTGCTTCACCAGATCTAAAAGATACCAAGTTCAACATGGTCAACGCGACAGCAGAGGAGGTCAAAGGTTTGCCTCCTACAGTCTTTGGTATCGCGGGCTTGGACCCGCTTCGCGACGAAGCTTTGCTTTATGCAAAGCTACTTTCAGAGGCAAATGTGCCGACAGATATTACAGTGTTCAAGGGCGTTCCGCATGGCCATAGGCGATTTGGCAAGGCACTGAAGGCATCTGAACACTGGGATGAGTGTGTCGATGGAGGCATACTTTGGGTACTTTCTAAGCCGAAGGCTACTGGGAAGTTTGACGTGAAACTACCGTAGTTCTCATCAGATGACGACCCGAACTGCGGTAACCGATTGTAGATAGTTCCGTGTCACCTTGATGGTGTGTACCGTCAGGAAGGCATCCAATAGATTCGCGTCGCTTAGATTGAGGATGCGTGACCAGGCATCCTTCGCGTTTGCCAAGTTCCAGCTGTAATCTTTGTAACGACAAGCACACACATGCGGCTACAATCTACGGTATTGTTTAGCACTCTTTTCTCGTGATCAACTCGTCGATCCATCGCATTAAGACTTCACGCTGACGAAATCGCGCTCAAGGTACGCTGAAGGCTGGGTCAAAGGTGCACGAGAGGCTGAGCTCAATGCACACTCAAGGCTGAGCTCAAGGCACAATTCAGGCTGCAATGCCAGCACAGTGTGGCGAAAGCGCATAGCCACACTGTGCTGACATCTCAGCCTGAGGTATGCCATCAACACCCATCATCTTCGTCTCTGCTTCACTCCTGTGTTCCTATCTCACTTATGGCAATCACTTTCGGCTCGTTTGGCGATATCATCGCTGCAGTGCAGGTCGTGTACAAACTGATTGAAGTGCTTAATTCCCAAAGAGGTGTCAAACGCGAATTTGGAGATCTTCTGGTGGATCTGAGACTTTTCCATCGCTATCTCGAACAGGTAAGATCTCCAGAGCGCATGTTGGTTATGATTTTAGGCCCAACAGAATGCAGCTTCTCTCGTTCTGGCAAACACGCCAAGAAGATCCTAGTCTTGAAGGTCTCTTCAATGTTTTGCAGCCGTCCATTTCCGATACAAAAGGAGAGATAAGTTCATTTCTGGAGCATATCATATCTCGATATGGAAAGAGTCTTCTCTCCAACTCGAAACCCAACCCGAAAGATGTGGGAAAGATGCTGCAATGGCATATGCTGGAACGCGACAACGTCGTGCGACTGCAAGAAAAGCTTCGGAAGAGCAAGGAAATCATATTGATGGTTCAAAGTCAAGCCAATATGTACGTCTTGCTCCCTCCATCAGCTCTAGAGTGTGAGCGAACGAATCTAACATAAAGTTCCTAAAAGGATCTTAGAGGAGAAAGACCAGTCCATCGTGATTGAGAGAATGGACGCTCTGGCAGACGCTGAATCCGAGACTGCAAGACAGCTAAATGAACGTCTCGACGATCTTGGAGGACAAGTTGAGAAGCAGGGCGAGGCGCTCGGCCTAATCTCTCGTAGCATTGGAAGCATTAGCTCAACTATGTAAGCCAAGCTCGCAAAGATCAAATCATCTCTGACATCTTCTTCTACCAGCGCTCCCATCGCAAATCTTGTTGTAGACCTTCCAGGCATGTTGGCAAAGATACATGCCGAGCAGTTGTCTCAAAGACTCCTACTCTTCAGTCTAAACCCATTTGCCCAGAACTCTGCTATCGTAGAAGATGCTCTTGGTTGGAAATTCTCCATACCTTTAGAGCTGATCAGTTCTTGGAATGTGAGTATAAGAGAAACATGGCTTGCGTATCTCAATTTGACAACATGCAGACACTTCACTCTATCCTCGTCGATAGGTTTTCGAATCGACCAGGTTGCGACCTCATTAGGGCCCGCCGCTATGCGATACGAGACGACCTCAGCGGATTGGACATCCGTCAGAACAAACCTCTCACCTATGTGCTCCGTCCTGGTCAAAAGGTCAACATGTGCATGGTCTATTTCACCGGTGATAAGGACACGATGACGTGTCCTAGATGCAAGAAGTTGACTCTCCGCGCGAACAACTTAGCTTTCACATGGTGGGTGCTCTAATGGCGATTCTTTCATTCTACGTATTATTTCGTACTAAGTTTCCATCAGCTCAGATCCAAGATGTGGAATGGAGATCCAGCGCATCGAAGAACTACACGACGATACCACAGCCCTTAACGACAGAACGGACGACGGAACTACACAATCCAATATCAGAAAAGATGGCATCAGCACGCAGCCTGACTTCGAGGATGAATTTCCAGCTGATCTGATTTCCATGTCCGACACAGAAGATGGCCCGGAGGTCTTCAAACGAGTGCGATTTCTCTCTCGATGGGAATTTCGACTCGAAACACGAGGACCTTTGATGTACAAAACTGGTCAATATAATTGGTGGGGGGCGGATTGTCCTGAAGCCTTCGCAATGAAAGAAGCTCTTTGTGCTGCCTTCGATGGAAGTTGGGTGGAACATGTATTTGCGACTTGGAGGCCCAGGAAGTGGGAAGAATCTTTATTTTTCAGTTTATTCTTTGTTGGATCGACATTGCAACAGTCGAGACCGGTGTTGATCATGTTCAGCATGAGTAAGAAGGTACGTCGGGAAGCCTGGAAACACTCTATAGGAATCGACTGGGTTAGAGCAAACCCCTCGATCGTCCCTCTCACAAGCTGTAGTACCATGTTCCATAGTGACATCAGCTTGGAACATGGGATGAAATATAGAGCACGCATAGACAATAGTTGATAGACGGGCGAAGGATGTGCTAACAAAGTACGAATTCATATATTCAGTCTCGTGTAATTATCCGCTCCAATACTAGTCCGATTTGGAGGCGACATAGGAACAACTCCGAGACTGAGGCATCCTCAATGCTTGTCAGCAAACTCTAATACACCCTTCGCGAATCCTTCAGGATTCTCTTCAGCGATGTAATGCGCACTGTTCTCAACAGTCAACAAGTCCGCACCTTCATGATACTCCTCAGCCATGCTCGCCGCAGACTGTGCCAGCATGAACTCTCTTCCATTCATCAGCAGTGAGGGTACTTTGACCTTCCCATGTTCAGCCACCCAACTTCTGTTTTCCTCTGCGTCCTTCTCAAAAGCGCGATAAACCTCAAGACCGGCTCTGATAGCACCAGGTTGCGAGTAGGCAAGCGCATAATGTTCCAGGTCAGCAGGTGAGATAGCTGCGCTATTGTACGAGATCTTGTCGAAGAAGTGCTTGAGATATTCTCGCTCTTTCCCAGCGATCAGGAATTCTGGAAGGTCGGGTACTCGGTGGAAGACGAAGTGGAAGACGTCGGGAGTACCTTTGACATTCTCATAGCATGATGTACCGGGCAGCGGACATTCACCCCAAATGACGCTTCTAACGTCGTTGGGGTAGCGCGATACGTAGGCGAATGCGATCATGCCACCAATATCGTGGCCTACGACGTGGATTTTCTCTTTGATACCGAAGTGGGATTGGATCAATATGTGCAGGTCCTCTGCCATCTGCGTCTTTTGGTAACCACTTAAGGGCTTTGAGGATTGTCCAGCGCCTCGGTAGTCGGGCGCGATAACCCGGTAGCCGGCATCTGCTAGAGGTGTGATGACATGGCGGAACTGATACGAGGTTTGAGGGAAGCCATGAATGAGCAGTATGACACCCTTTGCTTCCGTCCTAGAAGCCGCTTGACACTCGATGTAATTCAAACGTATCTCCTCGCCGGACGTTGTAGTGATTGAAGCGATTCGTTGACACCAACGTGAGGTATCAATTGCTGGAGACTGCAGGGTAGACATGGTATGTGAGAATGCTTAAAATGAAGAAGACGTTAAGAGGTATAGGAATCTCGAGACGGAATGTTTATACACTTGGGTATACCCGGTGGTGGGTATCCATCGTTGGATTTGTAAGACATGACGCTGCAAGAGCGTCATACCAAGGTGCCAGATACATGGCTCGACGCTGAAATCAGGCGGTTATCCTTGTGACAAGACCTAGAAGATTACTGCTACAGAAGGGTCAACTTCTACTCGAGAACTGCAATGGCTTATATCGTAGCAGTAGCTTTACTCGAATCCAAAGCGTTCTTCTTGCGTGGTATGCACCATTCCGTTTTTGGTATGGTATCTCCGGATCGGTCGAAGTCGCAAACGAAGTGATACGTTCCTCGCAAACGTCTAATGCTGTCATCACTTCTGTACATTCGAGATCCATCGCACAAAGACGTATGGTAGTCGGTGAATTCTTCTCTCGGTCCTGACTTTCCGATATAGGCTCTTACCCAGGTGCTAAGCCACTAGGCCACGACACTTAATCTCCATCCTTTGCAGCAACAGCAATTGTCAATTCGTTCGCTGTCCTGTTCAACTACCTTCATAAGGCATGCCTAGGCTGGGTAGATGAGCTCTATCCGCTCATGTCTCAGAAGCCATGAGTCAGTCCGAGGATCTCCCTTCCATGATATCTAGTTAGGCTGCGACCGGCATAACAACAGGACGCGGGAGAGATCGGGAGCTGGATAGAACGGCGCGAAGCATTGAACCGTTATGAGAGAAGGAATGAAGGACGGGGATCAATGGAAGATCTGAAGATGGGCCTGCCACACGCTAGGGGTGTTGCCCCACTTTTTGGCGACATGCCTGAGATGCGCCTAAGGACCCTGCGGAAGTGACCAATCAAATCATGCTCTTCTTGGTGCCACTGTGCCGGGAGACGTGGAGCTGCCGTAGAGTCTGTCGCATGTCGTTCTTCCATCAACGCCAATTGTATCAGTTCAGTAAGATGGCGAAATTTACCCCCGCGATGTCGCGACCCTACCGAGATGCGAAAACTACACGGCGCTTAATCAGATAACGGCATGGCGATATATAAGGTCGCAGGCCGGAATGATATATTCTACAATACCCCCATCACAACTACCATACGTTTTACTAGCCCCATTACCGACGATGCCGACCCACGGAGAAAGAAACCTGGAACTCGGGAATCAGGCGTATGCTGCCTCTTTCGACCAGGGCCATCTAGCACTTCCACCTAGCCAGAGATACACTATCGGTAGGCACAAACCAACGGTCTGTATCGTCATATACTGACTTGATGCGATAGTAACGTGCATGGACGCTCGCATCGATCCCACCGCTGCATTCGGTATACCTCTTGGAGCCGCCCACGTAATACGCAACGCCGGCGGTTGTGTAAAGGATGCCTTCCGATCGATCGTCATATCGCAACAACTTCTTGGAACAAGAGAGGTGATACTTGTCAAGCATACAGGATGCGGTATGCTCACATTCGACAACGATATTGCGAGAGCCACGGTCATGAAGAAGAGAGGAGAAGTGGCTGCGAGAGAGGTGGAGACACTTGACTTTCACGCTTTCCGTGATCTAGAGATACAGGTCAAGAAGGACATACAATGGCTTCGGATCAAAGCGATTGAGGAGAACATCAGGTTCAGCGGCTGGATCTATGACGTGGAGACAGGGAAGACAACTCAGATTGTGTGAACTGGCTGCTTGGTCGTTCATTGAGTTTTGCAAATTATACCCAGGACAATGTAACAACATCTTATGAGCTTTCCCAGCAGACGTGCGCAACTGCTCTGTGCTCTTTGAGGTTTGGAGATAACTAACTTGGAGCGGCTTTAACAGCTCGCCCATTTCCTATTGGGGGCTAGCTTCTCCGCGGGCTAAACTCCCCGCAGCCTGACGCGTCGCGAACTCCAGTGACGTGTCGTAGTTTCCAAAGTATGCTCTTACACGCGACGACAACCTTCAATCTTCTCCGCCTGCACTCTCCGACGTCCGCTCTTCGTGGAAAAGCATTGCATCTTTGTATGGCGGCCAAGACAGCGTCGCTTGGCGGGCTACCAGACGAGCTGGTACTGGAAATTCTGAATCATTTCCATACCATTCGCTCATATGAGACGCAATCCACAGCCTTCAAAGATCAAGAAAAGGAGAGAACACGCCAATCCGAAAATCGCATACTCAAACGATCGCTACGCAATCTTTGTCTAACGTCCCGTCATGTTAGCCGAATAGCCACCCCAATTCTGTACGCATCGTTCACGGGAGCTGTTACTCGACACGGTCTTACGCCTCTCAACCTGTTCCACGAAAGGACGTCGGCCTCTAATGCTTCGGGTCGCAAATGCATAGAGTATCTGCAGTATGTAGAAGTCCGACTCGAAGATGATCAAGGCAACAGTCTTCGCGCCGATACTCTTGAGCCGGATGCCGTTTACCAGGCAGCATATTACTTTCAGTTACTAGCACATATCATAAGCTGCGCGCCAAACTTACAACATCTTTCTCTTGTCGTCCTCGAGACTGACAACGTTTCCTTTTGGAAACACATTATAACGGAAGAAGATGCAACGGCTACGCTCACACAAACGACAGCGACTAGACAGGACTTCCATAAGCTGCAAACTCTGTGTATTCAGATGCATATAGACGTTTCCATCAACCATAGTTCTGGATCGTTCGACCAGATCTGCTCCGTTATGTCGAGGGCTCCCGTGCTTTCTGACTTCCGAGCTCATGGTGTGGCAACATTCGCGCTGCGAGCACAGCCGCCCGAGCTTAGCATCTTCGGTATGCTCAAACGTCTAGAGATCACCGAGTGTATGCTCGAGATAGAGGAGGTCGCCAAGATGTTATCGGCGTGTAACGAGCTACAGCATGTTGTTTGCACATGGGCTTTCCTCGATGACACGACCGGAACAATACCAGATCTCTTCATCGCTCTTCTGCATCACACCGAAACTTTGGAAAGCTTACGTCTCGATTTGCGTCAAGTCAGAATCGACGACGATTTGGATGAGTCTCAATGCTTTGGTAGCTTTCTGCCGTTCAAAACTCTTAAGACATTGGCTGTATCGGATTATTGTCTTCCTGCGTTCTCTAATCTAATTCATGAAGATAGAACCCCCTGTTACGACAAGAAGGTGCCTCCACCTTTAATGGCTGAGCTGCTACCACCGAGTTTGACAAGCTTCACAATGCTAACCGGGGAACCCGATGAAATCTCAGGTGAAAGCTCAGATCTTTCGCCCGACCTATGGGTTTGGGTCAAGAAGTATGCTTCGTCAGGCCTAAACCTGAAACACTTCATCGTCGAAAGCTACGACGTTGAGATAGAGGACCCTAGTATCACGAAGGCCTTTTTGGACTTGGGTGTGCAATTTGAGCTTAAGGAGGTATCAGGATATGACTAGACGCGTTTGAAGATGGCAAACGGTTGAAGGGCCGGAAGATAGTAACGATGTCCGCCTCTGAGAGCTGCGACATGTACATTGGATAATGGAACAAACACGACCTACTCAAACGCACATACCACGCTGTCATTCTATGCTTAATTGGAGAGGCGGTGTTGGTAACGCTGGGCGGTACAGATGCGGGTAACCTATAGCAAGGTTCACGTAAAGATGTACCTGAATTGCACTGCCGTCGACCCGACGACAAGATCCCACCTTTACTTCAGTGGTGACCATTACGGCCAGGGACTTTCTCACGTGCCAGTGCCCCTCACTAAGTCCTGCACGTCCATATAAGCCTTTTCCTCTATGACTCCAGGCTTTCTTTCCTCCTCGCCACCTAGTCAGCCTCCACCTGCTCGAGAAGCAATCGATTTTCGATACAGATCTTACAGCCGCAGCAGCAGCATCAAGAGTTGTTAACATGGCTATCCCGAGCGATCAAGCCGCTCACTTGGACGTCACTGCATTCTCTGACGAAAAGACAGTTGTCGCGAACATAGGATCTTCCAAGAGAGAGATTTCGAGTCAGGTCGGCGCCTCAGTCCCCGATTTTGTGCTTGACGTATCCGGAAGCTCTGTGCCCGAGTCCGAGAGGTCTGGAATAGCCAAAGAGCTAGACTGCGTCCGGGATTCAGCAGATATTGGGATACCTACTCTCGATTCTGCCTTCCCATCGCCCAAGCTCGCCACGAATGACTGCGAAAGCATTGTCTCTATTGGTGAAGGCGATGTTGGGAAGGACATGCATAGCAAATCAGCTGTAGCGAGCCCGGTTCCTATACAAGACCAGGGAGAGCATTCTAGTGGAAAGGCAAAGTTAAAGCATGGTATGTCTCGTTTCTATCATGGAAAGCACTGACTAATCTGAAAAGAAGCGTCTCCAGTCACCAAGAACGAGTCTCTTATCACATCTGCCCCGAAAGGTCGGCGCGAGATCGTCGAGGTCGATACCGAGACTGACACAGACACTACTATTGACGCACCTAAATCCTTCAAGCTGGCCCACAGTCTACCTCCTCACATGCGACCCGAGTTTCAACCACCACCAGCGCGCCAATTCGGTCTTAATGACTCAAGGGTATGCTCTTGTAGAGACCTTCGGATACATTTATGACTGACACGTCTAGCACATGGTACCACCAAACGATGTCGCCCGACACAACGAAGGCTCTCGAGCATCTCGCTCCCACTATATGTCATATCAACCTAGAGGCGACCACGTGGACCGGGAGCAGTTTGCCCGTGTCAGCGCCCAGTTAACGAAGATCAAGCATGAACTTGATGTCGAGCGCAATAAGAACTGGCGAGTTCGGACAACCATCGAGGCCGAGCAGCAGCAGAAGGTTGAAGCCGCGTCCTCGAAGATGCTTACCAACCTCCTGCGAGAGCAAGCTGAAGCTCTCACGCTCAAAGCCAAGGTCGAAGCTAGGGAGCGTGAACTTGACTTTCGGGAGCAAAGAATCTCACAGCAGGAAGTTTACCTTTCCGAAGGCCAAAAGCAGCTCTGGTATTCTCTCGAAGCAAACGGCGTTCGCCCTATGAGTGCAGTGGATATGCAGCACGCCAGACAAGAAGCCGAGCTAAACGCTCAGAAGGCCATGGCTGACGTCAATGGAAAGCTTAACATCAAGATCGAAGGTCTACGTCTTCGTGAGGCAGCACAGCAAATGCGCGAACAGCAGTACAAGGCTATCGTTCGCGATTCGCTCAAGGACGAACTCGAGAACTCGCTGACCGATGAGAAGGCTGAAGAGATTGCCGAGATTGAGTACAATAACGGATACGGTGCAGGTAAAGAGATCGGTAGCAAAGAAGCACAAGAGAAGTCTCGCCAGCGAGGCTTCTTAGAGGGCTATGGCGCCTGTCACCGTACTCAAATTACCCTTAGCAAGTGTCGCCAGGGTCTGATTGATCGTGACAGCCCCGAGCTGAACTTCCTCTACGACGCCAACCACCCACACAACCTCTGGAACATTGGCGAGCTCGTCGGTCGCCTGGAACATGAAGACAACGCCGAGAAGATGAAGAACGTGGGAAAGAGGGACTCTGTGGTCGAGAAGCCAGTCATCAACACCAAGACTGCCAATGTCGCTGATGAGCCCCGCGACATGAATGGCAAGGTCAACGGGTATACCAATGATACCATGATTCACAAGCGAGAGGAGACAAGTAGCAGGTAAATCACCCATCACTCTATCTTTCACTTACGCTTACACTCTACAGGATGCCACTCGCGCGTCCCACCTTCGCCGCCGAGCTTCGCGGTCCCTCTGCTACACACAACGGCCACATCATTCTCGCTAACAACGTCACTTCACCAGCCGCCAAGAAGACTGAACAACTCATCATCAAGGGTGAGGAGCCTGTCGTGAATTTGATTGACTTCGTGTAAGTCGGTCGATAGAAGGGCCGGGGCGTGGACGAGGAGTATTGGGATGGCTGGACGGAAGGGTCGGGGCATGAGGTTTGAGGGCGACAAGAGGCGCGTAGGTAACAATGGTTGTGTCCAAAGTTCAACAGGATGGCTACATTGCTCTGGCTACTCTACCGTCGCGTTGCGTATGCTACTTGGATACCTCCAAGCCCCTGCATAGCCTCAACCCCAGCATGCCGCCCGATCGGGTTAGAGTCCGCTTTGGGGATGGCGGGCGGGCAAGGACTAAAGCTTGTGTGTGAAATGAGCTACATGATTGAGTTGACACCATTTAGGTACTGACTATATGGGACGAGAAGCTATATGCATATCAAGTTTCTAAAATATCCATATGCCAGGTTTGATGCATAAACCTTTCGTCTCATATGAGCATTCTAAAAGTAGATTCTGACATCTACATTACTTTTCTTCATCTCTATCTTCCGCCTATAACATGTTGAATACCCCCCCTCGCCAGCCCAAAACCACACTCTTATGACCATCTAATATACCTCAATCCTGCATAACGCTCCACCCCTCGCCGCCTCTCCTCCCGCCAAGTCCTCTTCCACCCCTTATAACCGGCCCATGACCCCTCTCACCCAACATAGGTTTCCTCAGCACAGGGCCATTCGGCCCCTGACCAAACGCGTCAACCTGCTCTTGAGCCTCCTCTGTCAACTTCGGTTCGTTCGCACCACCACCCTCCTTTGTCTCTCCCTCCTTGTTAGCAGGCCACTTCTTCGCAAAGTCCTGCGCCCCACCCCCGATAGCCCTCATCTCCTCGTTCTCCTGGCCATCTTCTCTTGCAGCATACTTCCCAACGATATCCAACAACTCCTTCTCTCCCTGCTTCTCACGCTCGCTAGACCAGTTTGCATACTCGTCCCACCACCAGCGATGCGTCTCTCCATCTTTTCCTAAGTACCCTGCCGTACCATCTTCCTTCACACGCGCAGCCCACGGCTTATCTACGATGTAATGTAGCACAGCGACCTGGTCGTCGACCCAGATATTAGTGTGCCAATATCTCCACGTCTTCAACGCATTCGTTTTCCAGGACAGCGTACTCCAGCGGCCGTCGAAAGCCTCGTTTAAGAAATCCTGATCAGGGAACTTCATAGCGCGGAGTCTAGTGTTACCAATGTCCTGAAACTTCTGGAGAACAAACTCAGCTAGAGCTTTGCTAGGGCGATAGAGAAAAGTCCCCGAGTTGAAGTTGGACAGCGTGTACGGTTCTGGTCGCACTTGAGCGAGTTGATCCGGGGCTGTGAGTTTAGCCATGGCGCAGTTCTCCGGGTTCCATTCAGCCGGAGCCCAGGAGTCGTGGTCGAGGTTGCAGACACAGGTGTGTACGGCCATTGTTCGCATTGCGTCGCCGCCTTGCAGGTAGGCGTCGTTTTGCTTGTTAAAGATTAGGGGCGAGGGGTTGGAGAAGATCATCATGTCGGCGTCTAGCCAGCAGATTCGTTCAAACTTCTGGGGCATGTCCCAAAGGTCGAAGACGCGCAGTTTGGTCCATGTGTCGATGAAGCGCTCGGCGACCATGCCAGATTCTGTTCCATCTTCAGGAAGGCGGAGGTGTTCTACGGGGTGGAGGACGATGTTGGAATGTTTGGCTTCGGCTTTGAAAGCGTTGACTGAGGCCTCTGGGAGTGTTTCCGGCGTGTAGGTTATGATGAGGGGTGTGTTTGGTGAATGCTTGTTGAGTGTGTAGGCTAGGAGGATTGCGCCAGCGAGATAACTGGGTCGAGTGAGGAGTGTTACATATGCATCTTTTCCCTGTTGGTCCGCCATTATGAGTACCGATGGGCTCCTGGACCGTTATTGCTCTCTGATGTTTTCAATTTGGGAGATATAATGACAGGGATATCGAGAGGTACATGCAGTCGCAGAGGTCTACACGAGTCCCACCAAAGCAAGAACGCGCTGACGTCACGACTCACGTTCCGAGGCCGGAATGCACAACTCTTGTGATCGGAATCTACTGAGGACGTACACATTTTGGAGAGGGAATGTACTGTGTAAATTGTCGTAGTAGGTTTCACAAAGATATATAGTGTTACAAGTTCAAATTACGGGTATCTCAAGAATCCTACTACGACAACAGCCATTTCACTACTCAAACTTATCATACAATGTCCTCAAATCTTCTTCCCATCCTCTTTCGCTAACGCCTTTCCCCAAGCGCTCTCGAATGGGTCGTCCGGCTTAGGAGCATCTACCTGCTGTACATCTTGTAAAGCTGCAACTTCAGGCACCACGCTTGGCTTCGTCAATTGAACAGGAGCAGGACGGTCCAAGGCAGCAGCCTCTGGGCTTTCGTACTCGAAGTTGCTAGAGTAGACCACAGCAGCGAATGCCTCCAGACCACCAACAGCTTCGATAGCAGCTAGGTACTCGTTGTTCGCTCCGCTTCCGATACTATGCGCCTGTCTGCAGAACACCGCTAGACTGTTGGCGACCTTGGCCTTGACGTCGTGGCCAACGATCTCCTGCACACGAGCGTTGCTATCAGAGACGGGCGGGATCTTGTATGAGAGTTGCGAGATCTTCACATCGACGAGGTGGGAGAAGGCCGCATCGAGGAGCTGTGTAAGGACATGGGCAAAGGCAGGCGATTCAATGAGGTCGGAGGTTTCGTCGATAAGGCGACGAAGAGAGGCGGTTGTTGTGGGAGATGTCGACTCAGATGATGAGGTCATGCCGGACTCTTGAAGGACGTAGTCTTCCTGGTCTTGCGGTGGAAGTAGGAAAGCAAGCCACTTGCATGTTCTGCGGGGAGTTAGCTGATGTCTTTACGCGTTGGAGTGAACTCATACCTTCGCTCTTCCTCGGTCGCACCTTCGACTCTCTTGCGTACTTCCAGTGTAAGTTCAGATAGTCTCTCCAAGGTCATCTCTTCTCTTGGGTTCACGAGGCCGAAGACGTCCTTGACTGCAACCCTCACTTTCTCGATGAGATCTATGCATCCCTTGTGTAGCAGCCACCAGCTCAAACTAAGGTACCTGCGGTTTGTCTCGAAATCATTGCCGTATGCCTGCTCGAAGTTGTCGTCGTCGTTGTTTTCTAGGTTGATTCTTGAGCCTTCAGTGGTCGGCTGCGGTGCGGCCAGGGATACGACGGATGCGAGGTAGTTTCGACGGCCGAGGAGGTTCAGTTGAATGCGAGTGAGAAGCGTAAGGAGAGACAGGGTGTAGACGAGGGTGAAGGCTCGCGTTATTGCTGGTCATGTTAGTATCGAAGCTCCCGATGCCATGTACGGGGCACATACAGCTAATCTTCATCTCACTCCATAGCTGTGCTTTGCTCTTCTTGGACCTCCTGTCCTCTCGGGGCTCTGGACTGCCCTCGGCTGGTCCCGTATTGCTATCGCCCTCTGTAGCGATTTGGCTGGCATGGATGAAGCTGTCCGTCTGCAGGCTCGAGCTTCTTGCGTCATCCTCGGTCGTGTCGGCTACACTTGGAGGCGCTGTACTCGCAATCTCGCTGGGCCCGACGCTACGTGACAGGCGCTCTGCCTTTTGCCTCTGTAGCTCTTCCAGCACTTGCTCCACGGGGATGGCATCGAGTATGTTCTCGGTCGCGGTCGGTAGGATGGCGAGGACGGTGAAGGTGCAGTCTTCCTGGTTCTGTTCGAAGCGGCGGCGGAGACTGTAGAGCCGTTAGAACGTGCTCGTTGATAAGAGGGTATGGAGCGCACTTCTCCTTCGCGATGCGATCATCGCTCATGCGTTGCCTCGCCTCCCCGAGCTTGCCCAGCACATACTGCCCCGCCAGATAGCCGGCGCCGAGCACTCCGGCGCCGATTGCGAAGTTTGTGCGGTTGCGCCTGAGCCAGCGACGCGTTCCTTGTATCATGTTGATGGTTGAGAGGGCTATGCAGCCCGCGTACTTGGGGGTGGAGCAGGCGTCAGTCGCGTGTGGGGAATGTCGGAAGACCACCCAAGATAACCCAGGGTCCCGGCTGCTGCTCACGGGCCTGTCAATGCACCGATGCGTGATACAAGGATCCTCTTTGTTCAAATACTCCTGTCGTAGCAATTGTCGTAATAAGTGATTAGTGGTGACTGATAAAGCAGGTGCAGGCCTTCAACGTCCAGCGCATGCGAGGTTGGTCTCGGGTTACACCAAGGCTTCGTGATTGGGCCGAGGTCCATTGCCCAAAGGGGAGACCAAGCCCAGCGCCGCTTTCGCTCCGCACATGTTGTCATCGCCTCCAGACGCTAATTCATCTTCCCACTCAAAAGGATAAGGCCTTCTGGTAGCAGTGTATTATGTATCAAACAGTACTATAATAGCAGCCTTCCCCTCTATCGCAGCTCATCGCATGTTGCATCCAATTCGTGATAACAGAAAAGCAACGCGTCTTTCAATGTATTTATTGTATAGACAAGTCGAACAAAATTGAAGCCAAAACGTCAAGTCGTTAAGCGAGTCGTGAGTGGTAATCCTTCAAACGTATAGTGCGTCATTCAAGCGGGCGAGATGTCGCAGTTGGTGTTGTTACTGTTGTCTCGGGCGAATCAGAAAGAGAAGTCGTACTCGTAATCGGAGACGAGGCTTCTGAGCTGGACGACCTAGTTGATGCTGACGACCTGTAGAAGCAATTAGAAGCTGTGCGTGGATTTCAATCTCGCTTTGCAGGCTTGGCCATAACATAGGAGAATGCCAGTCGGAACATATGCTAGGTGTAAGTAGCAAAGAAAGTGAGGGAGACCGGAACAGGATAGCCGGTGACGTTGAGCCAAAACATGAACAGGGCGATTCCCCAGCGAGCATACTGAAGACATGCTAGTAGGACTTGTGTCTACTAGCAATGACGGCAGCATGGCCCAGGGCCAAAGCCTAACAGGGGAAAGCCAGTCGGCAAACAGATGTCTGGAAAAGAGGGACAACGTTGAATGAACAGGAAAGGAGCAAAGGTCGGGCGATACGAACGTCTTGATTGTAGCGATAACTGCTTGCTTTTAGCCATTGAACGTACCCATTAATAACCAATAGATAGGTTCACTACTGCGTAGCAGCGAACCTCCTGAACTCTCCAAGATTCAATTGGGTATGCATGTACATCCCGGCTTGATGCCCATAGCAATCAATGACAGAAACTTCCGTATCCTTGGGCTGTTTTTTGGACCCTGGTATGCTGTGGTCCGAAAATCCTTCCTTGGATCAGAAGTCCTGGGATCAGTCCTCGCGCTGGATATAAGAAATAAAAAAAAGCTTCTTGCATGACAAGAAGCAACGTAAACATGAATAGCAGTGAAGATAGTCAGGATAGCCTATCTCACTGTTCCAGTCCGCGGTGAAAGGTCGTGGCACCCAGTAGTAGTTCACCCTTGGTTAGCTGCAGACATGTAGTCTGTAGATGGGTTCCAAGGTCGTTCATACGAGCCTTGTGAATGCAAGAACGCAGAGGAATCTCCGGGTTGGTCTTGAGGGTCTATAAAACCATCATAACTGGACTGAAACGACTGAGGTTCGACGAAGGGGGATTGATCGTTCCATTGGATTTCATGTCTGTTGTATGGAGACCTGGGGTAAAATCCAGTGACATGTGAAGGTACGTACCCCGAAATCTCTGACTGATCGCCTTGCTGAATTCCCTGAGTCTCTTGAGCCCACTGCGGGCTGCTTCGTGCTGTGACTGACTGCGATGAGTCTTTTGCGTCCTTGCGAGCTCGAGCCAGATCTTGATCGTTGTGCGTGGCCATTGTAGCCGGCAGCGTTGCCTCGGGTCTTAACACATCGGCTTAGCATTATGATAGCTGATTACTGACATTCAACATCACTACTGACCTTTGCAAGGTAATGTCGTCATCCCGGAGGGTCTTTCCTACAGGCATGAGGGTTGCGATGACGTGAGTGCACTACATCCTGTTAATGTTGGTCTGACAGGAACGCGGAACTGTCTCCTACCTTGCCCTTCTGGCGCTTGCACTTATCACAAGCACCGATTTTTCTTGTAGTCTTATAGGCAGATCGTTCTGCGGGTGTCATCTTGCGCTTCTTCTTGGGCTGTATCGCAAGCCCTCCATCCACAATACTAAACACGTGTTGCTGACCAGTTGCAATCTTGGTGATGGTAGGAGACTGCTGTGAATGATGCTCCACAAGTGCCGGCGACTTATACGAACTGCTATGTGACAGGGAAGGTGAAAGGCTTCTTTGATGCTTGCACACATCCAGTTCCTCGAGACCTGGATGGGACGCTTGAAGAACCATAGCTTCGTTCTGCATCGACTCAAGTTCGCGGTTCAAAAAGTCTATGGCGGCCAAATGCTTCCGCTGGCGCATACTGGTACATTGTGGATATTGGCTTTTCAGAAGTTCGTGTAGAGCATCAGAATCGAGTGGCTGAGTGAAAGCCATGCCTGCCCACGGCGGAGTCTCGTCGCTCGTTGGGTGTATCCGCTTGATGGATCTCATATTGAGAATCCTACAAAGATCACGGCGGTTAAGTGAGATATATCAGGTCGGATTTAGACAGATATCGCAAGACTCCTAGAATATGATACCCGTGTTTCAGCTATGCCGCGTATCAGTAATGTTTAAGCAGGGGGGCGCTGGCAATCATACATAGAGAACACTGTCATTGTTCCTAGCCCAATTGTGCTACTCCAGCGTCAGCATAATCATATTCATGAGCGAGGCTTTGTGGAGTGATTCTAAGTACAGACCGCAAGCCGTCTTCGCCGTGGTCATGACAGGAATACCCCGCTGATGATCACGAACGAATCGTCGTGATCTCGGCGACAGCAATCTAGCCTTTCTAATCCACCATATGTACTTACATGATAAGGTATGGTTCGTTCAGGGACGGTTTGTATTGATGGTGAGCTTAGAGGGGAATCGAGTGTGTAAATAAGTCACCGAGGTCACCAGACGTGTACACTACCGAGCCCCAGGCAACGATAGGATATACGGAAGGAACAGAACTAGCCGCACGGTGTCTCGACACGATCAATCGTAGGTTAGCCGGTAGCAGCGGCGTCCTAAACTGGCCAAACATTCTTTCTACTCCGTAGCAGTTCGGATATAAGCATTGCACCATCATAGCAAGCTTGCAGATGATTCGTGCGGAAGTCGGCATCGTGGATCATGTTCACCGTGTAACTGTCATGGCGTCGACTTGTAGGCGCAGCATCACGGAGGACCATCTCGCTTCTAGAATGAGGCGCAGTCAATTGGCCAACGAGCTTCAGCCTGCTGTCATCTTGGGCACTCTGACTTTGAAGTTGGGCAGCGATGCAGACTCTGTGATCAACGCATATAATATCGTCTTCTCAGTGGTAGCTGTGCTGCTCGTATAAATGAAGCGTGGTGGGTGTATCGTGATGCGCGTGAATTCCGCGGGAATGTGGTGCAGGCCGGGTACGCGTCATGACGGCGTCAGTTTCTTCTACCCTTTCATGGTAAGACAACGAACACCGCGCGATAGTAGAACGAGGCAGCATTTGTGTAGATGACGAGCGTTAAGTGTATGACAGCTGGTGGCAATGAAGAGGGAACAGTTGAACGGGTCCTGGTGACGACTCCAGTCCGGGGTTGGGCTAGACCAAACCAAGCTAGCGTCAAATCGAGATGAAGTTGCGACCAAGGAACGCGCTCATTGTTCTCCCTCCACCGCCTACCCATAACCTTATCGTCCGGCCTCTGGAAAGATCTCGGATCAAATGGCCTCACAAGCTGCTTCACGAGCATGAGCGATGTGGTGTAATAATGGGTAGCTATCAAAACGAGACTGACCTTTTTCATGCTGCAAGACCATGCCAACATCGGAAGGGCTAGGCAGTATGCTCAAAGAACAGGAGGAAACATATTCTCGGTATCCTTGATCTTTTGCAAGTAGTGAATCGGCAAAATGGTGCAGCGGATTGGCGCAAAGTAGCAATGTTTGGTACCCCACCCACATCGCTTCCATTATATTATTGAGAACGCATAGGTCACATGCTGCGCAGCTCTTGTTTTTTCTTTCGTTGATATAAAACGGTGCATCCGATTTAGGATCAGTCACTTCTCCCACACAAGGACTACCAAGATGACCACTGCAGCAAGGATGGATACCTTCAGATTTCTCGACCTACCAAAAGAAATCCGACTAATAGTCTACGAGCAACTCCCCTTCATCAGACGACACTCCACGTTGATTATGCCATATACTCCGGACCACAAAGGCAGTATCGTTCTCGTCCTCCAAGTACTTCCTCTCGCTATCCTGAGAGTGTCCAAGATGATTCACGATGAAGCGTACGCCTTGCTCAAGCCTAAGATGTACGAGCTGCTCTATTGGCCGCCTCGACTTATCATACCAGCACCAGATATTTTTAAGATAGGAGCAGGCTTCGCTAAGTTTCTCCAGATCGCTAGACAACTGCTCCACAAACAGTCTATAACAACACTGAGCTCTGGTGAGATGGTTTATTACCAACCAGGAATGGTATACTACGCTCAGGGAAACATTCCACTGATCATCACTCCCTCGCTCATCCAGTGGGCACAACACGCTGGTCTCTATCTTGGACAGATGAAGGTCCATCCTATCTTGGCTCGATTTGCAGCAGACAACCCGAATCCACCGATGAGATCCGCTGGAGTCCAGCTATTGATCAGCCAACCAGGTATGGGACCAAAGTTATGTGAGACATGTCTCGAGGACCACATACCGCTAATGCACATCCTGATTTACTTCATATCTGAAAACCTCAGCATGGCCCGAAAGAAGAACCCCAAGGTGAATGTACTGCTTCTAGGTACGAGCGTGTGCACTCCAGATGCTCAGAACGGATTACATTACCACGGGTCAGAAAACTTGCAGGAAGAGCTAAACAGTGCATTGTGGTGGAACTGGCCAAAGTGTAGATTGCAAAAGAATGGAGGACATATTGTTGAGCTAGCGGCTTGGGAAGGAGATTGGCAGGCTACACCTACAGTGGGGATGTTGGGAATTTCAAGTGATGAGGAAAAGACGGAGAGTGCGACGTACATCGACTTCGTCCAACAACATGTAGCGTCTGATGGGAAACGAACATCTCGACACGATACACTGCCCTCGTATTAGAGAAGCCGCTTGGGCTAGCATTCAATTTGTGATCATTGAACCCAAATTTATGCGCCTTGTCCTGCGGCCGAAAGTCCGCCTACCCTATAACCAAATTTGAGCAAGTCTTGTCCCTCTATCTGTGTCTTCTTTCCTAGTAATTCGTCGGTATCCCATGTCGCACCCAGCAATCGGCCGTTCAACCACATCCGCTTCTCAGTGCTTAACCAAACACAAAAAGCGCCCCCGAGACCAATATCGTCTGTGAGGTCTAGAAAGTCAGTATCCTTCATTGAGTTCGCAGTCAAGATACACTTACAAGGTCGAAAGCTACCTGGCGTAGTCTTGTCTGCCATCTCCGTGTTGACGGCGCCAGGGTGTACAGCAACAGCCAATATACCATCCGCACCGTACTGCTCCGACAGGAACTCGACAAGACGCGCCTGCGCAAATTTCGAAATACAATATGCTGTGTTCGCAATGTGCCCGTTTACGATACATGCTCCAAAGGAGTTGATAGCGATGAAGGTTTTAGCACCATCGCTTTCCTTCAGTATCGGAATGAAGTGGTGCGCAACAAGGTATGTACCCTGTACGTTGACGTCGAACACATCTTGGAAATCCTGTGGATCTCCTTCCTCGACTTTCAGCACTACCGGTCCTGAGTATCCTGAATTGACAATGACTATGTCCAGCCTTCCGACTTCTTGTTTTACATCCTTCGCAAGCTGCGCAACGCTCGTATTTGATGTAATGTCGACCTCCAAGCTTTTGATGGATACAGACGGATTCAAGTTCTTGGCTTCTTGTGCGACTGTCGCTAGTTCCTGGCTTGAAGATGACCTCGCTGCCAGGAGGAGAGACGCAGCACCTGCTTGCGCGTAGGCATGGGCAATACCGGCTCCTATCCCGCGAGACGCGCCAACTATGAGTACGTTGAGTGGCTTTGGCAGTTTGTTGGAGGCCGGGTCCAGGGCAGCAGTGGGTTTGCTATGTATCGTCTTTGTGAAGCCGCTGGCGAGCGTAGTATCTCTTATTCGTTGTGACATAGTGATCGGTCCGAACATTTGTGATGGAAACATTTCGACAATTGCTGTTGCCGCCTCCTGATATACTGGCGCGCCTTATGTGCATCCTTCAGGCCGACTCAAAATGACTCATATTGAGCCGCATCCTGAAAGACAAACTTGTTTCGAGCAACGCTTCTTGTACCTCGCCATAGAACAAGCCGTTTCGCCATATTTTCTAGATGTTCTTGGGTGCTCGATATTCAGTCTCTAAGAAACATCGTCAGCGCAAACGTGAGGTTCTAAAGCGGAGGTAGGCGTATGACGTGCCGCGCTAATCTAGCGTGACTGAAGTGTGGGGTTCACCTTTCACTCATTTGGGAAAATGTCATCTTCCTCTTCGATACGGGCTTAATCTTCTATCCTACACCCCACGACCGATGATGGTTCTCGTCGCCATAATGTGGTGCTGCAGCTAGCTTGGGTAAGCATTGTCGTATGTAAGCCCTATCCAGACATGCATGAACCCAGCCTATGGGATACGGACGGCCTGCATAACCATTATTCATATGCAGCTAGATAATAGTGAGCGAGGCCAACGGAACTCTTGACGACATTGTGATTGGAAGCGTGTACTACGACCAGTGAGAAGTATAAAGTCGAAGCGTCGCGCCATAAACAGAGACTAGCTTTCCATCGAGCAAAGTGTTAGATACTCAACACCTCTAGCATTCCGAGATGACACGCACTCTTATCCTTTTTGGCGCAGGACCTGGCATCGGCGACAATGTCGCCCTTCAATTCGCGTCCAAAGGTATCGAACACGTTATTCTTCTTGCGCGCAACACAGAACGCCTCCAGAACGAAGATGCGCCGTTCGTCACCAGGAGCACATTCCCCGTCAAAGTCGACACACTCCGTATCGATCTCGCAGACGCAAAATCCATCCCAAGTGTACTCAAGCAGCTTGACAGCATGACCTCAGGCGAAGACGTAGAAGTAGTGTTTTTCAACGCTGCTCGCATAAAGCCAAGTGAAGTACTCGGTGTCAGTGTTGACGAGATTGACGAGGATTTCAAAGTGCTTAACTCCTTTTTCCAATATCAATAATACCGGGTATGCTAATGGAGATCATAGACGAGCAACCTCGCCCTCTACGTTATAGCACAGCATTATATTCCCAAACTCCAGAGCCTGGCTAAGTCCAATTCTACATCCAAACCTGCGCTTTTCGTCACCAATAGCCATCTGCCTTGGGATCCTATACCGCAGCTGCTCTCGTTAAGCTTGACAAAGGCTTCGCAGAAGAATATGGTAGAGAGCTTCAACCGTGCTTTCAGCGACAGTGGTGTGCACATCGGGCTGATACATATTGAGGGATCTGTGGCGCCTGAGAATAAAGTGCTAAACCCGAAGACGATTGCGGAGAGGACAATCGCATTCTGGGAGGGGAAGAAGGGCTTGGCTGTTCACATCAAGGAGGAGTAATGGCTGTGATACAGGATTATTCATTTCGAGGCGATCTGCTGCAGTCGTTCAGGTTGCTCGGCTTATCGTACATCCTTTCTTGTACCACTTACTTCATTACTTACTTTGCATCTTTCCTGCCTTCATGCACTGTTCCAATCCTTCTGGGAATATAATCCTAACGTTATAGCTTCGTTCAGGAATCTGCTTCAGCCTATCAGCATCCATCGTCTTGCGATCAGCTTTGTCGTTTGTCAATCTACCTCGTCCTGTGCCCCGGATCGCCAGTGAGCAGCGCACAATCATGCAGACTACTCCTCCTACAGATTCCCAAGTCAGCACCGAGAGGGAAAACATAGTAGGAGGTATACTGTCAGGTAAACCAAAAGACATATAGATGATATAGCATAATCCTTGCCTCGGAATCCTCTTTAGGGCAGGTAGCCGATATGCGCCGCAGATAAGCATCATACTGTTGCTGGTTAAGATTTCTGAGATCATCTTCATCATACGTTGGCCGCACGATTGCATTTGAATATCACCGGGCATGAGCACTATAGTTGAAATTGCTCAACTCACACTCCCCATATCCCCAAACCCTTGCAGGATCAAAGACTACCACGTTGTTGTTCTCTTCTGTAACACCAATGTTATCTTCGCTTTCTCAAACAACTTTTCGACCACTTCCTCCATCTCTGCTCATCTTGGCCCACTGATTTCAAGGTCATACCGCAGTATCCTTTCCATGTTTTGCCTAAACTTCCCTTCCCAGGTCGATGTCCAGGCATTTTCTTGAGTAAGGTAGCCATCATGTGTAGTGACACGGTAACCAAACCTGCCCTCCGCGGGTCGACGCTCATGATCTCGTGCGAGCTCCTCGAAAAATACCGCGCTCTCGATATTCAAGTCTCCCAACCTCTGCATCATCGCATGCATATCCGCGGTGTTGGATTGTTCCATATGCACGAAATCCTGGAGATAGAAGTACCACTTCTCCTCGTCTTCAACCCCATCTTCATCACCATCTTCCTTTCCGGCATCCCTTTCAAGAACCCACGACACCACACTGCCAACACACAACCCTGAGCGAAACCTCACAATATCATCCGCAGCCTCGCATAGCCCCCCTCAGCATACTCATCCCATTTCTTCCTCGCGCTAGTTCGACGAAGTAACTGCCTTCGCTCTGCTTACTCCACCCGTTCCATTCACATAGGCCTCCAACATCTCCATTTTCATATTCTTTCTCATCCTCCTCATCTGTAGTTCTACGACCCTGCATCCTAGCATCAACATGCCCACTGTCATTGTTGGTAGTTTTTTTGGTCGGAGTAGAAGTCGAGGTGGTGTCGATGCAGAAACAATCTGTCCTGTGACTTTCGCCGTGAGGAAATATGCTTGTTATATTTCGTGTTTGGCGGGAGGACTAGATGGTACAATTGGGATAAGGTATAGGATGTGTAGCTGCTGGGGGGCCTTTGAAAGCTGGCTAGTGGTGGAAGATCAAGAGAATGAGGACATACGGTGTTGAAGTGTAGCAGAGGCAGCCATACGGTTTTCTAGGTCAGACAACTTTGTCATTTCCGCGGAAGGGGGGATCGTAGTGAAACACCGAGCGATGATCGCTGACAAAAGTACATGCGTTGTAGTAAAAGATGGCAAAAGTATATATGTCTAGTAAGAGGTTGCGAGATTACCATGATGAACATAGAAAGTCGATCCATACAATCGTTCGTAGGCTCTCAAACCCGTTTGCACATACTTCGTCCGCGATGCGAACAAAACAAGATACGCACCTGAATGCCATGTGAAGAGGCACAGTAAACCGTTTTCCTCAAAGTCAGCAGGGCTCCTTCCACTTTTCGTTCGAACGTGTTGCACAAACAGCATAATTTGACATGTGATCAAAGACCGTGTTCTTGTTACAATCTCAATTCCATCCTACGTATTCCACACCACCTATTCTAACGATATGACTGCCACACCAACAAGGATATACAGAAGCCTATCCCGTCCTCCCCACTCATCCCCTTTTCTCCGCCATCCCATCAGCCGAACGAACAAAAAAGTCCCGAAACAAAACCACCAACACACTCAGAATATATGAATCGAAAAAAGAAAGATATTACCAATGCACGAACCCGCTACTACACGCCACAGACGCAAAGGTAAGACAGGGGTGGCTCTCAGAGCCTCACCTGTTCATCCTTTTTCCCCCGCTCCGCTCCGCTCCCAGAATAGTCAGAAACAAGTTTCATGTAGACTCGGTAGATCGAAGCTAGGAAGGAGAAAAAAGAGAAAAAAGACATTTCAAACAAGCAAAAGGCTTATCAGCTAGTTCATCCGGGAAGCCAAAAGCCAAGCGCTCGGAGCCGAAAGAAGCAGAGAAACAAGAAGAAAAGAAAAACGAACATATGTGTTGTTACATGTTGGCGTGCGGGTGACAGAGGGACCGAGTCCGGTAGTCCTGGTGATGGTTGTTGATGTTTGTGTGTTGTGTTGCGTAGGATGATGGTGATGATACTGTGTTGTTGCCTCGACAGCCGTGTACTTTGAGGAAGAGAAGCTAAAGATTTGCATTGTTCGAATGGGATGGAGAAAAAAACGCCCTTGGCTTGTCAGGAATGGAAATGCTGGTCAATACGCCTGCTTGAACACATGAAGCTTCCACCCCGCAAAACCCTACGCCTTGCACTCCTTGAATATGTATAAAGTATCCAGCCGTTTCCTTCTAGTAGTAGATCATCAATGGGAAGCGTGTTGGAACGAGGAGAAATGATTATGGCGGGATTCCTATATCTCGACAGTCTTGAGATCTTCTGTTTCGGCGGTCGCAGCGATAGGGCTCTTCACCGACTTTGGGCTTTTCAGTGAAGAAGGCGTTTCAGGCTTGGTGTCTTGGTTCTCTTTGTTGTTCTCCTTATCGCTGCTGAGACTGTCGCGGGGAGTAGGTAGGCGGGCAGTGGGGAGCTCGTCACTGGGCCTTGGTGTGTCCATGGAGATCAGGTTCTCCGAGGGTGTGGCAGCCTTGGCATCGAGGTTCGTGTGGACGCGAATAGGTGCTGGGTTTTCTTCCGCAACTCGGGCGAGCGGGCTTGAAAGTTTGCCACGCGGGCTGACGCCTTTGGGTGGTTTGGAGAGGCGGTGGGGGCTTCGGCCGCGGTCTTCTGGTCCCATTACAGGGCTGTGGTAGGGGCTGCTCGCAGTGCTACTGGGGACGACCATACCCGGCGCGTTGGGGTTGACACGCAGACCGCTGTTCGGGCGTCCCTTGGGCCGCCGGCGACCGTGCTTCTGATCGCATCGCCAGCGGAGGACTTCTAGGTAGGGTGGCTCAACGTTCTGCTTCTTGAATGCCAACAGCTTCAGCTCGCCCGTCTCCTCATCCATGTGTACGTCCTTGGAGGCAAAGTCATCTGCGGCCATAGCTAGTAGAGCGCCCCACGAGCGTGCGACGACATATTTGCAGTCGTAGTCGCGGCCGAAGATGATGATCTGGCCCCATGTGCCATTGGGACCCGGAGCGAGATCGACGGCAAGGTAGTTGCCTCCCCAGTCGCGGGCCAGAGGGATCCATGCTGGGTGGGCATAGGCCTTTTGTACGGCATTCGGGGGCTGCGAGTCCTGACGCGCGAGGAGGTCTTGTCGCCAGAGAGGGTTGCCTGTGCTCTGGACTGTAGCCACAGGAGGAGCTGTAGAGGAGCCGGCGAAAGCCTTGACTGGGATTTGCGGTGTTCGGTAGTCGACCTTTGTGGTGAGGTATTCCTCAGCGACCTTTCGCCAGTTCTTCCACTCCATGACAATCTCCTCGCAGTCGAGCAACATGAGACCAAAGATGACACCGGTCGGGAGACCGCCGCGCTCCTGGCCGTCGTGGACCTGCAGCGACTCGCGAATGTCCATAGGGAGCGTCGCATCGAGCTCGTGCTCCAGCTCGTTGACGTCGTTCGATGTGCAGCCCTCGCACAAGTTGTCGAAGAGCTCTTGGTAGTGGTCCTCGACCCAGCGGTCGATACGCCTCCACGAGTGGCTAACAGGTGGTGGCGGGGGCAGGCCCTCGTTGAAGTCCTGCATCTGGATCTGGCCATTGGCGCCCTTGTCGAACGTGTCCGAGTCCATGGTGGCCTGGCGGCTCAGGGAGCCACGCATTCCAGGCGAGTAGGGGGAGCTGGGAGACATGGGGCCTTGGGGGGAGCCGATGAAGCCATTGCTGGTCGCGAGCTCGTCGTGCTGGTAGGGCGAGTGCAGGTCAGCGCGGGACTCGGCGCCGCTCGCCGTGATGGAGGTGAGGGCAGCGTGGCGGCTCTGGGGAATGGGGATGTGACGGCCGGTGCGGTACGGCGAGTCGTGCGAGGCGTGGCGGTCGTACGAGGTCATGGTGTGCCAGAAGTCCTTCAAGGACGAAGTTATTCTGGGCAAATGTTAGCCATGTCTGCCAATGTGGTGGTGGTTGTGTGCGCGGGGGGCGGCGCAAGGGAGGCGTGTGAGGCATGTGAGGCCGGGGTGTCGTACTGTTGTGCCATGGTGTCGACAAGTCTTGGGGGGAGCGGAACAGCGAAAAGAGCGTATGGGTGCGCTCTGCGCTGTCAACCTGTGGGCGGTGTTCCGGGACTCAGCGAGTGTCGAGTGCTTGTCGCTGGGAGCAGCGGTCTGGGTCGAGTCTTGTGGTTTGGTAAGCGTTGGCAGGAGCTTGGATTGGGAATCGAGAAAACGGATTCCAGGTGACGTTAAGGGGTGCCGACGCGCCAAGACTAAAGCACGACCGGGATGGCCCTAGACAGATTGACGAGCGTTGAATGCGCAATGCTGGCCCACTGCTTCAGGACAAGGACGAGGAGCAGGTGACAGCCTCAGGGTGAATGCGCTCGAGAGCTTGTCGTGGCCGGCGCCCGCAACTATTATGGTACCAGTCGTGTTGTTGTTATGGTTCGTCGGCTGCATAACAAAGACCTGCAACCACTCACGCCGGCCTCTGGGCAGCCGCGACCTATCTACTTCCTCCTCAATCTCTCCACTCGAACCCCCCTCTCCCTCGACCACGGAGCCAACTTGAACTGACCCCCTGGCCATTGGCGTTTATTAATAGCCTCTTAGCACCCCTATGTATCGCCATTGCCACCCACATCACACTGACTTTCCTTCTACTTAACCAACAGTATCCCCATTTGGTCGCGCAATACCTGTTCGCTTTTGCCGTGGCCAATTCACTCCCTAGCCGACCCCCATGCGGCCCATTTTCGCCGCCTCACATCGGCGCCGTTCGTCCAACCGTGGGCCTGTTTCAGGCTTCGGCGGCGTCGTGCGCGCCAACGAGGGGCTTTACCGGGTGGCTTCGCGTAGCTTAGCTTCTACCGCTCCCTACCCCGTTGGAACTTAGGAGCTGCTTCTGCATCTATGGCGCCCTCAAGGCGGTGTAAAACGAAACGTGCCACTTTTATGCTCTTACCTCGTCTTAGCAAAAACAATCCGACACATGTGCGGCATATTTCTTCAAACACGACATATCTATTCAATACTTCTGCCACGTACACAAGCAATTCCTTGACAACACCATCATTAGCCTGACGCGCGCGCACGCGCGTTTCTGTTTCGTGATTACATCGTCCATCTCCAAATCTTCAGCTATGGAATCCTTCGATAGAGATAATGCGCATCCCCCGCTAGTCCTGCACCAGATCTTCAATTTCCGCCATAATCTCCTAAAGGGTTATGCCTAATCTTGGTCCATGATGCGGTCAGCACAGCTGCCTGTCTTCATGACGTAGACCGATAGTCGGCAAGCACGTATCGCCCGCGTAACGTTGACGACCATGCATGGTGTGCAGCAAACCAGAGTTAATTGCTATGACCTTGGGTATGTTTCATATTAACATGGCGGGCAGTTCCGATCAACTATCTGATCCGTAGCACCAATTGCGACTCGCCCTAAGCTTCCGTCATCTTCTACAGAGCTTGTCCTTGAACTTTGTACCTCGCCAAGTGCGTGTCCCTCCACTAGTAAAGCTTCGTGTTGCGCCCTCTCGGATCACGATATTGCCGCGCATCCGGGAACAGGCGTTTGTGGGTTGTGTGATGTGGTGAGAGCCGGCGGGGTGCGGGGTGTTGCAAGGCTGTTTGCTGATATTTTTAGCCGCCGCGCAACTCTCTCGCCACATCGCATGGTAACCGATGTGGCTATTGTGGAGTAACACTCATGTCCTCATTACGACCCCATCGCTCGACGTTCAGTTTGACTTCGGAGATTTGCTGCGCTAGCCTGGCCTGGTTTACCCCAGAGTCGCACGTCGTATTGCCTGGCGCGTGGGTCAGATACGAGGTGATGTGCGTTGAGTAAGCGCCCTTCGTCCCGACCCGGTACTGTAGCGTTGAGGCGCGGCCGTGGTTTGTTTCTTCTAGTCTTTCGCTCGAGTATTGTTATTGAAACTTCAGCTGGATGTTGTGTATCGTTTGGTTGCTTGGTGACTATCGTTCTTATGGTCTGTTGTTGGACCTTGAGCATTTTGGTGGTTTAGTCTCGCCATGCAAACATGATCGGAAAACGCCGTGCTGACAGGTTGGGCGCATTTTCTTGGTTATTCCTCTTCTTGTTCTACACGTCTCCAGCATCGTAGACTGAATCTTGCAAACCGATGCTGTGTTGGAACTGCTCTAGTCTTGTGCTGAAAACCTGTAACATTAGGCCAAAGTCTTGCCCAAGAACTGGTTTAGCTCCTCCTGCAACGGCAGTACGATATTCTCAACTGCAGCTTGGAGGCAGTTGGTGTCCTGTAAATTAACCGTGGGATCGACAGACTCTTTCATACAATAACTGACTGCACTTTGATAAGCAGCAGACAGTTCCCCAGCTTCGTTTTGTATCCAGTTATGTACCAAGGTAAGGAGGTTATATTTCTGATCTGCTGAACCGTCACCAGTTTCGTTTTCAAACTCCGACTGGTGGTATTTTTCGGCAGTCGTTCCGAAGTAAAGCTCGAGCAATGCTACGGCTAAAGCGAGCAAGAAATTGTTCTTCAAAAACATTTGGTTGTGACCTTTCGATCCGTTTTCAGAACGGTCAGCTGCATTCGGAGCGAGGTATGCGCGATCGAGATCGATCGGACACGTGGTATCTGATGTTCGGTGGAAAAGAATGTCTCGCGCAGCCCACTCGTTGGCAAGCCAGGGCGTCGAGTTAAGGTAGAGTATACTGGACGCTAATGTCAACGCTAGGCTATATCTCTCTTTCCTGCTCAACTTAGAGCGTTTTCCGTTGATGACCGGTGGCCTCTCTAGCAGTGTCTCCAGAGATATCAGTTCTGTACTAGGAATCTGTGCTTCTGCCGTGTCGACTGAGTAAGCCCCTCGTAGTTTGCTTTTACTGTCTAACGAGAAGCCGATGGTCGGGGACTTCTTATAGAGTTGTTGAATAGATGCGCAAAGGTCTTTGACCTCCTCATATGAAGGTGGTGAAGTGGTCGCTGGATCTTGAACTGCGTAAGGAGGAAGCGATCCGAAGCTGACATTCCTTTGCATCCTATTCGGTTTGGGGGAGGCCATCGGTGAAAGACAGGCATCGTCCTCCTCGTCGACGCAGATCCTAGCGGCTTGAAAAGTCCACGAAACGCCACTGCTGTCAGGCGAAATGGTCGAAAAAGAGATATTGAAACTTGTCTTGTTATTGCGGAGCGCCTCCCGAAATCTCGGCGCAAATATGTCTCCGCGAGGGTCGAGTTGGAGACTTGCTGTATGGGAAGACTTGCATGAGCATGACCAGCACACACAAAGTGCGTCGTGTAGAATCTTGGCATAGCGCTGCAGCTTCTGCAAGCGTGTAGCATACGAAGGCTTGCTCGGTCTATGGTAGGTCTCGATCTTTTCACTCTTTTCCGTGAACCTCTCGAGCTGCCTGTTGCACTCATCAAGCTTCTCTAGAAGTGCGCTTAACTTCTTCTTGCTCATACCAAAACGAACACGCTTGCGGAATTCGAATTTGTCGTTGGACTTCTTAGGGTTCGCGGCAAGCAACGTGTCGAGATTGTTACGAGTAAGCTACAAACGGCGTCAGTCAATGATGCACTGAATATACCCCATGTATTTACCTCGGCTGCGCCGTCCAAATCTAGTCTACTCGCGATGCTCTTCGTGATTTGTTCGATCTCCGCCATGATACTTTGATACGAGTTGTAAGCGTTTTGAAGCTTGTCTTGGAGCGCCGTTTCCTTGCTCTTCCACAGTCCCCGAGATGCCATGGGATCAGTAGTCATTTTTGTCCATTCGGCTTCAGAGGTGATGGAGCCGAAAAGTATCCGAATTGTCAGCTCGTAGTGATCGTACTGGGCCCTGAGTTTCCTGAGAAGGGCGGGATACTCAATGTCTCGATCCCACATGCTCCTCAAAGTACTAAGTCCTTCTCTGTAGCTATCGATTCCTAAGAAAATAAATTAGTAAGCCGTTTACTGATTGTTGGTCGAGATAAAAACATTACATACCTTGAATAATCAGCGGCAAAGCGCCAAGTACAAGGCCAGCTACCTCGATTCCGCTCATTGTAGCTTTCAACTTAGGACTCGGGATAAATGTCGATGTTGCGCGTCATTGGCGAATGGTGGAAGAAACGAACGCCGAGCGGGGTTCGAGTCTGAATCTCTTGACTGGACCTCACGGTAGACACACGAAGAGACGCAAATGAGCCACAACTATTAGCTATGAGAGAACCATCGTTTTGCGAGGGAGAGTGAATAGGACGCGCGAATCTGTTGATTTGCGAAGGACACGAGGTTGCGAGAAGGTGCCACTGTCTGCGAGGCGGCTGAACTGCGCCCCCCACCAATCTGGAAAGAACCTAGCATCGCCTCACCCCATGCAGTCATTAGGCTGCACAATGGCACAGGCGCTTACTAGCCAAATGCCATCTCGTTGCGGACCAGAATGAACAAAGAACATCTACCAGCTTATACGACTCGACTGTCTGGGTTCACGATACCTTTCTACTCCGATGTCTGAGACCCCTCAGAGCCGCAAGTCCCCGCTCGCTTCCGTCCTCGGCATGCTAAGCTCTCATAATGTCGACCCTTAGGCTCGCAACAGCTGCTAACATACGCGCTTTCCAAATTTTGACCGATGCTCTTCGTGCAAGCGACAGTAAGTCTACGGAAGAAGTAGACAGCGATGCGCTCGAGGATGAGATCGGAAGGTTCAGAGTATGGGCTGGTAATCTGGGTGCGCTGCAGAAAGGTCACAGCTCGCTAGACTACAGGCTACGCGACTCCCCGAATCTGCTTAGCAGTGCACTCAAGCTTCTGAACGAGCTCGAGCACAACCTCAATGAGACCTTTGCAGTCATATCCGGAGCTCGTCTACCTTTCGAGGCGCAAACATCGACGGAAGAAGTTGAGGAAGATGAAAACGACGATGGGTTCTTCAGCGAAGAAGACGACAGTGATAGCGATGGACCCAGGAGCGAGTTGAAGATGAGGTTTGAGGAAGTGGTTGACATCATCGACAATCTCTACAAGCTTAGCGTACGCATCAGAACGCCTAGCATACACTCGAGATCACTTAAAGCTTCCTCTTATATGCCAAAAGATCCAGAGACGGGAGTGGATATCCTTGATGCTTATGCTGAGCTGGACAGAAAGCATGTTCAGGAGCTACTCCTGCAATTACGAAAACAGCATCCTTCGGGGGCTCAAGAAGAACAAGCCTCTCTGATTGACAGGCTAAGCTCCTCTATCACGCTACGTAGGCGGCATTTCAAGTACTGGAAGCGACATCGTGACAAACTCGGCGCTTCCGCAATTCCTGAAGAGGCACCAGAGCCTGTCGTACCTGCTTCACGTGAGGCACCTAACACAACCCGTAATGACAACCTCGAAGCCTTTCCAACAACCCCGATGATCACCACCTCAAGACCGACGCCAAGCCAGAAGACTGGCAAGACTCTCTTGTCAGGCACGGAAGCGACACACCATCATCAGTCTCTAGATGACATAGTGGATACCAAGTCGGTGACAAGCTACGCTGTGACAGTGAGGGATCTGCACGGGAAAGGCATTGAATTACCGCCTCCGCCCAAAGCTGCCAACGGCGACAAAGACTTCGAGTGTCCGTATTGTTGGATCGTTTGCCCTGCAAGATATGGCAAAGGACGAGCTTGGAAGACGCATCTGCTACAAGATCTGCAGCCATATATCTGTACATACCAGGACTGCGAGAGCTCTCAACAGCTCTTCCGTAGTCGCCGGGAGTGGGCCGAACACGAAGCGACTCATCGTAAACTATGGCGATGTCCAGAACACGCAGCGGCCTTGTATAGCTCTGTTTCTGGTCTTGAGAACCATCTTCGACAAGACCATAATGGCAGCTTCCCTGAAGATCAGATAGCAGTCATTGCCAAGATCGGGGAGACGACAGCAATGGATACACGCACTAAGTGTCCGATCTGCTATGTACCTGCAGATACTGCCAGTCTAGGTGATTTACAAAGCCACATCGCAAACCATCTGGAACGCTTCGCTACCTTCGCACTGCCTCACGGGAGGGAAGACGACGCGGAAGGCGCAAGCAGCATCGCAAGCCGTGGGAGTTCCAACTCTCAATCCCTACCCGACTCGTTCCGCACAGACACGAGCGCTGACGAAATCGAGCTGGATGATACTCCAAAATTATATGATTCGTCTGAGATCCTCCATGTAAAGGAGCCTGGACAGAATTTACTGTCCGCAGAGAGATTGCAGCAACTTCCCGACGAGAGTCATAATCGGTTAGCCATGATCGCAAGCCAATCGAATGATCTGGAGGATTCGGAAGATGAGCAACCTGATAATCAGCAGATTGACGAAGACGTATCGCTTTCACACAAGAAACACCTAGACCATGTGGAAGCATTCAGACAACATGTCCTGACTCTTCCAGGGGCCTTGTCCGTTCGATTCTATCGACGCTATGGTTCCTGGCGTGGCTCGATAACTTTCGCTGATGATTGGGTTGGTGAGGAGGCGCTGAAGGTCTTCGATACTCAGCGCTTCCCCAACATGGATTTCAAACCCAAAAAGGACACGAGCAAGTGGAATTTCACCAGGATCAACCCACCAAATAGTAAGTGGATAAATGAATGGCGACTAGGCCGCTTGTAACTGTTTGAGCATACTGACGATATTACTGCTACAGAAAAAGAGCATACGTTCAATCGCCAGTCAACGGCGGATACACAGACTACCGAAGATGCTGAGACATTTTCAACTGGATCTGAGTTGTACGACCAAGAAGCCGAAGATTCAGAAAAACAAGCAATCATCTCAACAGCCGACATCCCCACATTGCGTTCCTTATACCAATCTCGGCGGCTGTTGCAGCGCGATCAGAGCTTTGCGCCAAACGATGCCTATAACCAGATGATCTCGTTCTGTCATTACGATCTGACAAGGCTGAGAGTAGATGCCATCGTCAATAATGCTCCATCTAACTTCAAGGCCCAACCTGATCCAAAATCGTTGCATTATGTTATATACCAAAGGGGTGGATCAGGTCTCAGGAATGAGGCAAGATCAAAACCTAGAGTCAAGGCGGGTCAGGTCGAGCTCACTCATGGACACGATCTTCCGGCTTCGTGGGTGATACACGCTGCAGCGCCAACATATACCGGTTCCAAAGGTGTCGGTCAATTCAACATTTTGAGCGCGTGCTATCGTGAGGCTCTGAAAACAGCTGCTACTTACGAACTCAAGACGATCGCTTTTCCTTGCCTAGGCACTGGAGGTTGCATGTTTCCGCCACGTGTTGCTGCACGCATAGCGCTGCAAGAGATCAGAGAATATCTGGACGCACATCCTGAGCATCGCCCCGAGCGAATTATCTTTTGCGTAAAAGCAGCGATCGACGAGAAGGCGTACACAGACTTCTTACCGGTCTTCTTTCCACCTACGCATGGAGATCTCGACAGAGCAAGAACATCGGACTGGTCAGCGAATCGCGCCGCGTTATCGGCTCAGATACTAGAGACACGTTCACAGCTTCAAAAGGCCTTAACTGACATGTCCGATACCTACGTTTTTAGATCGCAGACTGCTGAGACTAGCGCATGTGCCCACGACATGGGGAGGATCGATTTCGCGCTGTTGTCCATGCGCAACTATCTTTTGGGATCAAAGGAGCTTAAGCGGAGTCTTGGAGATCTCAATCTACTGTGCTCTGTCATTTCAACCGCATGTAGTACCATATCGGAGATCGCAGAACGAGCGAAAGAAGTAGGCTTCACCAAAGAGGAGCAAAATTTCTGGGACGAAGCCAACACTGGTATGCAAGCCAGCCATGGATTTGATCTTTCAACTCTCTTCGACTATTGCTGGATGTTTGCGAACAGCTTAGATGGCGTCATAGGAGGCGATAGGAAGGAACCGGATTCGATGGCAAGAGCACGGCAAGTCTTGGAGAACTACGCTGTCAAACAGAAAAGTCAAGATGCGAAAGGTATCCGCGATCATTTGGACGAAGTCATACATGTGCGCAAATCCGAAGCACCTATCTCGAACAATCGAGAAATCATCCAAGTCCATCAGATACCTTCCGTTGCGCGGCTCTATCTACTTGGCGACCTTGAGGCCAAGCCAACGATGGCGCAACCGTCCACTTCATTCAACCATACTGTCTGCTTGCTAAGAGAAGATATCACCAGACTCGCAGTCGATGTTTTGGTCAACTCTACTGACGTTTCCTTTTCCGGCATGGGTACCTTGGATCGCACGGTTTTCAAGAAAGGTGGGCCGGGGCTACGTTGGGAAGTCGAAGCTGAGCAGATCGGACCATGTAAAGAAGGTGACGTCAAAGTAACTCCTCCTTTCCTCCTACCAGCCAAGCACGTTGTTCATGTCGTCCCGCCTGGTCAATTCAGAAAGGATACCAAGACGATCTTGAGAGGCATCTACCGGGAGATTCTACACACTGCCGTAGAACTGAGGGCGAGATCCGTCGCGATACCCAGCATTGGAACTGGTATGCTGAATTATCCGCGACGTGACTGCGCATCATTAGCCATGGAGGAAGTGAAACGATTCCTTGAATCCGCAGAACCGGCTAATGGTCTCGACAAGATCATCTTCGTGGTCTTTTCCTCCAATGACGAGTTCGTTTACAAGAGCCTTCTGCCGGTCTACTTTCCGCCGCCGAAACGCAGGGTTTCCGATGCATCACAACGCGAGGAGCAGACCTCCGCTCAACACCAGGCAGCGATGACCATAGATGACCACATGCGAAAAGAAGCTGAGCGAGAAGAGAGAAAAGATGAGATACGAGAAAGATTTGCACAAGATACCCCACTTCCAGCGTCTTTTCGACAAACTGATGAGACCCGAGAAGACTCGTCTTCATCAAAGCCATCTGCTACAATTCTTCCTGCCTCATCTGACTTGCGGAAGCTGTCCGAGGTCAATGAGGAAGTTAGACAAATGCGTTACCGACAAATCATTCAACAGACGCAGATGTGGACCCACGAGTCCCGCCCCATGGATAAAAGCGAAGAACATGCATTTTTCCAATTCGAATCGCATGTTGACGACTGTGATACGTGTCATAATGGATTATATGAGAGGCGCCATGAACTCTGCCAACAGGGCTACCGTCTTGGGGAAGACATATGGCAGCGTGTGGAAATGTCTCCACATGCAAACGTCCATGCCAGACGAGATAGATACAAATTGGAGGTACCAGCGGATCGTTTGCCTAGCTCCATGCTTTTGCTCTCGACTATCGCGCAAAACGCTACGCAAAGCACACAGACGGAAAGTGGCCTTGGACATCCGTTCTTCCAGACAGTCACACCTCGCGAGGCAAAACCAAAGGACCCGGCTCATGAAGATGAGAATGCGTCGCACCATTCCGTAGTTGAAGATGAGAAGTCCACTGTGTCGACTACAGAGCCACCTGCGGTGATCCATGCCTCAGTCCTTGCTCCGTTGACGTTGGGGGACTGGGTGCACTCTGTTCTCCATATCCATCAGAGCAAGATCGAGCTATATCGTACAGATATTTATTCTGAAGACATTCCGTATGCAACGGTAGATCTTGCTGGTGCCAGTTCATCTTTGACTCGAGGCGCTACATTGGACTACTCTAACCAGCAGGCGCAGGCCAGAGCCGCAGACTATCAACAAGCGCTGATATACCACCACTGGATGCTGCAGAATGGTTACCCGAACCACCGACCGCCTTCTCTCCATATCTTCCAAGACCCACATGTTTCCGCTGTGCGTCTACCTCTACATGCAACGTCTTTGTTTGTGGTAAGATGGGGAGAGACGAAGGGAAAAGGAACACAGGGAGTGAAGTTGACTCGAATGATGGAACGATGGCATTTTCTCGACGCATTCGCTCCCGAAGCTCCAGCGCTGTTCGACGCTCTTCAACGGCTTGTCAACCGTAACAACAAGACCCAGAGAGATCTGGCAACGCTTTGGACGATCGGAAATGAAACCGACAAAGACTACCTCGATAAGCGGGAGAAGAGCCTGCAGTCTTCCGCACATGTCTCGAAAGATGTCGCGTCCAGCTCAGGCGGTGAACCAGATGATATGAAACCGAATTCAGGAGGTGACGCGCAGTCCGAAAAGATTCTTGCATATCTTTCCCATGATCTCAAGACACGAAGTGGATCCTACATAGGGCAAACCACCAACAGGATTGCTGACGCAGTTGATATTGACGCCGGTCTGGTCAACACGGTGTTGCACACCCTTGCTGCACATGGACGCGTGCACAATACTATCAATGATGATACCTGGGTCATCTCGGAACCGACTAAAGAGCTTCCTCCAATTGAACAAGAGCCACAACCACCTGAACCAAGCGATGATTACCTGTTCACCCCAGCTGGTCAGTTTACTCTAGCTGGTTGGATAGTATCATGCTTGATTCGTAACTGCCAAGGACTATCTCTTGAGGATCTTGCTTTCCAACTTCAAGCTCCTTCTTCAAGAATTCTGACGATGATACATCGATTAGCACAGGACGGATACATCGCGAGTGGACCTGATGAACACACGTGGATTCTGACCGACTTGGGCGAGCAGAAAGCACTCGAGATACGAGTGAGAGAAGAAAGAGACGCCAAGCGAGTCACTGAGTTGCCCCCGAACGAGAATCCACCAAGCGACCTATCCGAACGTGCTCTATCCTACTTGAAAAGCCTGCCTGGAATAAGCGAAAACATATCAGATCTCGCGGCTACTTTCGATATCCCGGTTGCAGAGCTTCGACCGGTACTCGACAAGCTGGAGTCTGAGGGCTTAGTAGAGAATAAGGATGATAGGTCGAGTTGGACGGCATCGCTCCCAACAGATAACCAAGCTAGTGACACACATCTTCCGGTGTACAACCCGTTTGCATCTACCAGGGATCATCGACCTATCTCACCGCAACTACGACATACACGGTCGCTGGATTTCAACTCACCTACACCTCCCGGAATTCGCACGCCTTCTTTGCGTAGTACGTCGCCAGTAGTAGAGTCTATCATTGAGACTAGCCACGATGACGACGAATCAAGCGGACCGAGGTCCAGGGTAAGCCGGGGCGAGCAACTGTTCCATCGCTTTAATCTCCCGAATCCAACGTCCTATCGCAAACAGTCCGTTTCTAATGTCAACCTCATGTCACACGAATCAGAGCATCCGGCCGACAATAGGCCTACCTCAGGAACTGACCGCAAGCAAAAGCTCGCAACAACCGGAGACCTAGAGCGTACCCAGGAACTCGTCGACTTTGATGAGCCGGCAATCGATACTGATGAACAGGCAAACAAAATGAAGTATGGTCGTCATGGAGACATCAATCCAGGAAACATACTTTGGTACAATGACAGCGGTGCTGATCACGAGGTTCTGAAAGGCGACCTAAAGATAGCCGACTTCGGGCAAGCAGAGCTCAACAACCTACTGAGCCGAACGCAACCTCGTGATGTTGCCAACACTTCGGAGGTAGAGACAGAAAAGATGCACCTAGAAGAGAAGGAAGCCGAGACCCCCGATACAAGTAAAGTGGGCAGCTCAAAAGATGAAAGCGGTCCAAATGAAAGAAATGTGACTGAGCACATCGGTGAAATGGCTAGGGAATTTGTGGAACGTGTTGCTATCGAGACAAAAGGGTCTATAGAAGGATCCAGCTGGAGAGATGGAAAGGGTGCGAAACAAAGGAAACAGACCAGATCCACTAGAGAAATAGCAGAAGATATCGACGAAGACCTACAAGCAGGTACAGCAAGTAACTTGAGACGAGCCAGGATGGCAAAGGAAAAGAAACATAAAAAATCGAGTAGAGCATCAGCAAAAGATATCGACGATGAATTGGAGGACTACGATGGGCAGGAGGAAGACTACGTGGATAACGAGGAAGAGACGGTGAAGAGTTAGTGCTGGGTCGATGAGAACCGGAGATCTCAACTGTTCATTGGATGCATGTTGGTTCTGGGCGTCTGTGTTGATAAGGCTCTGGTTCTCTTCTTTCGGGATGAAGTATGTGAAACCGGGCCGCTTCTGGAGAATGGCAATGCACTATTTTCAATCAATCTTTTTTGGACCCCTGGTATATCGGAATTGCCTATCAATAGGTGTCCTTGTCAACCTTACTATCACACACACACACACACACACACACACACACACACACACACACACACACACACACACACACACACACGTAGCATGTTAAATGTAAACGCTCAAGGAATAACTGAACACGCAAGGGAACAAATTTGGCGTGAGCATGTACACACTCAGGCGTACCACCTCTTTAGTAAGCTGCATCTATATATGTAATTGCTAAAGCATCTTGTGCGCCTCAGATATAATTTGCACAAAGACGTACGTGCATAACATGGAAATTTGAATGGCCTTCGTATTGCAAAACGACATGTAGAAAACACGCCCAGGTCTACCCAACCGCCAAACTCCAATCATAATCGTAAACCCATGCTACCAAATGCCCAAATGGTATACCAAAAAACGCCAATCCCAGATTACCCCATTTTGTCGTCTAACAACCGCCGCCGCCGCCGCCGCCGCCTCCATCTCCTCCACCACCTCCTCCGCATCCACCATCTCCGCCGGAGAAACCACCTCCACCATCTCCTCCACTGAAGAAACCACCACCGCCTCCGTATCCTGCTGCGTATGCACCGTGACCTCCACCATAAGTACCACCGCCGCCGTGACGGCGCTTGTTACGTTTTGTTTGGCGCATCGGAGGAGGGTATTCAGAAGGTGATTTGGACATGCCGCAGCCCATTTTTGCGATGGGTCGTTGATGTGTGTAGATTTGTTGGATTATGCGAAACTGTCGCTGATTACGCGTATCCGACAGTTGGATACGTGTGGTGTAATTGTATGAGATACGTAGGTACTCGAGATTTGTATTCGATAATGATGCGTATGCGACGTAGATGAAAGTATCGTAGACACTTTACAATATGAGAAAGTGTTGGTATGACCTTGTAAGAACCGGTTTCGTGACGAGGATGATGATGATGATATCTCCCTGAACCACAGGACACCACGAACCCTATATACCTACCACGACTCCCATCTTACCCAACCATAATCATGCGCACACCATCTGCAAGCAGCCAAAGTCTGCCTTACAGAATGCGCAGAACTAGGGCACAAGTCATCAGGCCCCCCAAACACAGCATCCACAATCGTCATATCTCCTACTCCCATCTGGGTCTGACGAAGCGAGGTATCCAGTCGCAATCCACCTTTTTCTCTCTCTAACATCAGCCTAAGCCCACAACGTGACCGGCGGCCTGAATTCACAGCCCGTCGAAGCGTTGTACCACTACCCGATTGATGCGAGCGTGTCTTGCCCACCTTATCTGTCGCAGCTGCTTTGATTCGCCAACTCGCATAAGGGCTCATAAGGCTTACCAGATCGCCAGTCCCTATTTACCCGAAGAGGAAGTAATCGAGCGCGCAGGGCTGAGTGGGAAGCCGAGTGCGGCTGTGCAGACAACATCACGTGGATTGCGATCTTCATCTCTCGGCCCGAAAATTGTGGTTCGCGTGGCTGGAACAGGTTAACGCCTTTTACCGGTGGAAGGCGCGAAGAACATTATTATGGGTTCGATGGCTCGAGTAGCTGGGACATGTGGCTGTGGTTATTTCCGAATGTTTGGGTGTCGATTTGTCGGTCGCAACAGTATGTGGATAGTGTACAAAGACCTGCGTAGCGATGTTGTAATGCGATACGAATGCACCTGTACGAGGCATACGACAAGTCTTTCTCCAAGGCTAAGGCAAGGCACACTTGTTCCAATCAGCTAAGGTATCTCCAGTCCATATACGATAAGCTGTTGAACTTTAGGAATTATATCATTGGAGTATATAGCGCCGTATCGATAAACATGATCAAAGAAAACCCCAGATGGTTAGGGAAGAAAAGATGCTTGCTACAAGCATAAAAGATGGGTCTCCAAACTCCCCGCTGCTGACCCCCCTAAGAAGAAGTGACCGGATGTCAAGAAAAGCGCTTTGGTGTCTGAACCGTGCCAATCTATCGTCGTCAAGTTGTTTTTGTAAAAAGGCGTAACCACTCGCCTAGCCCATTCCACGCATTGCTATCGAGCCCAATCCCAAAAAATGCGTAGCCAAAAGCGATGAAGATGTAAGGGAAGCTCCAAACCCAACGAATGCTCGTCGCGCGAACGGCACAAAGGTCCGCATACACAGACAACAGAGCATCTTGTCTCGCATCTTACTTTCCGCCCTGCTTCTTTGCCTTGAGAGCAAGGTGCGAGTACACCCAGCCACCACCAAGCGCGAGAAGTACACCAAACCACTCTCTGCCACTCAATATCTTGCCTTCACTGTACCATCCTATACTCAAGATCATGATAGTCTTGAGGTGGCTGACAATGTTGAATGTGAGTGCACTCGTGCGACCAATGATCAAGAACTGGCTCAAGTTGTACATAGAAGCCATGATACCAGAGGCGCAAACGCTCCAGAGGATATCGGTGGGTACAGTTGAAAGATTCGGGATTGTGTCGAAGAACGGGACGAAGGGAATGAGGAGGCAGACGGAGATTGGCGCCTGGTTGAGCAGAAGTTGAGGTGGGGAAACAGCAAAGTCTTCAATCTTCTTGCCAATCCAGATCTGGTACAGAGCAGTGCTGCAGAATGCTAGTGTGGCCACGATGACACCGAAGAGCTGGGTCTTGGCAGCCTCGTTGATGGTGAAAGAAACACCAATGCATGTGGCCAAGATTGCAGCCAGCATGTATCGTGTGACCTGCTTTCGGAACAGAACAAAGTTGATGAGAACGACGGTCGGTGTAGTCATGACCTTGGAGAGCTGGTAGAATCCGATCGAGTTGAAGGTCAAGCTAAGGTTGCCAAGCACAACGTATCCGGCGAAGAAGCCGCAGACGGGCAGCATGTTCCAGACGTTCAGTCGCACGGCCTTGAAGGCGTGGAAAGGTCGGAGGGTCGAGATGAAGAGGACGAGGCCGGTGGCTGTGAAATGCCACATGACGACCATGAGTTGACAGCCTTTTAGTTGCTTGTCGCTGAAGACCCTATCCGGCTGTCAGTAAAGTCGCACAATGGCTGAACAGGTGTACTGCCATACCGCTTGCTCAAAAAAATCAAGCCCAGGGTTGAGAGGGTATTGAGCGCAATCCAGAAACATGTTATCAGCTTCTCCTTGAGCGATACTGGCGTGGGCTCGGTCAAGGGTTTCTCGAAAGTGGGCAGCTCTTCGAGCTCGTGAGACTCTCGGGGGTCGACATTGTCGACGAGACCCTCGATTGAGGGGCGCTTCTCAACTGCATGTCTGTCAGTCCCTGACGTGTTCCATTTCTGACAAGTGGTATGCCGTCGACACGCGAAGTGTCAAGGGTCTAGGCGGTGTCCGGGGGCTCGACGTACCCATGGTATGCGATGCTGAATGACGAATGTAGCGAGCGACAGTAGACGGGCAGGCTCGTGTCGACTATGCCTTCATGCCAGTGGGAAGGTGCGAGCTGGCAATGCGAGTGGAGGCGTAAGACGAGGAAGGCGCGGGCTGATGGTGTTGTTGCACGGTAGTAGCGGGTGAGCCGGGGGAGGTGCGGCGGTGCAAGCAGATGGTCCGGTGTGGCTTCAGAAGCGACCGAGGTAGTTGCAGCGACGAGAAACAACAACAGAGAAGCCGGAAGATGAAGATGCGGTTGCGAAAGTGCGACCGAAAATGTCGAGAAGGGCGAACGAGGCGGGGAGGGCCAAGGGGGAACACGACAGAAGACCCGAGTGAGATGCTATCCGAAAGGGATCCTCAGACGCCAAGGCCAATGAATGTTGAAGGGGGCGAAGACGATGCAGGGTTCGTTGTTCAGGCACGTGCACGACAAGCCACCAGCCCCAGTCTCCAGGCCAATCAATCCTCTCCTAGCGCCACGCTGTCAGCCAAATCTACGAGGTTAATTTTAGGCCTTGATGCGGTAGCGCTACTGCTTTCGGTTCCGTGCCGTCAAGAATCCAGATGTTGACAAGCAAGAGTGCGCAGCTCTGAACATGTCCATGATGCTGTAATGTCGATGCATCCTGCTCACGGCCTTGGCAAACTCTCCTACCCATATTTCCAAGACATGATGGTCGTCACATCGTTTGGGCATTGCTTCTGTAATGCCGACACATCCGGCTCTGCTCCGCCCATCATTCGGACAAAATATCTCCCCCGTCGCACCACTGTCGTTCCCCCAATACGAGTTACGGCGGATACAGCATACGCAACTCCTCCGCATCCACACATTGGTGCTACCTGCGGCTGCACGTAATCTTGTTGGTTGCGCGTCCTGGGCGCATACACGTAGTATCTAAAGCTTTTCAAGTTGATGACATGGCCGACTTTTGAGAGGGTATGCTTGCTTGCGAGCGGAAATTTAGCTGCTGACACCCTAGGGCCAATTGCACCGAGCGTCAAGATCTTCTCTCATCTTGTATTGCTGTTCTCGGTCAAACGAGGTTCCATCGTTGCACAACAAACCAATCAACCGCGTGTGACATAACAGTAACGTGTTCTCTTGAATTTTTCAACTCCCCAATCTATGCAGAGAGGCCTCGTAAATACTAGCCTTCAAGTGATCGACCCTAGCGCACAGAGAAAGACGGATAGTGTACACATACATGAATCCCACACCCTACAAGAAAACCAACATAATCGAGTAGCCCATCGGTAATACTACTCCTGCTACTGCCTTCGCATCGAATTATAGACATGTAAAGAAATATGTCGTCGTGGTGTTACAAAAATTATACCTCTCCGTCAGCGACAGCAAGGCGCTGCTTAGCTGTCTTCGCCTTTTTACTCAACCCACCCTTCTTACGCTTGCCGCCCGCAGGCGCTTCAGTGGGTGCGATGGGTGTAGCGGCACCACTTGCCTTCGCGCTCTCGTCAAAGTGTCCTTCGCCTGGTTCTAGTCAGTACATGTTCTCAATCAAGTGCGACGTAATTACTCACCCTCGTGGTACATGTCATCGAGGTTAGCCTCCGCCCGTTGCTTCTTCTTGCTGCGCTTCTTGCCTGGCGGAGCATTCTTCTCTTGCTCGGCCAGCTCTGCCTCCTTCTTCTCGATCTCGGCAGCCTGGTCATCGTCGACGAGCCACATGGCCATGTCCTTGGTCCTGTTCTCCCTGGAGCGGGTGTTGAAATCAACTCCAGCACCACCGCCTCCAGAGATGACGACGCGCTGCACTTCTTCCTTCTGGAGGGCACGCTTGCGGATACGTTCTTCGATAGTCCCGCGGGTGATCAGTCTGTAAACAGTGACCTGTCGTGTTTGTCCGAGACGATGAGCACGGTCCATAGCTTGGGAATCAATGGTAGGATTCCAATCCGAGTCGTAGAAGATGACTGTGTCGGCTGATGTCAGGTTAATACCGAGACCACCAGCACGGGTTGATAGGAGGAAGACGAAGATAGAACGGTCGCTCTGGAAGTCGGCAACCGTATCACGGCGGTCCTCCAGCTTAGTGGATCCGTCAAGACGGCAGTACTTGTAATTCCTGTACGTCAAGTACTCCTCCATCAGATCCATCATCCTAGTCATCTGGAAGTACAGCAACACGCGATGATCATTTGCCTTCAACTCCTTCAACAATGCATCTAGCTGAGCCAGCTTGCCAGAGTCGGTAACGAAGCGCGACATGGACGGTGCTTCGATATGAGTGAATCGCGTCCGCTCGTTGGTAGGCGGTGGTAGCCTGTTACTGACAGTCAAACTAGAGCTCTCCTTCTTGCTTTCCAGCAGAGCTTGCTCGGTCGCCTCCGAAACACCGAAGAGTGCGGAACGGATAGGAGCATTGAAGAAGAGGCTCTGGGTCTCTGCGATGACACCCTGGCTAGCACAGTACAGCTCGACTGGAGGCGCAGATGCCTTTGGCTTGGCACAAGGCTCAATGACATTCAAGCCTGTCTTTTCGAAAGCTGTCCTGGCAACGTTGAAGAGACCCTGCATATGTCCCTCGGCTGTGATCTCAGCTAGAGGGGCGCGATCCTGGCGATCAACAATGTTCAACATCGAATGCTTCGGCTCCCATTCGCCGTTGTCATTGTCGTAGAACACGTTAAAACGGCCAACCTTGTTTGGCTTCTGCTCGGCAGCGAGAGCTCGCTGGAAGAGACCACTCTTGGCGATTCTTGAAGCCTCAGTGGCGGACAAGTCAGAGAAGCGAAGCCACGAGAAGGCACCAGCTTCCTTGGCAGATAGGGCGATGTTGTCCGGGCTCCATACATTCATCAGATTGTCTAGGTAGCGTCCCTTGAAGCCAGCCTTCTGGTTGTCTGGTCCAGCAAGCTCTAGCCGGCCACCCTCACGGCCCACAAGTCGTGGCAAAGGGTACTCGATCAAGTTGCGTGTAGAGTATCCTATCCTGACATTTTGGCCTTCGCGTAGGAAAGAGGCAGTTTCGGCGAAAGAGGCGAAAGAGAATGGTGACCAGGTATCGGCTCGCTCAAACAGATCGGGGTGGTTGCAGACCTTCCTGAACTGCATGACTAAGTTCATGAGGGTTGCACTATCCTGCTCGTCTCCGACTGCCTTCTCGACTAGATCCATGATGTTGATCTTTGAACGGAGGTTGGCGTAGTAAGCACGCTGTCGGTATGTCAGGTCGCAGTAGACGTCAAGCTCGATCTTGTCTCCAAGCTCCTTCTGCACATGCTTCTTGACACGACGCAACATGAATGGCTTCAAGATCATATGCAGTCGCCGCAGTTGGTCTTCGTTGAGCTTAGTGTTACTCTGTGCGTGACTCTCAATGTCCTTGGAGAACCACTCGCTGAACTCGTCGTGAGAGTCGAACAAGCTAGGCATGATGAAATGAAGAAGAGCCCAAAGTTCCTGCATGTTGTTCTGGATAGGTGTACCCGTCAGCAGTAGCCTGTTACGAGAATGGAAACCGAGTAGACTCTTCCATCGAGAACTCTGCGAAGATTTGATAGCTTGAGCCTCGTCGAGGATCATGTATTGCCAACGCATCTTCTGGAAGTATTGTGCATCCTGGACGACCAACTGGTACGAGGAGACAACAACGTGGAACGGAGAGTCGCGGGTGTATGTAACGTGCTTCCTGTCCCAGAGTTTACGGAGAATCTTCCGGTCCTTCGCGGTACCCCAGTAGGGGATGACGTTTAGATCTGGCACAAATTTCGTGATTTCCTGTTGCCAGTTGTGAAGTGTCGATGCGGGGGCGATGACAAGGAAGGGTCCCCAGATATTGTATCTCTCAGCAAGATATGCCATGACCGATATCGATTGGACCGTCTTTCCAAGACCCATCTCATCAGCAAGAATACCGTTGATACCTTGTTCGTACAAATTTACGAGCCAGTTAAGACCCTTCAATTGGTACTCCTTGAGCGTACAATTGAGAAGACCTGGTTGGGGGATCCAGTCTTCCTTGTTCTGTAGACCAGACGGGTTCTGGAAGTTCATTTCGCCATCTTCTTCGTCGTCGCCAGACTTATTGAAGGCGCGGGCACGGTCTTGGGCTTGTTGAATAGCATGTTGGGCGTTCGCCATGGCAGCTGCGTTGAGGGCGGTCTCATCCTCGTTGTCAAAGTCGAGATCCTCGAAGTTGGTGACCTTGGCGCCTCCTTCCGCAGACATCTCTCCAACATCGATGCTAGGCTTGGCTGCTGCTTGTGGATCAGCTGCAGCAGCGTCGGCATCATCGGTCGAACGCTCAATCTCGTCTGTCCTGGCCTTCTTTCCGATGAAATGAGAGTAAAGTTCAGTCTGTGAGATAAGGAAGTTCAGCTTCCGCTTCTGTCGGTTTGCTTCACGATCAGCTTCAGCCTTCTTCGCATTCTCCAACTCCTGACGCTCGGCATTCTTTCGAGATTCGCGCTCATCACGTTCATTTCTCTTCCAGAAAGCAAGCATCTCACGCATACCTCGCTTGGCCCTAGCTTGCGTGTCCTTCTGGTTTTTGTTTGTACGCATCTGCCATCGGCGAGCCTCCTTCGCGGCCAGTTGGGCAGTCTTTCGGAGGTTCGATTGCTTTGTCGACAACGAGTTCTCCTTGATGCGGACAACCTTGGGAACATCTTTGCGAGCCAAGTCTTTGACGATCTGGTGGTAGAGGTTACGGTATACGGACGAGTCGTAGGAAGTCAAGACGACAGGGCCCAGGTCCTCTGTATAGCTACGGCCTCGTAGAGAGTCAAGGCGTGCTTCCTCGCGCGGCGCGATCACGGGAAGATCGTCTCCACGGTCGATAGCGGCCTGACCGGCTGCGGCAGCATCCTTTTCGGCCTGCTTTTGCTCCTTGCTCTTCTTAAGACGCCCGGTGCCACGGTTGCCCTTGCGCTTTCCACCTGCGAGGTCATCCGAGGCTTGGAAGGAGCTCATAGTACCTCCCTCCATATTCGGCCCATGTGGAGTGACCTCGCGGATGTCCTTGCTAGGGGCATTACCTTGCAGAAGCTGAGTGGTAGTCTTGGCCTTGCGCTCGGCCTTCTGTGCAGCCAGCAGGTGTCGTTCCTTTTCTTCCTCGTTCTCAGCCTGACCTGCCTTTGCCAAAGCTTCTGCCCGCTTAGCTTCCTCATTCTGTATGGTCTTCTCCCGCCTTCGCTTGCGCTGCATGTCCTTCTTGCGCTCCTTCTCTTCAGCAATCTCCTGGCTCTGAACTTGCTGCCATGCATCGCCCTCGTGTTCGACGTTGTATGAATGCTTTGCGTAATCGCGGTGGGCGGCGGACACGTCTTGATAGCGTGTTAAGAAAGCAGTGCGTCGCTTCTTGCGCTTATTCGCCTCCGCAACTCCGACTTCTAGAAGACGCTTCTGGCTCTTCTGCTTGAAGTCTTCAAGATCGCGTGGGGTGGCTGATTCGTCGATGTCGCTCATCTGCTTTGTCTCGATGTGTGCCAGGGCTGCCTCAATCTCGGCTTCGTCTGGCGCAGGCAATTCGCGAGTTGCGGACTGCAGCGGAGGTTGTATGGTACCGACCGGCGGCATTGCATCATATCCTCGCGGAGCATACCCATTTTCCTGATGGGGTAAATCAGCAGGCGCTGGGGAAGGCATTGCTTCTTGCTTGACAAAGTGAGAGGTTGGCAGAGGTTTTGATGTCTGATACGCATCAGCGGCGAGGGGAAGGGGTGGCTGAGCCTTGGGAGGAGGTTCGTTGTCGGCGCCGGAGGACATTATGCTCGAGAGTGACATGGGGTCGGCACGCGTTTGCGTTTGCGGTGGTGCCTGTAGTAGTGGTAAGCTGGGGTGATGGAGCGTCTGGGTCGCGCGTTTACTTACCTCCTCCTTGAAGGACGGCCTCCTCGCGTAGTCCGGTGGCGGCTGTACGGCTCCTCGGTTCATCGACTGATAGACCGAGGGCGACACGGGAGAGTGAGACATGGCCTCCATACTGCCGACGTGCTGGTGTTGCGAATGGGGGCGCTGCAGCGGCGAGTGATGCGCGTATGTGGTCGTGACGGGTGACTGATAGACCTTGTCGTAGGGGGATTGTGCCGACCGAGTCTATGGGAGGGTTGATGTTAGCCGCGTGTCCCTGCGTTGGGGATGGAGCCATGATGGCGATGATGAAGCAATGTATAATAGGGATGACTGGGGGCGTAGTGATGAAAGACGTACCTGTGCAGGATATTGAGTGTTGGTAGTGGTGTCGTAACGCGCCGGGTCCCTGGCTACACCTCGCTCTCCATTGTCAGAGGTCGGGTCGTAGTATCTGGACGTGTCGCGAGAATAGAGGGCCGTGCTGATGGGCGGCAGCTCGGTGGTGTTGGGAGAGTGTTGTGGAGGATGAGGGTGTGGATGGGGATGGTGCAGGTTTTGGTGGAGAGGCAAGGGCGCTGGTGTGTTTGGCGAATGGTGTTGGTATGGTTGGCCTGCCTGTGTCGGCGATCTGTGGTAAGCTGCTGGCGTAGGTTCCCCTTGGTGCCCTGGCGGCTTTCTTTCTCCTCGCGAATGCTCCTCCCCATCATCGACGGTCCGCCGCAGGACCGGATCGCGAAACATCAGGACAGCGCGTACGGGAGACTAGAGACGGCGAAACGGCTGCTCCATGGGCAACTAAATGCAGGCACTGGCGGTGGGGCGCGCAGGGAGCGCGGCGGCGACGGCAGGACGAATGCGCCTTGGGCGTGTGCCTCGAGATGGTCGTCTTGGGATTCGCGATGTGGATGCGACGGCGACAATGAGATGGAAGAGGGAAGATGGGATGGGGGTTGGTGTGGAGCAGCTTGCGCGCTGTCTAGATCACACACGAACGGTTGGCAAGTCAGCGTCTGCTTAGTGCGGCTGCGGCAACTATGTCCTGGAGCAGCTCCGGGCGTGATGCAGACCCGCGATGAGGTTTGATGGAGAGGCTGCGACCGGCTACGAGCAAGCAGATATGTATCACACGAGGCTGCGGAGCGCGATGAGGATGTCTGGCATGGCCGCATTACTCGTGGGGACCTTCATCGCGACTCTGCTCCGCTACTGGGCATGCCTCTTAACAAAGCACCTGAACCCCATCTCTCGTAGGAGCATACACGCCCAGATGGGGTGCATCGACCAATAATTCGCCTGCATGGAAACGGCGCCGTGCAGCGTGCAGCCCCTTCTCGTTTGTGGCTATCTGTTTCCTCTCTATTCCGAATCACCGTACACTGCTGCCACGCGTGTCCACGCCTAAGCTTTTCTTATTTCCAATCTCAGCACCTGCAACTCTTCTCTGCTCCGCGTGCCGGGTTGAGGCGTTGCCAGCTTCGGCTAATCTACCACGAGCCTCTGGACCTGCGGACGTGCGCATCTCATTTCGTCTCCAAATTCATCCGATTCCTGGATGCCGCCTCGTCCCACCCAGTCTTTCGTGCACGCAATGATACCAACAGCCGCGCAAAATGAACAGGGCAGAACGTTGGGGCTGCAACTTCCCATTGGGTGAAGCCTCACCACGACGGTGACGGAAGGCGCGACCATGCCGCGAAGAGCTCTAGCTTCTTCAGTATTAGCGCGGCCCGAGCGTAGATCGCGCTAAAACTCTGGGCGGTATCAATTCTCGAACTTTTTTGCAAAGGCGCATCCACACCGTCGAGCAACAACCATACAAACTCGCCATGGCTTCCGTATACAAGACCCTGTCCGGCGCGGAGAAAGACGAGAAGGAGATGGGCGAGAAGAGAAACAAGCAGCGAGTCCTCATTCTGGTAAGATTTCACGCGCGGCGCAAAGTGAGACCCATGCTAATCGACGGTAGAGTTCAAGAGGTGTTACCTTCCGACACCGACATTTGCTGCAAGACCTGTACTCGTTGATGTGAGTAATTCTACGCACCGCGGAACATCATTTACTAATCTCATAAAAGGCCCCACAGCCGGAAAGAGGCCAAACTCGACACCAAGACTAAGCTCTACCAACTCAATGAACTGGCAGAACTCTACAATTGCAACAACATCCTCTTTTTCGAAGCCCGTAAGGGTAAGGATCTCTACTGCTGGATGTCCAAGCCACCAAACGGCCCTACTGTAAAGATGCACCTGCAAAACTTGCACACCATGGAAGAGCTCAACTTCATCGGCAACTGTCTCAAGGGATCGCGGCCAGTTCTTTCTTTCGACGCTGCGTTCGACAAGCAGGCCCATTTGCGCGTGATCAAGGAGCTCTTCACCCAGATTTTCGGCGTTCCCAAGACGAGCCGAAAAGTCAAGCCTTTTGTAGACCACGTGATGGGCTTCACAGTCGCAGATGGCAAGATCTGGATTCGCGTATTTCAAATCAACGAAAGTGAGCCTGGAAAGAAGAAGCCTGTCGACGGCGAGGAGATGGATGTCGATGAGGCGCCCAAGAAGAAGAAGGGCGGTGAATTCGACGTCAGCCTTGTCGAGATCGGTCCCCGTTTCGTACTTACCCCCATCATCATCCAGGAGTCCAGCTTCGGAGGTCCTATCATCTATGAGAACAAGGAGTTCGTCTCGCCCAACCAGATCCGTTCCGACTTGAGGAAATCAAAGGCCGGCAGATTCAACAGGAGGACCGATGCGCAGAGGGATACGCTACTCAAGCACCAAGATCTGGGACTTACGTCGCACGGTGGACGCAAGAAGGAGAAGGATCCGCTCAGCGACAACGTACTATTCGCGTAAGATTGATGGCAATGTTTCGAGGGAAGGCAAAAATGGCGTTTATGGAATGCATAAATATAGGTCGGCGTCGATTTCTTGCTGGGCACGTGCCTGTATATAGCGATATACCCAAAAGCTATCGTCTAATGGGTAGCTCATTATAGAGCCGCCGTTAACCCAAGTGTGATTGTGTTCTTGATGGTATCAGAATTCAGATCGTTCAAGACTAACCCGTTGCATTTTGCGCTGCCATGCTCCTTTCCAGAGCATCTTTATAGTCGTCATCAACACCACTCACAACTGGGTTCCTTACTCCATACAACGCCCTGAAAGGATCAAGCACTAGCTGTGTTTGCGCAAAATGATTCTCATCTTGCACTCGATGTACTCGTCCACTCGGGAACCTTACGCGACTTATCGCGCCATCTATAAGATGTATGTGCAGCCGATGCAACTGTGGTGCAACAACCAACAAATCAACCAACTCGCGCACCTTACCCCGTATACCAGCTGGCAAGCCCCTTCCACCGCAGTTGTATTTGATCATGCCCGTATAATCATCCACAGATTCAACATTAATGATATAATTCCTGATCTTCAGCAGATTCCTCTGCGAGAAGTGATCCAAGAACTGATACGTCCGATTCGGCGTAAGGTTATTTGCAGTGCGCCAGCGGTACCGAAAGTTGATCGCATCGAACGTCACATCAATCACAAATGTGTTATCTCCATATAGCATATCCGCTGCCTCTTCATGTACTTGTCTTGACACGGCTAGTAGGTTGGTACTTCCGCGTCGCCAGACTATGTCGTTGCCTGTTTCGCGCTCCGCCTTGGGCAGAGTGCGTTGCATGCGCCAACCCCCATCACCGTTTTTCTGCCGCACGAAGGTCAGATTGTATTCGGATTTTGGGGGTGGGTCGGCGGGACGCTGGAAACGCACTTCGAAAGTTGTCGTGTGGGGGAGGACGGAGCTGTATATAAGGCGTCTGAGCTCGATCGGGAGGCGGAGAAGCGGGGGTGGCTGCGACGGCGTGTTGTTGGAGTAGGACTGCATCTTGCGCTCCTCGTGGACTGACATTTGACCTGCAGCTGCGGACTGTGAAGCTATACATGCCTCTATGTAGTTTACTTCATGTTCGTTGACGCCATCGGTGCTGTCCCGCCTCTCCACGCCGATTGGCCCCCACAATCCGGGTTAGCCCCCCTTGGCGGCATCCATCACGTCCATAGTCGTCACGACCGATGCCTCCTTTCCTTCTCCCCAACCACTAACGATGACACTCGTTAACGACAGCTCATCGGAGCTCGCATTCACTTGCACCATGTCTTTCCAGAATGTCGTCGCATTTTCTACTCATAGCCCCAACGGAGGGGTCCGATTTGTTTGAACCACGAGATACGTATCGGTGTAGAGGCAAGATAGCTGCACACCGGTTAGATCGATAGATCATACTCGAAGAAAGACTTTGAAGGATTGTGACAATTGATACAAACTTCTCGCTCTGTCACAGGAAAGAGCTCAGAACCCGAACGGGTTGGAACACACATTAACCTGAAAGTTCATAGGTAAGTTCCAACGGTACCTATGATACTTCAGGGCATAATTATAGAGACTCAACGCTGATAGTCAAAATTCCAGAAAATCCAACCCCAAATTTACCCTACGCCCGCTTTCAAGATGCTGTTCGAAGACCTCGCAACCGAACTGGTCGTGCAGGTGTTCTTATCATGCCGCTCTGTCACCGACGTAACAGCTCTATCTTCTACCTGTCGTCGTTTCCGCAACATCTTTGCCTCGTCTCAAAAGCTTCTCATCCTCGAAAATGCCGCCGAAACGCAATTCGGACCTCTGGAAGACCTTACCCAGCTTCTCACTCATAATGCCAGCCAGCCTGCGCACATTGTTCGGACCGTTCCGTTCTCTCTAGCGCTGCTTAAGCAGATTGTGCATCATGGGCGTGTAGCTGAGAAGTGGTGCGACATATACCCGTTCAAGAAGTGGAAGCACAACTATGAACTACGCCGACTCTTGACCACGGAGGAGCGCTATGTTGTAAGAAGGGCCATATACAGGATTTGGCTTTATTCACGCGCCTTTCACAATCGCGAACACCCACGCGAATTCCGTGCAACAAGGCTCGTTCTACTCAAGCGTGCGGCACTCCTACACAACTGGAGTACCTGGGAACTAGCCGAGATCGCCGACGTCCATCGCGTCATACGGGAAGTCGTACAGAGCAACGTCTGCCCATCTAACGGCACCATTGCGCGGAAGTTCAAGAAAAGGCATCCTGGCAACGAGCACTCTCTGCTATTCAACAATATCCACCTCAACTACCCACCCACAGCCCCCCAAGTTTTCAATCCCTTCACGCCTAATCCCCTCTCCACGCACTTTAACAACACACCAACCTACACCTCGCGCTACGCGGCATCGAAGTTCTCTCTCCACCCATCCCACGAAGTCGGCGCTGAAGGCTGGGGTGACGATATCCCCCATTACTACGTTATCGAGGATCACATGAAGCTCGATCCCGCTCAAATATTGTACTTGAAGGAACATGCACCACTAAAGGGCATGGTGGAGGGTTATGTGAGGAGCTTGTGTCCGGAGTATGATTGGTTCACCAATAATGGGGAGACGTGGGTGCAGACGTTGGAGTTTGTGCTCGATGAGCGTGGAGAGGATGTTGGAGATTTCATGGGGGCTATTGCGGAGGGTGAGGCTGGTGTTGCCGTCATCGAAGTGTAGTTTCCAGGCATTTGGTGATTGATGAAGAAACGGACAGTGTACCTTCGGATCTCACACCGTCGCACGGTATGGCTTAGGCTGAATAGTGTACGGAGATGTAACGAAACTTAGCCAGAGGCAAGTGACTATTACCCTTGTGTATCCCACTGGTTCTATCTTGATTTGGAGGTATTCCAGAGTCTCTAGGTAACTGACTAGTGCATACACATCCAACTTGGTGGCCTCATTCTGCGCTATCAGGCGGGTAGCCGTCAACGTCAGTCTCCTACAGTGCCGGGCGGCAAAGTAATAAAGAAAGCTAGATTGTCGCCTAAGCCTGTACGCTTGTACCTAGGATTGTGGCTTAGCAACGAAATAGGCGACGTTTCTTGGATGAAAGAAGACAGATAAGCCGATCTTTGCAGCAAGCCGCACAACTATTCGGGCCTTAGTATTTGCAACCTGCCTGATTCTGTGCCGGTGAAGCAGACCTTGGAAGTCTTGCCAAGTCAGGTGGGGCGCTTTTATACGAACGCGACGTGTTTAAACTCACGCAACGATCTTGAGGTATGCTTCTGGAGAAACTCGTGTTATTGCTGGTGCCTCAGTTTTTGTTTCAAAAAAAAGTTCTGCTACACCAGAGGTAGCTATAGACTGTTTCGCGTTTCTCATATTTGGCGTAATCTTGTCGATGGCCCCTAGTTTTGGGCAAGCGTCAATGACGTCAGGCACCCTGAAGCCTTCCCCAGCCACCACAGAAGCCGTGTCCACTGCATCCGCAACATGCAGCACATGCCACCACTTTGCAAACGGCCATGAAACCAGTGTATCGGTCACGGCGTTTCTTTTCTCCGTAGGCGGCTGTCAAGGATGTTCCATCATTCTCAAGGCTCTCGATGCCGTTACCGATATTCGACGACCAGAGTTCAAAACTATCAAGATCAAACGCATAGAGGCGGAAGACCATTGGTCCTTTTTGGACCCCAAGAATGTATTGCATGTACGATGTGAGCAGGAAGGTGAGCCATACGGGGGAAGGGTTTTATTTGGGAAGCGGTATGTGGATTCAAGGCCAAACGATTATGAGATTTATACTCCAATTAGTGAGTGCTTCCCACTGCTATGATTCTAAGGTTTTCCAAGCAAACTGCATGTATGTGGTGGCGATATGAGGCCATAAGGCTAAAGACCGAACAGGTGCGGGAGAAGACTCTGCCATTCCATGGCTAGGTTTGCGGAATGGTTCAAGAGATAGGTATCGAGAGCAGTCAAACAGCCTGGAAGACCGCTTGAATGAAGCGCGGATTTGGTACGAGGATTGCAAGGCCAATCATCCGCTTTGTGTGCCGCGCAAAGACGGATGGCCACGCCGAATCCTTGACCTCTCAGTTGACTCTATTCGCCTCGTTAACACTGAAGCAATTGAGTCAACATCTTCGCAACTACAAGAAGGCTACGCATGTCTCAGTTACGCATGGGGAACTACTGGGAATCTCAAAACTCTGAAAGACAATTTACAATCACATATGCAGGGTATCGATGTCCACACACTCCCCCGTACTCTCGCTGATGCTGTTCATGTCTCTCGGGCCTTTGGCTTACGGTACCTATGGGTAAGGCTACAGAATTCTACAAGAAACAGACCGGAGACTGACTGTGCAATAGATCGATGCACTATGCATCATTCAAGACGATGTACAAGATTGGATGGATCAGATCCCACGCATGTCATCTATTTACCAAGGAGCCGAACTTGTCATTTCAGCGCAAGGTGCCTCCAGCGTCCAGGAGGGATTTCTCAGTCTAGGTTCAGCGGCGAATGCACCCCTGAAACGCATCGAGGTACCCTTCCGCATGCCAGACGGGACTTCTCGCACAGTCAAACTCTCAATTCGCGAACGAGAGCAGAAATATCATAACGTTCCGGCGCATCATTCGTCTCGACCGATGGTCGATGACAATACTCATATTGATGATGTCCTCGTTCCTCTCACAACCCGCGCGTGGGTTTTTCAGGAGAGCTTTCTAGCACGTAGGATTCTATATGCTACGCCATCTGAACTAGCTTGGGAGTGTAGCAACCACGAAAGATGCGAGTGTCGTGTCTCTCCAACGGAAGGCTCCACTCGTCTAGCTCTAGATTTTGATGATTACGGACTTGTACGCACATTGGGTCAATTGATTCGTGCAGATAGTCTCAGATCGGCTGAGCAACCCCTCAGTAGCAAACCGAAATTATGGGCCGAAGTTGTGCAAAGGTACTCAGACAAGAACCTGACTAGGTGGACGGATCGTTTGGCCGCGATACAGGGTGTAGTTGAGGCCTTGGCTCAAGCCATGCCAGATGATTTCAACACTGAGAATTACTTGTTCGGACTTTGGAAGCCAAATCTGGAGAAGTTCATGCTTTGGGGTCGACATCCAAGGACTCCGGGAGACTCTGCGAGAGCTGCGACGTTGAGACAAATTGCACCATCGTGGTCCTGGGTGTCAAGCGTTGGAGAGGTGTCGTACTATGACTCTATTTTCATGCCCAAAGCTCAGATCCATACACGTGTCATTCGCGTCGAGCGGGAAGAGTCTAATACCTTGGAGATCAACGTCTTCGGAGCTGGCCACTGTACCTTGACAATGTTCGGCTTTTGCATCCCAATTCAGCAAGAACCACTAAATCGAAAACTCCACCAGGAACATCCCCTAGAAGAAGACAATCAGGGAGTACCCTTCCTCTTTCCTGAACGCTACACAGCGGAGTGGAACTATGGCCCTCCGACCATCGACATGATTCCGGATGACCCGACCGATGAAACCGTGTTTGACCGCGTGACACATTTTGTGCCCTTGGTCAGCGGTCAGCCATATGATGAAGACGATCCGGATCCGCGATTGCAACATCAAGGACTATTCCTGGAGATGGTAGCAGGCCCAGAAGAGGAAAAAGAACCCTACGAAATGGAGCACGAAGGTGTTGATCATGATATCAAGTTTGAAGGCACCTTCAGACGAGTTGGTTTTGGTGAGTAGATACCCTGTACAAACTGCATGTGAGACATAAACTGACTTTGTACACCGGGTTCAGGCTACGATTATGTCTCTGAGGTACATCTTCACTGGTATAGTACGGAGGACTATATTAGCGAGCTCCGCGCTTTCAAGCTTGTATGAAGATAACATAAATCGGTCGAAGGACTATGACATCAAATAAGGCATTACTAGAGAGTATATCCCAATATACCAAGACATATCCCAGTTCACCTCTTGTGTCAAGTTTCGCGGCCTGCATCACATATAGAAAAACTACGTATTCTAACACTTCGATCCGATGGTCCAGTCTATCAGTTTTTTCCTCCTTGGTTCTGCTCTATAGATAACGCGATTTGCTCGGAGAAACTTCCTTGCTTCGCCTTCTTGATCAGTCGTGGGGAAAGCGAAGATGATGAGGCCGAAATCTCCTCTCCACAATCAGAGAATGCTTTCTTCCGCTTAGAACCTCGCGAAGCTGCAGAAGCAGGCGCCAGAGTCGCCAGCTTGAGTTCGTTTCCAATGGCGGCAGCGTGACTTACAAGCTCTGAAAAGGCTTCAACCTTAGCTTCGGCTTCACTAGACTCACCATAGGAGTCTGTAACGCGCCTAGCTAGGCGGTGATACCTAGGCTTCTTCGCCTCTTGAGTAGGGGAAGTAGTCTCGTTGTCTTCAGCCATGTCGATGACGACCGCGAACCTATTCGACTTCCATGAGAATTTAGTTTCAGGCTCCATATTCTGCACATTGGCAGCGCGTTCACGTCGAACCTGATCTGCGGCCCGGGTCGCTCGAGCCTGTTGCTCCTCCACTGTTGAGGGCTTGTAGCGGTCCAATGGCTCGACGCGGACCCTGACGATATCGGTCAAAGCCCTGCGCTCCTTGTTTCGAGCTACCTTCTCTTCCGCGATCTGTCTAGGCGTCTTCCTCTTCTGTTTTGAAGGGCTTGTTCCTAGAGCTGAGTCTGGCTTTTCGTCCACTTCCGGCGTGTTGTTGTTGTTACGGTTCTTTGCAGCACTACCACGTTGACGTAACCGCTGGGCTGCTAGCCGCTCCCTCGCATCAAGCTTTATGTTAACAGCCTCTTCAGTCTTGACTAGCTTGCGAATCTCATGACGAAAAAGCTGAGAGTACATGTTGTGAACCTCTCGTAAGACGATACTGTGAGACGGTGGTCGTTCCGGCTCAATGTCTTTACGTCTTTCATCACGACCCGTTATGTGGTGATCCTCCTGCTTCTCGAAAGCTTCTATGATACTACTGGCCATCTCCATGGTTAATCTCTTGACATCAACGCTCTTGGAGTTTCAGCAGGAGTGCTCCGTCATATCAGACCTGTCTTTATGGTCACGTACCCTAGATATGAATGAACCGTTGCGATTGCTAGGATCTTCAGGATCCCAGTAGATGACGAAGGTTTTATGATTGCACATCCTAACCTCAGACTGATTGACCTGATGATTTTGCTTCTTCAAGGATAGGAGAGCAGGAAGTTCATTGCTGTCCTTAACGCCAAGTGGCTTCCGCGAGACATAAGGCTCCTTTCGTCGGTATTGATCACGATCCTGTAAAGCCTTCTGAAGACGACTGAAGTCCACCGGATCAGAGATACTGGCGGGTACTTCTGAACTCGGTGTATCTGCGTGTGTATTTGGTCGCTCACGTTCATTCTTCATCACCTTGTCTTCCTCTTCCTCCTCATGCGGCACAAAACCTTGCCCACCTCTAGCCTGAGCCATGACATCCCTAAATGAAGATCTCATATGCGTCTTGCGGACAACGGGCTTCTCATCCTCGGACTCAGATTGGTAGGCAAGCTCGGCAAGGTTCTGTAAGCCTGTGGTGTAGAAAGGTTGGAGCATATTTTTGCTCTTTATGAACGCGCCTTTGATAGCGTTGGGACCTGAAGCGCGGGCGTATTCAGAGCATGGCTCTACTATGACATCAGGCATACTCGCAGGATACTAGTGTATTGTGAGAGATCTGTGTTTTTGGGTGTAGCACTAAGTTTTGGTTGAGAATACAAAGGATCTGGATCGCGTTCAAGTCAAGTTTCACGGCATGATATTTGGACTGGTGTAGAAACGACTAGATGTAGCTGTGAAAGCTGAGACAAAAGATGAATTAGGTGTGCAAGTGAGCGTGTGCGCACGTGAGTAAAGAAGCAAGGCGTTCTGAGACAACACCATTGTAGACATCGGTGGCCTTGGCGTAACATGATTCAGTTTCGTTTTCACTTCCGGAGGCTGTGTTGGCAAGAAGAGTGCTCGGAAGCATATGACAATGTCGCTGTCAACCATCAGAAAACCGCGGGAACAACTGAACAAAGACATAGCAAAGATTACCGCACTCGGTAGCTGTAAGGGTTCGCATGGATTAGTCTGTATTTGATGTACAGAATGTAGTATTGTCACGGGCAGGGACAGGCGAATCGATTGTAAGAGAAAGTCTAGGAATATGTCATTTGGAACATACCAGAGAAAGAAGGGATCTAGTTCGCAAGGAGCTATCAGACTAAGCTGAGACGCCCTGTCTAGCCTTCAGATACTCTGTCAGATACTGCTTCCTGTATGGGTTGTCATCTGTCTCGCCACCCCGGTTGAGTGGCGTCCACTTTGGGTCTTCCTTGAACAGCCGCATGGCCTTGATGTACTAGAATCAGATATCAACATTCTGCTTTGCTTCGACTCTTCAGTTACGAGCTATACTTACGTTCTGCTCATCAGTGGTGAACCGATGGTAAATCCCAGGCGGCAAAACAATCAAATCGCCCTTCTCGAGCCGAATCCTCACCCAGTCATCACCTTCGCTCCTGACATCGAAGTAACCCGCACCGTCAAGAATATATCGGATTTCCTCGTCCTCATGTAAATGCTCGTGGAAGAACGACTTCACCTTCTCTTCGTAAATGTCGCCCATCTTCTCTGGGCTGACAGTGATTTCGTCCCGGTTCTTGTAGTTGCGGGACGTAGCAATGGGTTCAACATCGGGAACTTCTGGTACGCTATAGTAGAGGACACCAAGCTTTTCTAGGTAGTCTGGGTCGACCGAGCGACCGGAATCATGGGGTTGGCGTTGGTCGCCCTGCAGAGGTTAGGTCATGTGCCGAATGCAGAGACAAGAAAGTGGGGGCTTACGGGGAGGTTGTCGAACCAGTATGCCTTCATTTTGCAGTCGGTGATGTATTTGGGATGTGTATTTCACGACTCAAGCGTTGCCGTAACGTGTTGTGGAAGATGACTTTGCCGTTGGGTACGAAGGAAATAATTTGAGATGCCCAAATGCACGTGGCGAATGGCGTCATCGCGATTACCCAGCCACCACAATGGGGATAAGCCATCGGCTTGAGCGCGATGTTCACACATGTGTCATGCACAACATGGGTTTTTACCATCATATGTCAGTCTTCAAATCACAGTAGCAGTACCAATCGCGACCGCCTTCTGAGTGTGGCCTCAGTTCCTCCACAATGAGAGAAGCGAAGCACAACGCTTTACATGATTCTGCTGTGATCAAACAACAAATTAATCAAGACAAACGGATTGAGACCTCCCTAGCGATTCGCCTAGCTATTCAGGCCAGAATTGTTCGTCATGTTTGATTCTTTTGTGCTATCTGACCATGCGCAAGATCATTTAGGCGCAGTCTTTTCTTGATGGGATGTTTGTTTGGATGCTGGGCATCTCGAGCGCGTGATGACATGGTTGCTATGCGACAGCACCTTGCGTACTATCAAGATACTGTGCGGCAGCGTCGACTTGCATGTCCAGCCTTCCTTCCAGCGCGCGGATTCGCTCCCTGAGCTCTACATGTTATACAGCGACTCAACCTCGCTGACGCCTCAGCTGATCTGACACATAATGTCTATCAATCCCAGTCTAAGTCCTCATCGTCTTGCTGCTTAGCGCTGATCTTCTGCAGCCTTCGTCTCTCGTCCTCTTCATTGACCTTGTTTCTCGCTAAAACATTCGCACGGATTAGGCGCACCTCCAGGTCGCGAGTAGTGAAGCTCTGCTCAGTGTGACCGAGCCCCTCAAATCCGATGATGCGATCAGCTCCCACACCGTCGATAAAAGCAATGACGCATGGCAGGACTTGGATTCCCAGGCGTGTGACTAGAAAAGGGCAATTTTCCACATTGATCTTGAGGAAGCGGGCCTCATAATGTGATACTGCGAGTGACTGTTCATCTTTAGACGATATCTCCCGCAACAATGTTTGTTCTTACCTCGAGATGTGTGTCCATAATCCGGCAGCGGTTGAAGTCGGGCTTGAAAAAGTGAACGACACACAACTGCGTGCTTGTCGTGATGTCCATCAAGGCCTTTTCGTCCTTGATCTCTGTATACCTTCCATGCTCGCTCTCTTTCAAGCGCCGTGCCTTGTCAAACTCTTGATGTAATTGTTGAAGTCGTTGTTCACGGAAAGCATCTAGGTCTTCGTCGTTCTCCAGAGATGCTATGAGCGCATCCTCATCCGAGTCGTCCTCGCGCGCTGCACGGTCGACAAGTGAGGCGACTTTGGGATCCAAGGCGGCCATTTTTTTTTTGAGTTTGTCTGGGGTCGCTTGTCGTGGATCAGGGGAAAGAGTACGAGGCTCGATAAGGAGAAGTCACGTGGCGATAGGCTGGTGGAGTGAAGAACGCCTTCGCACAGTCCCTCGCAGTAGTGGTGCGCAAAGCGCTTGGATCGTATACGACACACGCTATGCGCTGTATCAGGGTCTGGTAGTGAAAAATAGAACAAAACTCGTACAGGCTGCAGGGTGGTGCTGACAAGAAGTTGCTCGTGTTCAAAGGCGGCCTAGTGGCCCATGAAATTACCACTACCACAACAGAGCGACTCCAAGCCAGGGGAGAGGCCATCGTTGAGACCCACCCAATTCGCGTCCCTGCGCATCTCTCTTGCGACACCCGTCTCCTTCCTTCTGGTCCCACACTCCTGTCTTTTCTTCTTCTTTCGACTACAACCCCTCGTTTGCAGTCGTACACACGCCGCCACGTACCTGTCCTCTCCTCCGGACCTTCCCGTCGCTGCCACATATCACGACTCTACACACACGCGAGCGTGCACACGTCCCCCTCTCCACCACCATGTCTGACGACAAGAAGAGCGACGACTACAGGGTCGATATGCCTTCGGGCAAGGAGTTCCGCGCAGCGTCACCGATGCCTCGATCAGCCAGTTCAAGCCGCGCCGGTCCAGCGATAACAGAGAACCCCATTGCCGCCGTCCTGGCATACTGTGGATCTTCCATCATGATGACAGTTACAAACAAATACGTCTTGTCTGGCGTCGACTTCAACCTCCCTTTTTTCCTACTTTGCGTACAGGTACGAGCATAGCTCCGTGCAGTAGACCGCCCTTCTAATTCAGCGCAGTCTGTTGTCTGTGTAGCAGCAATCTCGACATGCAAAGCCATGGGCATCATCAACTACCGCGACTTCAACAGCGATGAAGCGAAGAAATGTATGTTTGAAAGACTTGCCGGAATACAAGAGAATGCTAACCGCACTAGGGTTCCCCATCTCCGTCCTGCTCATCGGCATGATCTACACCAGTACCTGGGCGCTCAAGTACCTTTCGATTCCCGTCTACACCATTTTCAAGAACTTGACCATCATCCTGATCGCATACGGAGAGGTTCTTTGGTTCGGTGGCGCAGTCACACCAATGGCTCTCTTCTCTTTCGGATTGATGGTGCTGAGTTCCGTTATTGCGGCTTGGGCTGACATTCAGCACGCTTTGTCGAGCATGGGTCACGCTGCGGAGAAGACCACCGAGGCCATGTCGACCCTGCACACCGGATACCTCTGGATGATGTTCAACTGCTTTTGCTCGGCTACCTACGTTCTGTGCATGCGCAAGCGCATCAAGCTCACCAACTTCAAGGACTTCGACAGTAGGTTTATCAATTTATGAGGGACAAGGATATTTGCTAACCTGAACCAGCCATGTACTACAACAACCTCCTCACCATCCCGATTCTGCTCGTTGCCTCCATCCTCGTAGAAGACTGGTCCTCCGCCAACGTCCAGAAGAACTTCCCCGCTGAACAGCGCAACACCGTTATTATGGTCATGATCATCTCTGGTCTTTCCACCGTCTTCATCTCGTACACATCTGCCTGGGCGGTCCGTGTTACCTCTTCGACAACCTACTCCATGGTCGGTGCCCTGAACAAGCTACCCATTGCGCTCAGCGGTCTGATCTTCTTCGACGCGCCTGTCACCTTCGGCAGCTGTTCCGCCATCTTTGTTGGATTCGTCAGTGGTCTTGTCTACGCTCTGGCTAAGGTCCGCCAGAACAGCAAGCCCAAGACCGTTCTCCCCACTACCAACATCCCGCTGAGCGCTAGCAGCCGCAGCATGCAGGACAGCCTGAAGTCATAAAGGAGTCGCTAGGCACACTTTCTTGACACCAGCAGGCACGAAGGCAAATGACTCTCGTTCCTGTATTTCCCATGGCATTTTTGCGCTGTATTGTATACGAACAAATGTCTTTATTCCATTTCGCAACTGGCCAATAGGGAAGCTTCATTTCTCACAGGTCACTTCTTTTGTACCTTTTATGCCTTGGAGCATCTTAACATACACTATTCAGAACTTTAGAACGAGCTTGGCGTTCCGGAGGATCGAAGCAGCGCGACATGGATCCTGCAGTCTGGGGCGGCGGAGTAAAGTGGAGCGATCGGATGTATTAGCACTTTGATCAAGTACCGTTATATTTTCGGACCGTCCTGCCTTCAGATTTTAACAAAATAGCGTCTTCGCTTATACATCACGTATCTCCCATGTCCTCCCCCTTTCCCTCTCCTTCTCCCACACCTTGGCCCCTCTCCCACCCCCTCTCATCTTACCACCGCCCCCTCTCCCTCCAATCTCAATCTTTACTTCCAACTCCCCCCTCTCATTTGATACAAATCGCCCTTGCTCCATGATTTGACTCACAAGAAACCGTCCTGGTTCCTGCCACTCACCCCTCATCTTCACGTACGCCCTAACCTCTCCATGATATCTCTCTGGCACAAGCTGCTTTACAGCGTCGCGGAAAAGCATATCTCCTGCTACGGTAGCATGGAGTGTTTCGCTCACATAAGCCGGACTCTTCATCTGTACGCGTAGTCGTGTGAGGCTAGGAGGGAGGATGAGGATATCGTCTCTGCTAATGTTTTCGGACACCTGTCGGGAAACATTGGCGTACAGGGGACGGAAGCTCGAGGCAATGTCTAGCGTGTTATCGTCATGTTTCCAACTTCTTCGTCCTTGGGGACGGGCGTTGAAGGGGCTTGGAGACGGTGGGGACATGTGTCTATGGTAGGCTTCGTCTGGAGTGTCGGGATCCGAAAAGCTCGATTCCATGTCTGAGTAGTGCGAGTAGCGCTTGTGTTGGGGACGGCGCCGGGATTGGTGGGGAGGAGGAGAAGACAGATGATGAATTGGTCGGTGACGATGTTGGTGTATCGATTCTCGAGCACGTTGGGTGTAGAGGTGGGGCATGGTACCTGGGACTATGTAATCTGAGTAAGAGAAGGCAGAGGCTACGGGGAGACGGCGGAAAGGATTGTGGTTGAAGGGCGAAGAGTCGAACATGGCGAAGACACCTAAATGGCGGAGTCACAAAATTGATAGAATCGTGATCTTCTTCTCAGAGCAGAAAGCTTCGAGGAAGAGGCACTAAGCTGGCGTTTGGTCTGCTTACATGCCGTGTAGCTTCCATCGGATCAGGTGTGCAGTTTGAGAGACGGGAAGATACGTTTCGTGTTACCAAACTCGGTATCGAAGTACTCGTGATTGTCATGCAAGCTTGATGCGCAAACACACTTTGCGCATGTGTGCCTAGTGCCCGCTCCAAAACGTGCACATGCAATCTATGTACGTCTGGCCTTTGCGATCCCCCTTTCGGTTGCTCTTGTTAGACAAAGGGCCCTTTCTCCACTTGTCTCGATCTGACCCTTCCGGCCTTCGATGAGACGAGAGCGAGTCTTTGTTCTCTATGTACATATAGTAGCCTTGCTAGGCGGGTAGTGGACAGTCGTCTTATCAGTTTAACAGTTCCGGGGAGACAGCTGTATGCTATGCGCGAAGACGTTTTGTGCGCATACCGCATACAGTTCGAGCGGGAAATGCGATAGACTTCTCTTGCCGCTTAGTGACATTGATTGAGTGTTACTACATACCGCAAAGGACAAATGGACTCCATGACCGTCAACACCGATCCTCTCACGCCTGACTAAAGAAAGTTAACACCGTATCCTAACGTCCTGTATTTCAACAGAAAAAATGAGCCGTCCTCATCAACAAGACTGCGGTAGATAGAAAAGCCAGACAAAGAGCGTGCCTCTTCATACACATGCTAAGGCTAGGCGTTTCACTGCCTCCTCTTATCGCCAAACCGAGGTTGGCTTGTGGGTTGGTCAAGTTTGCCGCGGTCGGGGCGCGTGCGCTCGCTGGCAGGATATCCAAGCACCTACACCTCACCAGCCTTTGCCGCACCACCCTTCTTCTTCTGCTCTACCTTGAGTAGTAGTGCACGGTTAATGTGTGGTAGAACACCTCCGAAAGCGATGGTAGCTCGGATGAGGGTGTCCAGTTCTTCGTCACCTCGGATGGCAAGCTGAAGATGGCGTGGCGTGATGCGCTTGACCTTGAGATCCTTGGCAGCGTTGCCTGCGAGCTCGAGAACTTCGGCAGTCAGGTATTCGAGCACAGCGGTCAGATAGATGCTGGCTTTAGCTCCGATGCGCGTCTTTTGTCGCGTTAGGTTTCGGAGATGACGCTTTATGCGACCACAGGGGAACTACAATGGAAAGGTGAAATTAGCGCGTCGTTCTTTTGTGCGGCGTGCGTAGGTATGCGCGGGGTGGTGGTTGGGCGATGACGCGTATCGGGCAGCTACTCACTTGAAGTCCGGCTTTGGCGGAGTGCGACTTGGGAGTCTTGACTTGCGCATCGCCTTTGCCTCCTGTCTTGCCACCTGTCTTTCCTGCGCATTCTGTTAGCTCTCGAGGCCTTCCGGAGCGCGACGCACGGTCAGCGCGTACCTTTTCCACCGCCAGCCATGTCTGATGATTTATTCGGTGTAAAAGTCGGTGTCGATCGTATCAATAGAGGTGCGCGACCGTGATGCCCGGGGTTCGAGAAGGATTCGAAGTGGTGGTGTTTGGCGGTAGGTGGGGTGAATTGGTAAAGTCTTGCTGGGAAGAGGTTCCAATGTTGTGACAAGGTTGTAGCGTCCAACGCCTATGTACCAATCGGGAAGGCTCCACTTGGCATGTTGGAGGTAAGGCACCAGCCCCGTCTTCAACCGTGATACCGTGTGTAAACGAATCGTTCGTCATACTGTGAAACGCAAGTCAATCTAATTCGACAGAGGCGTGATGTTCCGAATTCTTTTTTTGTAGATCCTACCGCGACATGTTGGCCGGTGCAGGTGTGCGAATCGTGATTCTGGCATGACCAGATCAGAAAAATGACCAGGAAAGACTGACAAGCACGAAGCTTGGGACAGGGTAAATCATCAGACAGGAGGAACGATGAGTTGCGAATACAATACCATTTTGAGTCGCCCAGTGAACAGTCGTCCACTCAAGCAGACAAGCAGCTACCGGCAGCTACTTTTCGATACAAGGAAGCATGTGCGGCTACAGCAGATCGGAAGGTGGCTACAGCAGGAGCCAGGACTATTATAATCGTTAGTGTTCAGTTCGACGACTTGACAAGCAACCAGGTGGCACAGTGTCGCCGGATGCGGCAGTCATTAGCTACCACCCTTGGACGATGACAAAGAAGACTGAACAAAGCGTGCATCTTCCAACTGGAGATACGAAAGGAATCAGCTTTCAGACGATGAGAGCTTGTTCGAGTGCTAGCAAGTCCTCTTTACTCCCGCTGGAGTGCTCATAGCTTGTGCAGTGACGTAACAACATGAGTGAAGAAGAGAAGATGTATGGGTGGAGAAACAATTAAATATGGAAACTTACAGCAAAGAAGTCATCGAAGAGCTCTCTATCCAGGCGTTATTTGTCAGTACTGATGGTATATCGGATGGCATTGCGAGCCCTTGATGGAATGCTCTGGGGATTCAATGTGGAAATCCCGGCCACGCTTGCTTCGGGGATATGATACCAGTGATGACATGAGATAGTGATACGTTGTTACAGTGTATTTTGGGTGTTTCCGGACTTCTACCACAAAAGCTGTGGTGGTAACACAGTGAGCAGCTCGCTCGCTCCTCCCGCAGCCTGTGGTGATAATGGGTCCGTGCGCCATCTTTGGCAGGGTCCCGCTTCGGCGCTACGGCCTCCCCTGTGCGACGACATATGTGGATGTTGCCGCAGCCGTGACGAGACCTGCTATTGCGCGTGCGCATAATCCTCACTGCCCATCTTCTCACAGCTTCCCTCACTACCCGCGCCTCTTCATCTGTCCGGTGCCCTGGGGTCCGAGCTCTGGAGCCAGATCCCGACACGTCGACCGCGCTGTTGCCGACCCCCGACGCCGCATGCCCACGCTCAGTAAAGACTCACTAAGACGCAACATCGCCGCGACGAGACCTTAACATACGTCTGTCATGGCCTGGCAGTCGCCTTCGGCCATGAACGGCGGCGGTGCCAATGGAGGGGGTGACGGCAATGCGCCTGCGGGGACAGAGTACACATTGCAGGGTATGCAGTTCCCCTGGATCTGCCGTGTACATGGCGGGGAGACTGGCAGGCTGACACGATCACAGGTGTTATGCGATTTCTACAGCTAGAATGGCACAACCATGAACGAGCACGCAATGCATGGGACATCGAGCGCGCCGAGATGAAGGCCAAGATCGCGAAACAGGAGGGCGAGGTGCGGAGCGCGAAGAAGCTGAATGACCAGCTAAACAAGCATATTCGGATGCTGGAGCAGGCACTTACCAACGAGAGAAAGAAGAAGAGCGAGGCAGCAGGAGGCGACTCTGAGGCCGGAGCAGATGACAAGAAGGATCTCAAAGGCAAGAAGGGTGGCGTAAATTCCACCAAGCGTGCGTACACCATACTGCCAGGCCATGATCTAGACTTATGCTAACCTGGCGAAGCCCAAAACAAGAAGCACAACTCCTTCCTCGACGTTGACTCGGAGTTCTTTGACCGCGCAGAAGCCGACCGCGAGAACCTCAGAGAGAAATCCAAGCTCTACCTTACGAAATGCGTCGAAGAAATCACATACCTCCTTACTCCGCCCCCGCAAGCCTCGCAACAACAACAGAACCTACAGCCGCTTGCTAATGGCAACGGCTACTTGAACCACGGCGAGGCCTCGATGGAAGATATCTACCTACAACAACACCGCCAGAGGCTGCAGTCACAACTCCCCACCATGCCAGGCACGTCCATGCCTACTCACCAGCCCCCGAACGTGCCAGTCCCTTCTGAACTTCAAAGCTTAGCCAACCAACATCAAATCCATCACGCGCCACAGATGACACGAGAACCCTCACAGCAACAACCCCTTGCGCAGAACGCTAGTATGGCTCAGGAACTTCTTGGACAGCAACGTCAGCCCCAGAATCAGCAGCATTATTCGTCGGTACCCGAAGAGCAGGTCGAAAAGGTGACACATGCGTTCGATAGCGAAGGACGCCAAATACCAATTGCTGAGGAAAACGCTTCGGATTCCAGCCAGGCTGCCAACCAGGAGAAAGAGACAGATGATTGGATTTTCGACCCCGCATCGGAGACAGCTCAGGAGGGTCCACCCAGACGGCCAGACACCGAAGAATTTCCATCGGCGAATAGCATCCCAGCAAAATCGCCACCGCGCCCTGTAAAGAGGGCCAGCAAAGACCACGTCAGACGACTGAGTAATGATCAGAAAGCTCAACAAGCAGTAGCCCAGCAAGCAGCGAAGACTGACCCGCAAAGTTTCAAAGTCCGATTTGCACTTCGCGGCCATCTCGATGTGGTACGATCAGTCATTTTCACTGGTGGTGGCAGTCCCAGTGAGCCAGAGATTTGCACAGCGGGAGATGACGGCATGATCAAAAGATGGATGATACCCGCAAGTTATGCAAACCAGCACAGCATGAACAATGATCTAGACATTCAGCCATTCTGGTCACATCGGGGTCATGAAGGTACCGTTACATCTTTAGCAGCCTGCCCTGCTTCTGCTCATTTTGCCACCGGAGGAAGGGTCTCTGGCGATGGCTGGATATTTTCGGGTGGTCAGGATGCTACGATCCGCGTATGGGAACGAGGCCGAGTTGACCCAAAGGCCACCCTTGAAGGGCACACCGATGCCGTCTGGACTGTATGCGTTCTCCCTACCACCTGTGCTAATCTGTTCGGCTCCGATAGCAGCAAGTACGGAGGACCAGACCGTGTCATACTCGCTTCCGGATCTGCAGACGGTACTATCAAGATCTGGGCTGTAAGTGCGCCGCCTCAACTGGTCTCACCGCAGACAAACTCTCGTCGTGGTGTTGGAGGCAGCCGGAGACACTCGGTCACATCTGGATCGAACCACCCGTCTTCACCGCAGCCCAGCATCGCTACCACGACACCATTTCATTACATGTTAATACATACCATCGAGCGTGACACGCACCCTTCGCCTACGTGCATCAGCCCACTTTCCCCTACTGGAGAAAACTTTGTTGTCTCCTTCTCTGACGCATCAATCTTGGTGTATGACACGAGGACCGGCGAGGAGCTGATCGGTATGGCCAGTAACGAATCTTACGATGGAACCCCAGCGACTGGTATCACATCAGTTGTGACAAGCTCGCAGTATCTCGAAAGTGCGTCACAGGAGGCTGGCCGAGGCGGTTCAGACGAGGAAGGCATACATGGCCCGACTGGCTCCGCTAACGGCGGCCTGGAGGGTGTTATAATCAGTGGGCACGAAGACCATCTCATCAGGTTCTTCGATGCCAACTCTGGTATGTTTTCCCAAAACGATAAATTTGACCTTTGCTGACCAGGAACAGGACAATGTACATATAGCATGCTTGCACACCCTGCAGCTATTTCTTCGTTATCGCTCAGCAAGGACGGCCGAGAAGCCGTATCTGCTGGACATGACGCCTCTATCCGATTCTGGTCACTCGACAAGCGCATATGCACACAAGAAATCACCGCACACCGCATCATGCGCGGTGAAGGTGTGTGCAGCGTTGTCTGGAGCCAGGATGGTCGTCTCGTCGTCTCAGCAGGCGGTGATGGCATAGTCAAGGTATTCGCAAGGTAGTATCTTGCAGAGCCGATAGTAGCTACGACTTCTCCTCGCATTTCCGAGCCTCCGCCGTTTCGCGTGAACTATTGGCATTTTTAGCTGGACATACCCCCTGATTTGAGCGTGTGTATATGGACACGTAGTTTGATCGAGATGGGCAAAGGAAAGGCATGATTGATGGATATCTTCTGATGGCGGACCATGGTAATCTCTCATTATCTTCTTGATGCGCCTTCATGGGTGGGCGTGCATTCGCTGGCGCGGTGTGTTTATGTTAACTTCCCAGCTTTGTATTATACGATTGGGATGATCGGGCTCAGCGAAGACACGCATGAGCGAACAAGTCAATCGCTGCCATTCTTGATCCTTGTCTATGTGAACATACGCGTTGTAGTTGGACCTGATCTACATATGGGAAAAGGAATGCAGTAATGACGTGCGGAGTTTCTGCCGCGGGAGATCTGTGCATTACGTCGCGTAACACGCCCCCAAATTCCGGCAAGGCGCGAGCAAGGGGGCCTAAGCAGAACTCTCTGAGCCCTGGATGCCTTGTGAACCCAACCCTCTGTAATGTTGCTTTGCGTCTGCTCGCGCTAGATTTGTTCTTCGTCTGTTCAGGCACACATGGAGATGTCCGCTGTAGTCGGTGTTGTATGATCCTCCCCACGCGAAGCGCGTCGACAAGCTTCTGCCCAGTGTATCAAGCTAATGCGCACACTACCACTATAGCTAGTCGCTCTACCGCAGAGCATACAGTCTGCAAAAGACCTGTACGACCTGCGCGCCAAGTACAAAGATGCCTCGGTCCTTATTACCGCCATATACTCCGAGTCTATGGTCATCGCAGCGTCCCTGTCCCAAGTCCAAAATCTCCTGCAACATGACGCATTACGAGAGAAACCCCAATTACTCGAGACGTTCGATCGCGCGCTCACTGGATGTCGAGTCGTGTACGGATGTCTCGAGGAGGAAGTAAGAGAGCTGCGAATAAAAGCGGAGAACGACGAACTGAAGTTCAAGGACCGAGCGAGGTTTCTTTGGAAGGAAGACACGTTCAAAGAGCTGCTCACGCAGATCCGCGGCCAGCAATCTGCGCTCAGTCTCCTTATACAAGGACTGCAAATGGAGTCGATTGTGGATATCAAGAAGCTAGTTGAAGACAACAGCGTTACACTCGATCAGGTTGTAAAACGGTCAAGGACTCTGCGCCAGTCGCACCCTCGTTTGAAGGTACCGGAGTCACTATTCAGTCAACAAAGCCTGGACGGTAAAGATGTCGACGCAGATTCCATCGCGAAAGCTACCGAGTTCACTTTCGATGACGAGGTCGTCAACTCGAAGGCTTATCGTAGGGCTATGGCAATGGCGCTGTCTTCAAACAACGGAGCGATTGCACAAGAGAGCTCAGATACTGATGTTTTAGAAGACTACTCGACCGCTCTTGGAAGCATGTCCCAGGGCAATGACAAAGATAGGAGCGTTGATCCTATAGACCTTCCCCCACTATCGTCAGAGGAAGGGAAGACTACGACTAGTGTCCCAGAGCCTGAAGCTGAAGCTGAAGCAGAACCAGAGATATCATCTCAAGTCGCCACAAAAGATGACCACGCAGATTTGTTTGATACTCTCGAACGCGACATACTTTCCTTCATGCCTCAAACCTCATCTGCAGCGCTTTGTTTGACTCCGAATCATACGGGTTCTGAAAACCCTTCTGCACTACCGAGTCGAACTGGTCCTCTGACTCCAAGCCATACGGGTTCTGAGAATGCCTCTGCATCGCCGGTCCATTCTACCGACTCTTTAACTCCGGCGCCATTGCGATCGTTCAGTGGAGACAAAGCAATAAACGACTCAGAAGCACCGCCCCCATTACCTCCTCGTCGTCCGAGCGGGCAGCCTGTCGCAACGCCCAAAATGCGTTCAGTGTCTTCTGATGATAGTATATTTTCTTCTGATGCGCCATCCATCCTATCAAAAGTGTCAACCGCATCGACTTACACGGTGTATGAAACTCCGCAGTTGAGCCCCAATTCAACAGGGCAATCGTCACGGAAGCCGCTGCCACTTGGGCACAGATCCTCTTACAATGCTTTAGGTAATGTCGAGTTTGATGTGAATGAACCCCAAGCACAGGGAACATCATTACTCCTGCATAACATCGAAATGAACAGCATCTGGAGATCACTCGTGGACGCAGAAAGAAAGTTTGTCGACCGCATGGTAAGACTCAAACGGATGTTCTACGACAATATCATAAGGCAATGGCCAATCATCGAAAAACATCTGAATGCGATTCTTGTTGGCGAACAACTTGCCACACTACATCAACAATGTCTGTTGTACACCATGGATCAAGAACTTGCTGGCAATGGTAGTGCTCTCTGCAATCCGTACATCTTCGAAGTCTGGGTTGACAAAAGTCAACGACTATACCGAGAGTATTGCCGTAAGATGCCGCATGCTTCCTCCTCACTCCGTACAACTCAAAACATGGACCCGAAGTTCTCACCATATGTCAACACGCTCGGTCTCAGTATCTCTTATTTTGGCAAGAGCTGGCAGGACTATCTGGAGCTTCCCATTATACAGTTGCAGACTTATGTCGATAGCTTGGAAAGTCTCATCAACATTGCTGAAACGCTCCGCGATCCGGCGGCGAGTAGTGAGGTCATGCGCTTGAGACGCGCTCTGCAGGCCGTCACTTGGCTCAAGACGTTGACGCTGGCTTTGTTAGAGGAAGCGCAAGGCCGTGAAGATGTGCAGAACTTGGAGAAACGTATTCGGACAGACACCAGTACGCTTTCGCAACTATACCTACACGACCCCAGCCGGCGCGTCGTGCATCAAGGCGGCATGGCGATGAAGTTCAAGGGTCAAGGACCTTGGATTCCAGTACATGCCATGCTTCTAGATAACTACTTCCTCTGGGGAAGAGTTAAGAAGAGCAAGGGAGATGAAGTGCTGGTAACAGACCCACCTATTGCAATTGCCGACATGGGGTTTTCCCTTCCGGTAGACGCACACCAGTTCCAGAAAGCTACTATGCTTGACCAAATAGCAAGGGGCTCAGTCGTGTAGGTTTGACGTAGACGCAAGCTGTCTCAGAAAACTAACGGGCTATCAGATATACTGTCACACTTACAAACAATGCTCGAGACGGCAAGCCAGATTTGTTGGGTCTGTACGACATCCAAGACAGGAAAACCTGGACCGATCATTTCACGACAGCTCGGACCAAGTTTTACAGGTGAATCACGCCGATCGACTGGGCTTCTGAATATCTTGTCGTAGCTCGCGGGCTGTTGGGGTCACATGTGAATGTCTCAATCTCAACTCGTGGGTGAGAGACTCCGTCGCGAGCGCACATGCAGAAGGGCCGTTTCGATCAAGTCTGCTGCACACTTGCCTGCTGGTAATCAAACCTTCACCACAGTATGATCGTGCGTGCCGACTTTGCTCAGTAATTAACAAGCACGCGACCATTCCCGAAACTCAACTCTCGCGCCATTCCAACACCGCACCGTCTCCACCGCCCCAGAACGTTACACTACCTATCACGACTCAGACGATCTTCCTAGCTATATACACCGACCGCGACCATGTCAGGTCTACTTGGGGAGGAACTTGTTCAAGCCGGACATGTGCCTATCCCTGATGGACTCTCTGTTGACAACGTTGTTGGAATTGTTACGGTCTATGACCATAGAGCTCACCATGCAAATCGCAGCACGGCGTACAGGAAATCGCGTATAAGAACTCAGCTAGCCGATGGCGAGTGGTCCTTAGATGGCTGCCATGTTTTCCTTGGTGCCATTCAGGGACGACATTGCTACACGATGGGTCGTGCCGACAACAAGAGCGCATCGCCATCGACGCGCGATGTGTATTTCCCTGGTAGTAGGGTCGGGATTCATCAATTCAACCTCGCACCGGTATGGAAGAGCGATAGCTGGCGTTTGCAGTCCGCTACTGAGACCATCGCGGAGGTAAATGGTGCGCCTATCCAACTCAGCACCCCCCGTACACGAAAACTGTCGAGCCAGTTACCACAGGCCGTCCATCTGCGACAAAACCTAGTCAATCACGTTTTGATCAACGGTTTACGTGTCGAGATCTTCATGCTGAAGACTGTACGCGGCCTTTATCCGATCCAAGATTATCAATTTCTAGAGTTACGCCCTCAACTACAAGAAGTTGTCCATCGCCCCGAGACCTGGGCACGGGATCGATATCTGCAACGTCCTGACCGGATTTCTACCAACACGTATCGGGTTCTTGAGCGCTTCACCGGCAATATCGAAACAGCGAAATTCTTCCACCATAACGACAACGGCCAAGATATTCGCGACGCTGAGTTTCTAAAATTGGCAAAGGACAGGGTGGATGCATCTCTTGTTCGCTACCTGCAGTCAGTTGAGATCAATCATATTCCGGCAGTGATCACCGAAACACATGAGGGATTTGAGCCATATGCTGCCCTAGAGAAGGACATCAAGGAACAACATCCGCGCCTTCGCTTCACAATCGCCTCGAAGCTCCTGCGACGGCTCATGTCTGCTCTCACCTTCTTGCATTTCCACAAGATTGTGCATGGGAATGTTACCAAAGAGAGTGCTTTACTTCGTCTGGTGGACTTCAAGCCTGAAACTGTGCTCCTAGTCGACTACTCGAAGTCAACGTCATTCCCCAGCGGCGCGCCTGAACCTCTGAAGAGGATGACCGAAGACGGCCGCGCTGTGATGGAGATCGTCGAAAGCTGCTGTGATATTTGGCAATTGCGCAAGGCAGCTACCAAGGATGCCTACAGCGAAGAATTTATGATGACCAAGACTGAGGCTGCGAGTAGAGAGTTCGAGCTCATGGAGCGCGTAGTCGCAGACTTCTTTGGGCCTAGAGGCAAGTTGCGCGAGTCGAAGGAAGGCAAGAAGATGCTCCGCTTGTTAAGCATGAAACAACATGGTTGGCATAAGGCTCGGAATGACCAAATCCACAACGCGACTCGTCGCGAGGTCGGACCATGCCGATCAGATATGATCAAGGAGATGGAGCTTGACTGGGTGCTTATGCATCCGTCTTCAAAGATAGGCGAAGAGCAGCATATGCTATTAACTCTTGGACACCCATACCTAGATGGCTTGGCATCGATCGTCTATCACAATCGATGGGAACTAACGCCCCGAGAGGTATGCGCAAAGATACGAGAGCTCGCTGGCGATGTGGAAGAGCCTTGGCAGAGCTTTTCAGTCAAGCGAACAGTGTTGTTTACGCAAAACGGTACTGGCTTCGAAGAACGTGGCATCTTAGATTGGATAGCAGGCTGTTGTGAGGCCTATCCAAAGTGGCATCATGCTTTTGTTCAGGAGTATGAGCGCCAGATCTCGCCCCAGCATGGGATAATCAAGTTCGCTGAGATCAAGAGGCTCTGGGATGCTCTTGTAAAACATGGAACTATGCCCGATTTCATGCAAGCCACATTTGCGGGATTGACAACCGGAAACATCACGAACCAGCCGACGACACACTTTGAGGAGACCCATCAGGTGTGGTATCACAAGCCTTCGCGAATGTTCAACCTCACACATTTACATCGACTGGCAGCTCCGGATCTACTTCTCGCCTGCATCAATGAGGGGACCATAGGATGTAACAACTTTGTCGAAGTACGCGGAGAGTCAGAAATAGAGGGTCTATATGCTACTCTCTCCTTGTTAGCCGCCTTCAGTTCCTCACTTGAATTGACAGCGGATATTCCAGATCGTGCGCCGCAGTTCCCACTGTATGATCCAGCAGACTTCAGTCAGGTTTTGCACCATGTCGTTCTTGCTCACACCAGTCTTCTTCCTTGGGCATCAGTCACACGCCAGGGTGGCCAATACAACTTCCATGCACCGCTAGCTCCCAAAGCACCAGAGACTGCTGGGAAGTTCCTACCGACTTACTTTGGCAGTATGAAGGTGCTGCCCAAAACTCTGAATGGTAGAGAAGATTACTCGCGCCCCGATCACTGGTCAAAGTTCACGACTGCAACAGAGATCGACGAGGCGGCGGATTTGGACAAGCGAACGATCCTGCCAGCAAAGGGCCCATTGAAGAAGACAGTATCGCGACTAGGGAAATCCGATCAAACTTGTTCGCCCCATGTTCATCACTCCACTCTAGTACAGACGCTGAAAAATCGCAAGCAAGCTCTTGCTGGGGCCCAATCACCAGCGAAACGTAATGATGGCGACCAATCGTCAGTTGCGGTCATGCCGGCTGCGAAGCGTCTGCATATCCTTTCTTCCGTCGAGAACTTGAATCCAGGTAGCGTACCATCAGCCCGAGCGCCACAGTTGTCGGCCTCCTTCGTAGACCGTCAACTAGACCATATGATGGCCAACATAGAACGCCAGTCGCAGTCCCCATCGCCTGGACGGTTCCCTGACATCCCGAGGGTACCGAATGAGTCTTTCTTCCAGCGAGACAATGGAGTAAATACCAATGTCCTTGTTAGCCCGCCCACGGCCGAGGCAGCTACAAAGGACTCGTTCACAATCGCATCTGATGGCGATTCCAACCTGGAAGACGACTACAAGCAAGCAGAAGCTTGGCTCAACGCGATGGGCGATGAGGAGGAACCACAAGTTGCTGGCATCTTTGGCGTCAATTTTCATCATAGTCTTCGACAGCGGGGGGATGGATCGGATACCGACGCAGATGAGTCGGAGGAAGACCGGAATGACGAGATGCCAGTTGTTCATGAAAAGGTGGAGCAGGCAGACGATTATTCTCTATCCGATATGCCGACACCAAGCATTAAAGAGAGCAGCTCTTTCACACTTGACCCACGGGCAACGACAAAAACTGCTGGGTTCGAACAGCAGACGACATCGAAGTCATTCCCTAGCCGGTCAAGCCTCCAGCTGGCGACACCTATGATGAGCAGTCCTCGCTTCGCACCACCTTTCTCGGCACACTCTTTCGGTTCCTTTGGTGATGTTGGGGGTCATCGCCGGAGCGGTATCTCTCTATCAGATCTTGCTAGGGTTAGTATTCGTAATGCGCCCACGGTTTCGAGCCCTCCCCCACTGGCAACAGCGGCAACTCCACCTCGCACGGTTACCTCACAAGCTGCGCCTTGCTTCTCTAGCCCTGCTTGGATGCTGAGGGCGCAGAGTGACGACGACGACGACTTGCCTGACACGGATCAAGGAGAACAGTTTAGCGATGACTCTGACTAGACGTTATCGTAGGCCAGGATAACCGGGTATAGGTAGAAGGGGAACGCAGATGTTGCAACGTCCGGTGAAGATGACAAGGGTAGGGTGAGCAATGTGTTTGGGTCGCGACTGGTTAGATATGGAGGTGCATCATGCAGTAATATTAATACTATACCCGCAAATACAACACAAGAGAAACAGTATCGAGATTCGACTGTCCTTCTGACGTAACTGTGTTGTGTAGTAATAGCAGGCTTTACCGTATCTAAGAGGCGCAATGCATAGACCGTCTGATCGGGCTGGCGATAGGGCTCCTTGTGAACCTTGAGTATGATTATATGGGGAGTCGTTGACGAGCGGAGTTGCGATTGTGCGACCGTTAGATAGAGTCGAGCTTGCGTTGGGCGTTGCGAAGGAGAATCTACACGCCTCAGTTAGCAGCACACCAATGTATCATCCAGGTCGCCGCGCTACAATCCCAACATCACGCCAATGCTCTCAATGACTTTGAACGTAGTATCATTGATCTTGGAAGGAATCTTGATTGAATTTGCCATTGTTATGGACTTTCGGAACCAAAAGACACCGTTGCACCAGCCTGAACATTTACGTGTATGAGAGACTGTGCATGGTGTCTCCCACACTACTGTTTGTTCTCTCGCTCCGTGCCCGGTATTTGCGCCTAATCATCCATCACTCCATTGCTTTTCGACCGTTCGTTCCCGTCGCCAAAGATCGTATCGGAACAGCTTATATCGAAGAAGGGTAAAGCATGACGCGGACGGAGGCACCGAAGGACTTGGGAGGGAGGTTGTTCTTGAACTTGGCGCGGACGACACCGGAGTTGCCGTGAGGGCGGGTGACCTTGCCCTGTTTTCATGTTAGATTTCGCTCGTTCGACAAAGTAGCTGGCGTTCATACCCAGATGACGCGGATCTTGGAGCCTTGGATCGCCCGTTGTGCGCGGTAGACGTAGGCTACCCTCTTGCCGGCGTCTGTTGAACGTGTGTTAGCTCATCAAAATTCGTGGTCGGAGCGACATCAGGGCGGACGTACACCACTGAGCTGCCTTGACATCGTCGACGCCCTCAAGCTTGAGCAGAGAAGTTCCGGGGTTGGTGTTCCTCTATCCTTCTCGTCAGAACGGTAGCCACAATACGCGAATTCGGTGCGCACAAACCTTGCCGCGCTGGTAGCTGATGTGCTTGCCCTTGACGTAAAGGCGGTGGGACTTGTTGTCGGCAGACATGGCGAATTTTTTGGGCGGCCTCGGGGGGATGAAGGGGACGTCTGGGTCGGGGTTGATGCTGTCGTTAGTACAGAGAAGTCGTCGTTGCCAAAGAGAAAGACGAATTGCTTCATGTCCAGTGGGGCGTTCTCGCTTACTAGCGCCACACCAGCCACAGCTGGACAAGCTGTGGCGCAACTGCTTTGCCTCCTCGTTGTCTGAAGAACATCAAAACAAGAGCACAATGGAATGCTGGAATCCAAGTCTGTAGAAAAAGAAATGCTCTGGTGGTTTCAATGCATCCTGTGTTCATGGGAGCAATTGGGCTGTTTTCATGCCATTGCATGTTGGGCAAAATATGCTCGTTCGGTGGCATTGCGCTCTCGTGACAGTTGAGGCAAGTAAGGCAATGACAGTATACCACTCACTGCATCTGCATGACGTGCGCTTGAGAATTGTATGCTGGACCTCCTGTCGTTGTACACAACCGTTGGGAGTGAAGGCACAATTCTTCCGCGAGATGTCCCGCCGCCACAAAGGCCATGCTTGTCCTAACCTCCTCTTACCTCTTTGGGCCCTGCCTTGCAGCGGATATGTAAGCCTGGCGCTTCACTGTTGATAACTGTCCCCTTCGACTGCCTACTGAGATGCCGTCGCGTGTCGCCCATCGGCATATTGGGGAGTGTATGAGTAATCCGACCGGCCAAAGACGGTTCACTCATCATGTCACGATCTGGGATGATCCAAATAGCCAACGGCAAAATTCTCACATATCCGTCGCGTTTGCCAGTGCTTTCACGTCACGTTCGCAAAGCATTGCTGGGGCCAGTACGCCATGGCTGTTGCCAGTCTTCAATTACGACGCGCCCCACCAAAGCTACTAGCTTACCAGTGCTGTCCGCTCGGTATACTCAAAGAGGGGCCGGAGGATTTGACAGACCCAAGTACCAGCCCGAGACACTGAGACGTGCCGATGCTTGTGTATACTCTAATAGAATTTACACATTGTCCGGACTCGGGGAGCCTCGCGGCGGGGTAGCCGTACATGGGATGCAGCTTCCCTCGGGCGCTGTGACAGTGATGCGACACGACCGAGGGCTTGGAACTCAATTGTAGAAAAGCAAACAGAGTTTCAGAGCCTCAAAGTCTATCGACTTCCAGCCAAGTGCGCACGAAGCCGTTCCACGCGCAGTGCATGGTGATGGTGGGGTTGTCCGCGCATCCCTGGGTACGGCTTTAGCAAGGTCTCCTCCGGCGGGCTTCAAGGGTTTTGACTGGTGCCGGAGATGTTTTGCAAGTCGTGCGGCGGCTTAGTGATGCTTGGAGAATGACCTAGTTGTTTACTGATACCTTTTTAAGGACGTCAGACCTCGCTGTGCGTTTGTGTGAAGCATTCCTGTCTGATACCCTATCACCGGCGTTCGAGCGGCAAATTAAAGCTAACCAACGTCACCACCACGCGAAACCGCTAGAGCAGCTCCGATAACCCCACTACATAGGACTTTTCCTCACACACCAACGTCCTATCCGTAGCTTCCGCCCTTACTTCGAGATCTCTCGTCTAACCTTATTGCCATCACTCCCTACAGCCCTTAATTGAGCTGTAACCTTGCGCCCGCCCCCTCCCGTAAAGCGTTTACATCACATATCAACACAATGGCGGACACAGTTATCCAGCCCAAGCAAGAGGAGGTCAATGCCGGGTAAGTAGCCCTCACCGTCTCTGACCGACTTGCTACAGCCTTTGGAGAGCTATTTGGATATCCAACCAATTTATCCGGCAGTTGTTTTCTGCTGAAGCACGTCGCGCTCTTCGGCGGAGGGGTCGCTCGACGCGCGAAGCGCCCAACACCCTTGCAGCATTCTGAACATGACGGCTGACAAATCTCGCGATAGAAACATGGAGCTCAAGGACAACACCATCATTGTTGTTTTGGGCGCCTCCGGTGACCTAGCCAAGAAGAAGACTGTATGTAAAGAAGCAAATACGTAGAGAATCATCACACTAACGTCATATCAGTTCCCAGCGCTCTTCGGTCTCGTAGGTTGCACGACCAAGACTCGCATTCGATTTCTGACCACCAATACAGCACCGAAATGGCTTCCTCCCAAACAACATCCACATCGTCGGATATGCACGCACGAAGATGGACCGTGAGGAGTACCTCAAGCGCGTCAAGTCTTACATCAAGACCCCCACAAAGGAATTGGAGAAGCAGCTAGATGAGTTCTGCGAGTTCTGCTCGTACGTTTCGGGCCAGTATGACCAGGATGAGTCTTTTGTTGGACTCGAGAAGCACATGCAGGAGATTGAGAAGGGTCGCAAGGAGAACAACAGGATATTCTACATGGCTCTCCCTCCCAGCGTCTTCATCACAGTGTCCCAGCACTTGAAGCGCAACTGCTACCCCAAGAACGGCATTTCTCGTGTTATTGTAAGTAGCTCCTATGCATATTTCCGGACGAATGCAGCTAACCGCTGTCATGCAGGTCGAGAAGCCCTTCGGCAAGGACCTCCCAAGTTCGAGAGAGCTCCAGCGTGCATTGGCGCCAGACTGGACTGAGGACGAGCTTTACCGTATTGACCACTACCTGGGTAAGGAGATGGTCAAGAACATCCTGATTCTCCGGTTCGGTAACGAGTTCTTCGGCGCAACTTGGAACAGGAACCACATCGACAACGTCCAGATCACCTTCAAGGAGCCGTTCGGAACCGAAGGCCGTGGAGGTTACTTCGACGAGTTCGGCATCATTCGTGATGTTATGCAAAACCGTGAGTGGTTTACTGATAGTAGGAAGAAGCAATAACTGACAATCACAGACTTGCTCCAAGTTCTTACTCTCCTCGCTATGGAGCGACCCATCTCCTTCTCTGCCGAAGACATCCGTGACGAAAAGGTCCGCGTCCTCCGTGGTATGGCCTCTATCGAGCCCAAGAACGTCATCATTGGACAGTATGGAAAGTCGCTGGACGGCCAGAAGCCAGGCTACAAGGAGGATGACACAGTCCCCAAGGACTCGCGATGCCCCACTTTCGCATCTATGGTCGCTTACATCAAGAACGAGCGATGGGACGGTGTACCCTTCATCCTGAAGGCAGGAAAGGCTCTCAACGAGCAGAAGACCGAGGTCCGCATCCAGTTCAAGGATGTCACCTCTGGAATCTTCAAGGACATTCCACGAAACGAGCTCGTCATCCGAGTGCAGCCCAACGAGAGTGTTTACATTAAGATGAACTCCAAGCTGCCCGGTCTCAGCATGCAGACTGTCGTCACAGAACTCGACCTTACCTACAGGCGGCGATTCTCCGACCTGAAGATTCCCGAGGCATACGAATCGCTCATTCTCGACGCACTAAAGGGCGACCACTCCAACTTCGTCCGTGACGACGAACTCGACGCCAGCTGGAGAATCTTCACACCTCTCCTGCACTACCTCGACGACAACAAGGAGATCATCCCCATGGAGTACCCATACGGTTCGTATTGTATTGAAGAGCAAAGCGCACATTTACTGACCATCATCAGGCTCCCGTGGCCCTGCCGTTTTGGACGATTTCACCTCTTCTTACGGATACAAGTTCAGCGACGCAGCAGGTAGGACCTCACCTCTGTAGCGAACTAGAAGAAAAATGCTAACACGATTGCAGGATACCAATGGCCCATGAACGAGCAAAAGTTGTAGGTGGCTGCTCTACACTTTACGATTGCCTGTGGTAAGGTATGCTCGGGATCACAGTGAATATGAGTTTTAGGGTAGTGTGAGCAACTTAGGCACATTCAAGAGAATAGATAATGAATGAATACAACGGCGTCTCAATGTCGTGAATCAAAGCGCTCAACCGTGCATATGTGGTGACTGGTTTTCCATGACGAAGCACTTGTGCCTGGACCTGCATACTTGACTTCCGAAAGCGGAGGGCTGGTAAGCTAGGTATTCCTGGTGGGGTAAAGGGCCAGAGCGGGATGGCATCATCGGCGACATGAGAAATTTTTGAGGAGCGTCGCGTCAGAGAACGCCGACTGAGTCAACTGTAGGTGTCACTGTAGGGAAAATTAGTTGCTCACAGTCATCAAGTACTCTGGAAAAAGTGGATATCAGCTCACATGCGTTTGTTGTTGCTGTGCATTGTTGCCGCCAGTCATGCCTAGCCGCAACTTCCTAGAACCTGCCTTGCAATTGTTCTGTGATTCGTCCAAGTTTGCACAGTTTGGTAAAGGCCATAGAAGAGTCATTAAGTATTAATAGTCTAGAATTCCCAACGTTTTCCGGATCAAACAACCAGATTGAGTTGTCGCATCCCTCCCCCGAACCACCTCCGCAACCACCTCCGCGCACACACCATGAGTCCCGCACAAGACATTGCCGGCAGCGGCATCAGCCAACTCGCACGTCAAGTGTCCAACAGCCTCAACCTCAGCACCAGTCCAAACCTCTCCTTCCACAGCCCGCCCTCCACATTTCGCCAACCACCAGGCGGCAGCTTCAACAGCCAAAATCAAACCAACAGCTCGCATGCGCAACAGCTCGCCAAGCAATTGAAGCCTTTCGATACCAAGGACATCAAGGTCCTGCTCCTCGAAAATGTCAACGAAGCCGGTGTCGAGATTCTCAAGGGCCAGGGATACCAGGTCGAGGCCATCAAGGCCAGTCTGGCAGAGGACCAGCTGATTGAGAAGATTCGCGATGTCCACGTCATTGGAATTCGCTCAAAGACGAAGCTCACCAAGAAGGTGCTGGAGGAGGCAAAGAACCTCATCGTCATCGGCTGCTTCTGTATCGGAACAAACCAGGTCGACCTCCAGACTGCCGCCAGCCAGGGTATCGCCGTCTTCAACTCGCCCTTCAGCAACTCGCGCTCCGTCGCAGAACTTGTCATCTCCGAGATCATCGCGCTCGCCCGTCAGCTCGCCGACCGCTCTATGGAGCTACACAACGGCACATGGAACAAGGTCAGCAAGGGCTGCTGGGAGATTCGCGGCAAGACGCTGGGTATAGTCGGATATGGTCACATTGGTAGCCAACTGAGTGTGCTGGCTGAGTCCATGGGCATGAGCGTCATCTACTACGACGTTCTTACCACAATGGGTCTGGGAACTGCGCGACAAGTAGCGACGCTGGACGACCTACTTGCACAAGCAGACTTTGTCTCTCTTCACGTTCCGGCTACCTCTGAGACCAAGAACTTGATTGGCAAAGAACAGTTCGCAAAGATGAAGGACGGCAGCTATCTCATCAACAACGCCCGTGGTACTGTTGTCGACATTCCCGCCATGATCGAGGCCAGCCGCTCTGGCAAACTCGCAGGTGCCGCCATCGACGTCTTCCCCAACGAACCCGCCGGCAACGGCGACTACTTCTCCAGTGACCTCAACTCCTGGACCAAGGACCTCGTTGGTCTGAAGAACATCATCCTCACTCCCCACATTGGTGGCAGCACCGAAGAAGCGCAGTCCGCCATTGGTGTCGAAGTCAGCACAGCACTCGTCCGCTACGTCAACGAGGGTACCACGCTCGGAGCCGTCAACTTGCCAGAAGTCAACCTACGTAGCTTGACTCTCGACCAACCAGACTGCATGCGTGTCATCTACATCCACAAGAACGTACCGGGTGTGTTGAGACAAGTCAACGGTATCCTTCTCCACCACAACATCGAGAAGCAAATGTCCGATTCAAGAGGCGATGTCGCGTATCTCATGGCGGATATCAGTGAAGTCAAGGAGGGTGAGATTAGGGATTTGTTTACCAGCTTGGAGGAGCTTTCTTGTAAGTCTACATCAGCTTCTTTGTGTACTGTCGAATTGACAGCTAACCTTATCCAGCATGTATCCGTACCAGGGTCCTGTACTAGGCGGACAGTCCTTCCCAGGATCGCGAACAAAGACACGAGGATGCTCAGAAGCGTTCTCCATCCTCGGTTGACCTCGTTCAGCAACATCAAAACGATACGGCTTCTGATATCTTGGGTTCGCTGCCGCATATCCGTGACCTCAAAAGTATGGGTACAAGGCTATCGTACGGCGTCTGATTGATTTTGCATATACACTGGCTAGGAAAGAACAGGGATAGAAAAGTAGAGTTCAACACTGCGTTGTTTATTACTAGCATTCTGAATGAGATACATGAGATCCACGAGATAAGAAGAGAAGAGAAACCTCGTCCTTAACCACAACTCTGGCCCTAACCCTACGACACACAGCGGTTACAGGGTTAGCTTACTTACTCCCACTACTTCAGTTGTTCACTCTTCTTCAGTTAGTCACTCTTGTTGTAATAGTTATTTTAACCTTTTTCTTCGAAATATTTCAACCTTTATTCAGCCTGCAATCTTTTTACGCTTTATTCTTAACTATCTCTTTTTTGACCTCTTTTCCGAATTCTACTCTGCCTACTCTAGCACCTCTACTATATTCTAGCAGATCTTCCAACATAGCCTGGTCCTCAATCTCAACCGCCCGATCGAGCAAGCCTTGCAGAAATTCTTTGTCGTAGCTTCCACGCCCTATTAGCCTACGAACAATGCTTCGGTACCCCTTGCAAACCGCTTCCGTAAGTGCATTCCCTTGCTCCGCATTGTACTCCAGAAGCAGAGAAACAACTTCAAAATGTCCATTTTGTACTGCTGTCTCCAACGCCGGCTTACACGCACTCGCACCATGTTCTAACAACACCTGAACTACGTCCTTGTGCCCGTTTCTACAAGCGCCTAGAAGGGGTCGTTGCCTGTACTCGCTAGACAATCCTAGGCCGTCTACACGCGCTCCAAGAGCAAGGTAGCGCTCTGTCATATCTACCCACCCATGTCTTGCGCTATATGCCAAGAATCCTGTGTATTCCTTAATACCAAACGTTCTGCTAACGCAGTGCTCCCTTCGTTTCTCCATCACCACGTTAAAAATCTCCCAACTAGGTGTATTTAGCAAAGCTAGCTCTCTTTCGTTAGAAGAGAGATAGGACGGCCGTTTAATCTTTCTTGAAAATAACCACGGACGCTCTACGGCCTGGAAATCCAACACGAACCGCGTCACGCCTACACGCCCATACTCGGCAGCTTCTACGAGAAAGGATGTTCGCAGTCTTTGAAAGTCATCCTCGTACCGTAGGTCCATCATAGCAGCAAGAAGCTCGTGGTTACCGTACCGAGCCGCATGGTGATGTGCCCTACCAAAGAGATGACTGCTTTTCGCCAAACCCCTTCTGCTCGAGATCCATCTGGAAACAACAGAGAGCGTTTGTGTGTATACGGCAGTGATATAGACATCAGTTTCTAAGTTGCTCTCGTTGAAAAGCCCGTCATACCATCCCACGGCTTGGTCCACCGTCCATAGCTCGTCGAGGCGTACGCGTAGGCTATATGTTTCTAACACAAGAGGGCATAGCTGCCGAACGTAGTCGTACTCGTTTCGTTCGTCATCCGTCTCTTGGCTTAGTCGGTTGGCGACGCTGCGAATCCAGAGTAGCACAGGAGCCCCACCGCGACGCTCGTTCAACACTCGGCGTTCAAGATACGTTGTAGCGATAGAAGGTACAGCCTCGTCGCTGCCAACGGGCAGGGGCTTGAAGTAGGTATCAAGAAGCTTCAATAGCGAAAGCGCAGCCACAATCTCGCTAGCAAAGATCCCTATAGCCGTTGGTAAGCAGAAGATGGCACAGTCGGCAGAGCAAAGCCTACTATTCACAAGCCGTAACCGGAGGCCGCGCTTGATTCCCCGGACTAAAATAGCCCAACCAAGGATTTCGTGCAAAAGCTCTACTGGCAAATCGAGTAGATGCATAGTGTATGGAACGGTTGACTTCGTGAACAGAAATGGCCACTCGCTAGCAAGAGGAGATTTAATAAGTAGGTAGAGGGTCCAGTTGCCATTTTAACCTGAATCGCTATGACTTTTGTAATGTAGCATTAAGGGAAAAAGCGCGCTTACAGGAGACCGTTAATTGGCTACTACTAGCGGTCTAATATTAGGTGTTCGTATGCCTGTGTATCTGCCATGAGGTTGCGATAAACTCACAACTTCTCACCATGCACATCCCCCTCCATAGCCGTAATACGTAGCTATACCAGCTCCATCAAACCCTCACATGCCACGCCCCATCTCATCACCCTCTCTTAATTTCTTCAGTCTAGCATCGTCCCACGCTATGAATGAGGTGTTTGAGGAGAAGACGGATGGGGCACAAGGGTCAGGTTTCCAGGGGATTAAGGTGACTGATGGAAGAGAGCAAGAGTCAGAGTTCGACTGCGAAGGATCTGGAGCTGCCTCTACAGATTGGAGTCGGAAGAGAACGAGGCCGTTCACACTATCGCCTTGAGCTTTCTTGACATCCCCCTCAGTTCGGTCAATCGCTCTTTTCTAAGGCTCTCCGATGAACTCTCTGCTCCACGGCCTCGTCCCAGATCGACAAAGTGAATTCGTTTCCATGCAGTGATGAGTACCATGATACAGTCTGGAACTGTGATATGTTCAATGGCGCGAACATGATGAGGTTCCTCTAGCATTGATGACGGAACGAGAAGCACTCGAAACGGTAGTGATCAGTGCGCTCCACGTGTCGATTTGACCATGGCAAGTCGAAAAGCAAATCAGAACTGAGACTTGAAAGGATCCCTCGTTTGGACGTATATTGCGTAGTCTAGAAGGCTGTTGTGTTGCGAAGTGGACTGATTGAAGAGCGATCTCAGCCGAGAGTAATGGTTACTTTCTCTGTGTCTTGCAGCCAATCGAGATCCTTTGAGTCATAGCTGTGTTCCCGATAAAAGTTCGGACTCTCCCTAGGGCGCAGGGTTGGTAGGCCATTAGTAGTAGAAGCCAACTCGTTGAACCCTGCTGCTTTCATTAGGTCCGGGTAGAACATGCCACCGACCGACGCGAACCCTAAACGTTCGTAATGTGTTCCACAGTCTTGTACTATCATCAGGCATTGAAAGTGCTCATGACTTTGATAGACCACGCACGTGACACAAGTGCTGTCGGAATGATCATGTGGGGTTGCATCCCACTTAACGTCCATGTAATAATTGAGGCCTCCGTAATCCACCTTACTCTCGCCAGTGCCAGCAGGAACCACCAGCACTGTTCTCGGGTGGTCTGAAAGCAAACCTTCGAAAGTTTCCGAATCCGACCGTACTAAGTTTACTATAGGAAGATTATGAACATTGACGGCGACTTGTAAGTACTTTGAGGTCTTGAGATTGTTCCACGCCGCACAGCCATCTCGAAAGTGGTGAGATATGATGTCAGCGTCCTTCTTCGATGGAAAGAATTGATGATCTGGGCTGAAGAACTGAATAGATCCAATCCAACCAAGTGGTGACCAACTAGGATATCCTCGTCGCCTGGTAGCAGGTTTGTCGTGTCTCCAACTTAAGCATATGGTATTCGGGCCGACCATCGATGTTTGGTACGGTAGACCGCATATGGTTCCAATAGACAGGTTTCTTGCATGATGGTAGTTCAGGACGCCCAGCATCGCGTCCAAGGCGTCATTTTCGTAGCTGAGTTGACGTTCCATGTACTGCTCCAGCAATCCTAGGGTTTCGTGGAGCCCGGGCAACTCGTCCCTAACTCCGAAGGGACGTGTTCCCAAGGTACCATCGAGTAATCTGGCACCCCAACGATCACGAGAACGATGAAAGTCTTCTTGTTCTTCTGCTTCGTTGCAAATGAACAAGACCCCGCTCTCGGTAAAGTATAGTCTTCTTCGCGGAACGTAGCCTTCCTGAAATGTCCACCCCCGTGTGAACCACACGGAATCGGCAACAGCACGGTAGACTTCGTCGGGGCTAAATGTAACCCGCACATCTCCAATACAAGTCCAAGCTCTATAGCTTAGCCTTCGCGCATTACTTACGCCCGGTAAGCCATAGGAGGGGTTACTGCCTGCTGCAGCAACCAGAGTGAGCACCGCTGAGGTGTATATCAAGTCCATCTGTTGAATTTGACGATGCTTGTCCTCTGCATCATCTTGCTTTATACACTAATACTTGTATTAGACACGCTTGCTTGCTAGGCGTAGTACTTACGAAAGCGCTGTGAGTTATATTAGCTCAGACTTCTTGAACGACTAGAGCAGAAAAACTCACTCAACCCAAAGATACCGATACCCTATAAGTAGGGTAGCTTTGATACTATCCTCTATAGTACGAGGCAACATGGTAGGCAGAAGTCCGGATTTCAAGTCTGTCTCGACGACCAAGCCACCCCACACATACGACAAAGCCACATATTGGCAGTCTAGAGGTGCTGAAACGACAACTCTTTCTACGCAGTCGATGACTTTTAGATTCTGCGGTTCTTCGTCTATATCAGATTTACACTGATGATGCGAATCGCATTTGTCGAGCCAGCTTCTAATTGTACCAAAATCAACGTGTAATCCCTCGGGGGTTTCGTGTTCTTCCAGACCATCAGCTTCTAAAGACTCTGAAAACTCAGAATACCGAATATGTATGGTTCTAGGTTGCCTACTTTTCCCTCTTATGATACCATTTGAATCTTGAAGGACAGCCGCGCCAAAGTCCTGATTCTCACGTTGCCAACGCAATAGAAAAGGCCCCTCCAAGCTATGCGTTTGATTTTGGTGGGCCAACATCTCCATCCCAAGCATTTGGCACACCTGACAAGCCGACGACAAAAGCTCTTCTGCTTTCTCTCCAATTTCGCAAATATCCGCACTTTTCTCGTCGAACGGTACTTTTGACCATGCTGCCAAACATCGGTCGCAAGTATGGCTCTTTTCCGAATGGAGTTGCCCAGGTCCATGATCAAGGATACCGATCGTTTTGATCATGTCGCTCATGATAGGTAGAGGGGATAGGTATTCGGAAGATCAAAAAGCTCGCTTTTACTGCATTCTACGCAACGGGCAAAGTATTTGCTAAGCATGTATGTTGTTTCCCGTCTTGCAGTGCTGCAGTATTCGTAGGTGACCAGGAAGGCTGCAGCCGCCTGTTGAGAATGATTCATGGATAAGCACTATGGCACGTGATCGTCCATTTGCCCCTCTGGTCTTCCATTTCAAGACAACTAGGCAATTGCCTGTAGAGCCTCTCATAACGCAGCTACGTCCACGAGTTTAAATGAACATGTTCGAACATTTCAACTTAGTCATTCCATCAAAATCCTTGGTCTCATACAGCGGTAATTAATTACTGGTAGCGAGCTCGTGGAGTCGGTGACAGCCCCGTAGACAGGTGTACAAGTGCACAGTCACGTAGTGGATACAGCTGAGCCATGACCTCCCAGCCATCTCTTTGACGATCGGTCAACACGTTGAACGTTGGTGCTCTAGATTTCCCAATGTTGAAGAACAATGAGGTGTTGACGCCCACGTATCATGGTGAGGCGGCACGTTTCAGGCAGCCCAGTCAAGTAAGAACGGATGTGGGAGAAGCCAGATTCCCGAGGGGCGAAACGTTTGCAAGGAGTCTACTTGCATAAACTCTGGGGAAGGACTGACGCTTTAGATGACATGAGTGGAGAACGGGACAGTGCGAGTAAGAATGCTGGCATGCATTGGGAGTGGTACGCAGCACGTAGGAAAGACGAGCAACGTCACAGGCTGCTCCAGAAGTGTCGAGGGAGGATGCCGATCCGACGCAGGCTGGTGAGGCTATTTTGCGTGCGTTTGTGAGGAGGTGCATATGGTGAGACGCCTGTGTGCGCGGTTCCAGTGGTTCCAAGAGGTTGAGCAGTGGTGGTTGGCTCGGCCCCCTGGAGGAGGTCTGTGCGGGCTGGCGGGATGTTGGCGGTGAGAGGCGATTAGCGTGACCAGAGAAAGTCGACAACACGGCGGGCAGCAGTTCGCATATCTTCGCCCACACGATTGCACTTCTCTCCTTTAGGGATGCATCGAGCCCTGTGACTGCAGCGATATCCCACGCTGACAACGCCCACGACAACGCCCACGAAGAAGCCAGCGACCGCACCGAATTAGCGAGCTGAGCGTGCTGTCCACCACCAGGGAGCCGCCTTTGGACCCTGATTCCGCACCGCCATTTGGAGGGGGAGAAAGCAGGACCACAACCACCCACCATGGCACACATCTACGACATCGGCACCCGGGCGTGGCAGCCCGATACCACCGAGGGCTGGGTTGCCTCGGAGGTGACGGACAAGCAGATTGCGGGAGACAAAGTGACGTTGGTCTTCACGCTGGAGAATGGCGAGGTACGCCCACCCAAGAGGACACTGCACTGTTGCAGGACACGGCGGCTGACAATGATTCACTGCGCAGACCAAAACCGTCGAGACGACGCTGTCTGCCATCCAGACGGGCAATGATCCCAATCTCCCGCCGCTGATGAACCCGGCCATGCTCGAGGCCAGCGATGACCTTACCAACCTGTCACATCTCAACGAGCCGGCTGGTACGGCCCGTCCAATCTGCGTGGGAAACATGGCATACTGACGAGAGTGCAGTGCTCCAGGCCATCAAGCTGCGTTACCTGCAGAAGGAGATCTACACATATTCCGGTATCGTCCTCATCGCGACAAATCCCTTTGCGCGAGTCGACTCGCTGTACGTACCGGGCATGGTACAGGTCTACGCTGGCAAGCAGAGATCGTATGGCGCTCCGCATCTGTTCGCCATTGCTGAAGAGGCCTTCGCGTGAGTTCCCCGCTCCCCATACCCGCCGTGGCAGCCACTAACCCTCCGCAGCGACATGTTGCGAGACGGGAAGAACCAGACCGTTGTCGTCTCTGGTGAATCCGGAGCCGGAAAGACGGTCAGCGCCAAATACATCATGCGATACTTTGCGACACGAGAGTCGCCCGACAACCCCCACAAGCGGAGAGGCAAGTCCGACTCGATGAGTGAGACCGAAGAACAGATTCTGGCTACCAACCCCATCATGGAAGCTTTCGGTAACGCCAAAACCACCCGTAACGACAACTCGTCGCGATTCGGTAAATACATCGAGATCATGTTCAACAAGCAAACCGACATTATTGGTGCAAAGATTAGGACATACCTGCTGGAACGGTCAAGACTGGTCTTTCAGCCGCTTAAGGAGCGGAATTACCACGTCTTCTACCAGTTGGTAGCTGGTGCGACGGACGAGGAGCGCGAGGAGCTGTCTTTGAAGTCGGTCGAGGAGTTTAGCTACCTCAATCAAGGCAGTGCGCCGGTGATTGAAGGTATGGACGACGTGGCCGAGTTCAAGGCTACGAAACAATCCTTGACCAAGATCGGTGTGCCTGCCGAGACTCAAGCTGGCATCTGGCGCCTGCTAGCAGCCCTGCTGCACATGGGAGACATCAAGATCACAGCAACTCGAACAGACTCAAATCTTGCGCCAGATGAGCCTTCTCTCGTCACGGCTTGTTCACTGCTAGGAATAGATCCCAACACCTTCTCCAAGTGGATTGTAAAGAAGCAGCTCATCACCAGAGGAGAAAAGATTGTTTCCAACTTGACACAGCAACAGGCTATTGTAGTACGAGATTCCGTTGCCAAGTTCATTTATTCCAGTCTGTTCGACTGGCTGGTTGAGCGAACAAACGAGAGTCTGGCCACCGAGGAGGTTATTTCGCAAGCCCACACCTTCATTGGTGTCCTTGATATTTACGGTTTCGAGCATTTCGCAAAGAACTCTTTCGAGCAGTTCTGTATTAACTATGCTAATGAGAAGTTGCAACAAGAATTCAACGCACACGTTTTCAAGCTGGAGCAGGAGGAGTATATGCGCGAACAGATCGACTGGACTTTCATCGACTTCGCCGACAATCAGCCATGTATCGACCTCATCGAAGGCAAGCTGGGTATCCTGTCTCTACTAGATGAAGAGTCACGTCTGCCTATGGGTTCGGACGAGCAATTTGTCACTAAGCTGCACCACAACTACTCTGGAGATAAGCACAAGTTCTACAAGAAGCCCCGGTTCGGCAAGTCCTCTTTCACAGTATGCCACTACGCCATCGACGTCACATACGAATCCGATGGTTTCATCGAGAAGAACAGAGATACTGTGCCCGACGAGCACATGGAGGTTCTCAAGGCTGCAAGCAACAAGTTCTTGACCCAGGTTTTGGATACTGCTGCTTCGATCCGAGAGAAGGAGACCGCTACCAATGCCTCTTCCAAGCCGGGCACTGCCATGTCGGCTGGACGAAGGATGGCGACCAACCGCAAGCCAACGCTTGGTGGCATCTTCAAGTCTTCCCTTATCGAACTCATGCAGACTATCAACTCGACCGATGTCCACTACATTAGATGTATCAAGCCCAACGAGGCCAAGGCGGCCTGGCAATTCGACGGACCTATGGTTCTTGGTCAACTGCGTGCCTGTGGTGTTCTCGAAACAGTCAGAATCAGTTGCGCGGGTTACCCCACACGATGGACCTATGAAGAATTCGCCCTCCGTTACTACATGTTGGTCAGGTCCTCCGACTGGACGCCAGAGATCCGAAACATGGCTACCGCGATTTTGAAGAAAGCCTTAGGTGCCGGCAAGAACGATGGCACCGACAAGTACCAGATGGGTTTAACAAAGATCTTCTTCCGCGCTGGTATGCTTGCGTTCCTCGAGAACCTACGCACAGCCCGTCTCAATGATGCGGCTATCATGATCCAGAAGAACCTCCGAGCCAAATACTACCGCCGTATCTACCTCGAGATGCGTGAGGCTGTCATTCTCGTGCAATCGTTGGCTAGGGGCTACATGACTAGGGAACAGGCTGAGGAGGCTAGGCAGGTCAAGGCCGCTACTACCATTCAGAGGGTTTGGCGTGGTAGCAAAGATCGCAAGCGCTTCCTTGTTGTCCGAAACTCGCTCATCAAGTTCGAGGCTGCCGCAAAGGGATTCCTTCTCCGCAAGAACATGCTGGACAAGAGGCTTGGAGATGCTGCTCGTATGATCCAACGCAACTGGCGCAAACAACGATACATCCGCGCGTACAAGAAGGAGATCAACGACATCATCACTGTCCAGAAGCTCTGGAGAGGAAGGAAGGCCCGCAGGGAATACAAGGTCCTTCGCGCCGAATCCCGCGATCTCAAGAACATTTCTTACAAGCTGGAGAACAAGGTCGTGGAGCTTACCCAGAACCTCGGTACGATGAGGGAGCAAAACAAGTCGCTCAAGTCGCAGGTGGAGAACTACGAGAGCCAGATCAAATCGTACAAGGAGCGCAGCCGTACCCTCGAAAACCGTCAGAAGGAGCTTCAAGCCGAAGCCAACCAGGCTGGTATCACCGCTGCCAAGCTCAGCCAGATGGAAGACGAATACAAGAAGCTGCAGACAAGCTACGAAGAAAGCACTGCAAAGATGCGACATCTTCAGGAAGAGGAGAAGGAACTCCGTGCGTCGCTTAAGAGGACCACAGACGACCTCGAACAATCTAAGAGGAGGAGCAACGTTACCGAGACCGAAAAGATGACGCTCCGTCAACAGCTCGCTGAGTTGCAAGAGCAGGTCGAACTAATGAAGCGATCTGGCCCCATCGCCGACCTGACCAACGGTCACTCCACCTCTGTAGCCCCCAGCAGCTTGATCAAGCTCGTCTCGTCGAAGAAGCCAAAGAGGCGCAGTGCCGGACCGGATACGCGCGATATCAACCGCTTCAGCGAACAGTACAACCCACGGCCTGTCTCGATGGCTCCTGGTTCCACTATCCACAGGCAGAACCTTTCTGGTTCAACCTTTGCTCAGCTTGATAATGTCGAGCTTGAGCTTGAGAACATCCTTGCTGAGGAGGATATGTTGAACGATGAGGTCACCCTTGGCCTGATCAAGAACCTCAAGATTCCATCGCCCACAACCACACCGCCACCTACCGACAAGGAGGTCCTCTTCC